TTCATCAAATCGGAAAACCGATACACAGAACTATGTACCTTAGTGTAGTCTACCTGTGTGATAAGTTCTATTGAAATCAGACCTAAACTGTAGCAGTAGCCTTTTGAAAGGATTTCACAAAAATTTCTATTTTTAGTAACCATGGCAACACCTTGAATTGCAATCAAAAACCAATACACAGAATTATGTATCTTAGTGTGTAGTCTACTTGAGTGCCAAGCTATATTGAATTCAGACCAAAACTGTGGGAGGAGTAGCATTTTGAAAAATTGTTTACAGACAGACAGACGGACTGCTAAACAGACGGACAATGAACACATTACCATCACTTCTCTGACCAGTAGAGCTTAAAAAGGTATCAAACAAACACAGGTATGAAATGTTGATCTTCTGAAATCTTTAATGTTCAGTTTAACACCTTATTGTGAAAATCCCTGCCTTAGTCCTTACAGCTTCCTCTATTCTATGAACATGAAAACTTATTACTTGTATGTAAGCAGTCATTCAAAATTAGCACCATAGTTCAGTGGATGAACTCGACTTATTATAGAGAGTTTAACATCCTTTAAGAGTTATCTTTTCCTCCTTTTCTTTGCTGGGGGTTCTGTCATCTTGGATTCTTCATTGAAGGACGTGTCAGCTGTAGAGGTGGACGGAGCTGAAAAATCACAAATAATTACTTAATTATAATGATTTTCATTAGAATTGGGTGCTTAATAATTTTCTTATCTTGCAGCAATCTCTGAAAGCTCAGAAAGTCAGTTTTTGTGTGATAATGTTAAAGGATGTCATAATGTGTTTGTTGAGTGATAATAACTGAGGATATTGCTAGCAATGGCAATCTCCCCAAAGCCTCAGGGATCTTTTCAAAATTCCAATTATCCTTTATGGGACCTTAATCTTTATGTCTTTGGCAATCTCAAATAAGCCCAGCTAGTCTCTTCATGATTTCTCATTGATCTCTCAGACATCTGTGTCATATGGCATTTAAAACATTTTGCATTCTTTAAAAGGCTTCTCAAAGATCATTGATAAATCTATAAGATGGTGGGATGCATTATTTGACCTTTGAGATACAGTGTAGTTGTGAAACTGATTTGTAGAGTCAAAACTTTGAGATCTTTGAGAGATCTCTGGGAGATTACTAGTGGTATCAACATTCACATGCAACTCTTCCAAATGTTCTACCTTCCAGACAATCAAAATTGCTTACAAATTACTTCTTGTTAATCCTACAGTTTACTTCTTCAAAAATGAAATTAATGCTGTATAGAATGTATCAAATTAAAATTGATATGAATGTATATTTTAACGTTTCCATGGTAACAGCACTTGATATATAAAATTTTTCTTATTTTTTGGCAATAATGAATACTGTAAATGCACACAAAATATAGAACACTCAAAATTTAGCACATTCGTTCTCTTCAAGTCATTAGTGCAATCATTAATTAGTGCGCTTAGAATTTAAATAGACTTTAAGACTTAATCAAACTTAATCAAATGTAAGTATGTACTTACATTAGACAAGAAGCAGTGCAAATAGCACTGAAATACTATCATTTTATGTATGTTTATGGAAATTTCGTTACTACAACAGAAAGGCAAGAATGTTATAAAATGATTTTACAGGAATTCAGATCCATAAAGGTGTCTATGAAATTACAAGCTATAAGGAAGAGTATAATTTTATACCATCTTGGTCTTGAGATGATGAAGCAGGAGAATTATCTTCAGTACTTGGTTTGTCTGTCTGTTTTTGAGCAGCTTTCCATAAGGCACTCTTCACAAATCTCTTTGAGGCTGATTTGTCTACTTTTGGAGCTTTTGCTTTGTCTTGGATATTTTTTGCTCTATCCATGTAACTTTTAATTCTTTCCTGGAAGCAGAGATACCATTTATAAGTTCAAACAAATGAAACAAAAGTCAGACATAAAGTAAAGGACACTATGAAATAAAGAATCATTAAAGTTTATTCTGGGGTATAGAAGTTGTGGATAAGAGTGGTGGGTATTTAATGATGGGAGTTTCCATTCTCCCATCTATTCATTCTTCAGTTCATACATCCTTCTATCTGCACAAAAAAGACATATTGCCAGAAATATACACACCCAAATCAGTATATATTTATGCCCAAAAATTTGCAGGGGGAAGGAGGAGGTATAAAAAAAATATAATTAAGGTATTACATTTGATTTCAGAATTCAATATTAACGATACTGAATGTCATATGATTAAAAGGCAACTTTATTTATAAAACATACAAATAAGTATTTTGCTTTTCCTTACTTACAAAAATACTCAATTTAAAAATAAAGAAAAAAATTCAGGTTTGTGAGAAGTTTATGACATACTTTCACTATGTCAGGGGTGAAATTTTCACAGATTACATCACTTTGTTGCATAAAATGATACTTTAAAATGTGGAAGAGTTGCAACACTTCAAAATACAGAACTGAACAAAGCATAAAAATGAAAAAAAAAACATTACCAGTTCTTGTTTTATGCCATGTTCTTTGGGGTTTACTCCACAAATATTAAGGTACACTGAAAAGAAAAATAATTTACGACACATGAACTAGGGAAGAGTAAGGTTGTGTCATAGCTGACTCACAAGGACCATGATAATATACAAGCTCATTTTAGACAAGAATTAAGACTTACCCCAGAATAATGAATTTATAGAGTAGGCTCCTGCTAGTTCTAATTTTGCTTTTTCCATTGCACTAATCTGGAAAAAGTATAGAATCATCTTTTATCCCCTTAATACATGTACAGAGGGGATGCCTCAACATTTTATCATTAGAGATGTTTTTTCTGTGTATATATTTCCTATTTTACAAAAAAAATTGTGACTGCATGTTTTTCTGACCCAAAAATGAAGAATGCTTTGCAGTCACAATTTTTATCAGGGTAATAACTGAATTTTATCATTTTTACACCAAGCTGGCTCTGAATCATGTTATTTCTCTTTTACTTGTCTTTCTACAAAATGACTCTTACAACTTTTCAAGATATAATTGAAAAAAAAAACTCAACTTAAGAAAAGTTTCATGACAACAAAGTTATTATCACAAAAATGCATTTGTCATTTTGGCTAAAGGTCAAATATCTGTGATGGAAGACACATAATGCGGAATTTATTAACCAGGATATTGGCATCAGGAAAACTGGCATGCATAACAAGCAAAGTTTGTATATTTATTGTCAAAATTTTAAAGTGGCTCATTGAGAAGTTAATATTTCATTTATATCAGTTTGAAGATATCAGTGTGCATTTGTCAGTGTAATATTGACACATAAAGAACTTGAAAGTGGGTAGACCACTAATACCGATTCCCAGATCAATGTATTAAATTGCACTATGATAAAATTTCAAAAGTCTTACACACCACTTGGCACTTGACTGATTAGGTTAGTCTTGCACCTCTGAGATATTAAGAGCAGTTCTTGAATGACTGACTGGTTAGGGTTAGTCTTGTATTGTTTCAAAAGATGAAGGTTAATTGTTGTATACTTTTGACCAAATTGGGTATTTGGGTTAGTTCTCTCATGCTACCTGAGATATTAGGGTCATAAAATAGTGTATTTTTATTAAATATATGATCTATTACATCTTTTTAAATAATCAATTCAATAATTTTAATCAATCATTTCATTTATAAACCTAAATATCACTTTCAGTGTCAATTAATACATTTGTTGACCTAAAAAAATGCAGCTTTGTAAGTACAGTAAAATTTGGTTATAGCGAAGTCCTGGGGACCTGTGAATTTAATTCGCTATATCCATAATTCGTTATATATATCTTTCTAACGAATTTGTATAACTATATATATACACAGCGAATTTACAATATGCACATATTCCTTCAGGTATTAATACCAAATATTTTAGAAAAGCAATTATTCCAAAACATTTCTTGAATAACTAATGATTAATTAATAAATTCAATTTTAAGTACAATTACTTCATGAAAGTAAAGTCTATCTTAAAGTCAATTTATTAAATTTTCAGATCTCCGAAAATTCATTTTACGATAAAAGATGAAAATTTCCTTACATTTAACCTCAACAGGATTCAAAATCAATTTGCTATGTCCATAAATTCTATACATAGGAGTTCAACTTAACCATAGATTTTACAAAGAATTGATTAGGCTTTTGCCGGGGACCCCAAAAATTTCGCTATATCTGTGAATTCCCTATATCCCTGTTTGTATAACTAAACAAGTTTTACTGTATGAAAGATATGGCACTAAAGTTGACTAAACTTACTTCATTGACTTTGGTTGGAAAATTTTTATGAAAACCTCCATTTGTAAAATAATATAATGAGGAAAAAAGGTTTTTAAAAAACCTGGTTTGAAAGACAGTTAACATCCTAGATTTTAATTTGGTTGTCACACATTGTTATCACTCAGACATTCTCATAAATATTGGACTCTTCTTGAGGACCAGTAATAAAATTAATACCTAGAAAAGCTGTAATCTTCCCTAAATAATAAATCTTACCTTTTCATAAAGCTCTGACTGATTTGTTTTGAGCAAAGGTTGAAAAACAGTTTCTATCTGTGTCAATGCTGTGTCTAAGGACGCTAGTTTCTCTTTTAACTCATCTGGAATACTTGATGTCGTTTTGGCTTTTGCCATGTTAAGTTTTTATTGCCAATTTTATTTACTAACAAGTCTTTTTAGGAAAAAATGTGGCTTAAACAAAACCGGAAATAGTTTAAGGCGAAGTAATTTTAGACATGTCAAAATAATGGTTTCAATTCCGGAAATATAATATTTTTAGATAAGGTTTTTAAATAGTCATGCGTTTTTTCTCTCCATGGGAATCAACTAAATATGCCTACAAACAATTTAACATACAGAAGAAAATGACATTTTAAACAAATAGCTTACACCACAGAAGTGTAAATGAGCACGACTTGTCTAAAATACACAAACCGGAAGCACATTGCATTGGATGTAATGGCGGGAATACAAAAGAAAAAAATATGGCAACTGTTTTAGAGTATGTGCTGAGTGGAGAACTGCTGGTGGATGCCTTAGTGACTTTCCTGAAACGAGATTTATGTGATCCAGGTTTTGTACCTAAGGTACGCTTTCATTTCACAATGCCTCCGTTAAAGAAGGGAGAGGGGTAAATTCAGAAAGTTTGCAGTTGCAACTTTTTTTTCAGTTACCTCATCACCTGGTATTGCCATTTAAATCGTTGTATATAATAGTTCTGTTATATTTCGCTGGTAAATAGAAAAAAATAATGCAATGCATAGTGTTTTTTTCTGAAACTGCTTTTCTCATGATTGTTCGATACAAATGATGTATAAAATCTGTCAATATATATCAATGTTTTATATACATGTATTTACAAAAGTGATTCATTTCAGGAAAATGTTCCAAAACAACTGGCAGAGTTGCAACATATTCATCAAGAATTTATTCCCTTCTTTTTAAATTATCTTCGAGATCAAACTATACATCTCCTTCAGAGTTCTAAATCAGCAACCCCTTCCCCTGCCAAAACCCCCTCAGCCCAGAAGTTAAAGAAAAGCATAAGTGAAAAGAAAGGTTCTTCCTCCTCTAAGAGAATTCAGTTGTTTGGTGCCAGTCCTGGAGATGGAATTGATGACATTAAACCTACAAGTGGTTCATTTTTTTCCCCTAACACATCAGTCGATGTTAATCCCCCAACTCTGAACACTCCCACAAATGAAGACAAAAAATCTACTCCTAAGGTTCATTGCTCTGTTGAGAGGAATCGGAATTTCTCATCTGCAGTTGGTAATTCTGTTGACAGAGATCATAGATCTAAGGGTAGTAGAAATACTACACCACATAGTGGAAGTAAAAATAATCAAGATGGTAGATCTAGACATCGATTCAGTCTTGGAGAGTTCATTATATCTCCAGAAGTTACATGTACAACTGCAAACAAAAGAAAGAATTCTCCATATTCATCAGGAAGAAGAAATGATAAACCAAATGATAACTCACCCTCGCCTGCTCCAACTAACCTGAAGTCTGGAAACAAGAAACGTCATTCAGTTGAATCAGGAACACAGAGATCATGTTCCCCTGCCCAGGTGTTCAGTCTCGGCAACGCTGATGAGTTTCCACCTGTGGGGGGTGATGGTAAACCAGTCACACCAAGGTGAGAAATTACAATAGTTGTTATTTACAACTAATTTAAAACTAACTGAAAGTTTAACTTATGTGAGTTGCCCATATTCATATGAAGTTTTAAAACTATATTTTATCTTTATACAATGAAAGACTTTTTATGAAATTAAATGATTTTAATCTTCAATAATGCCTTACTGGTAAACATAAATCCATTGACTTTGTTCACTTCATAAATTTTTATGCCATTGCTAAATACCATGTTTTTATTTACAGAATACATGATTTAGCAGTGGAGAAGGGAAATTTGACAAATATGATTTTAAAAAATTCTCCTAACTTTGACAACACACCAAGAGCAGTGAAATCCAACCCAATCACGAAATCTCGTAGGATAAGTTTCACCACAATACAACAGGAGGGATCCTCAGAATCCCCCACCCCACCCTCCAGAAGAATCAACCCAACCCCCGTGTCAGGGAAACCATTCAGGAGGCAGACAAATGCCTTCATAGAACAACAGGACTCAGAAAACAAGAACAGTAACTCGAGTTTTGATCAGAGTCACTTAGAAGAGGAGAGAGAATTACTCAGGTAAAATTATTCTATATACATATACTTGAATGTACAACTGATAAGAGTCTAGAATAAGTGAATGCATGAATAGATGAAATCAAATGGAGAAAATTTTCCTGTAGATCAGAAACTGCAGGTTAAAAATGAGAACTAATATTAATTTTGAAGGAAAGAAAAAGCCAAGCATCTTCAAAACAAAGTTGAGAGCAAGTCAGATGATTGCAGCTCAACATCTGTTAGTACACCAACCAAGCTAGCCTTGGACCGTTCTGTCAGCACAGTGGAAATAGTTACTGCTGATATTAAAGAGGTCACACACAAGATTGAACTCGATAAATTGGTACAGCTGTACTCAGAATGTCTCAATGGTAAGATTTATTAAAGAGATTCAGTCCAGCTGTTGCAGTAAGCCTTCCATTTATAGAGAGGAGGTTTTTATTTTTAAAAAAAAAGGAATGATGTAAAAAGACTGCTGTTCTTTATTAAGATGCATGTCATATGAATTTCTACACAAAAGTTATTGTCAAGTGCTAATTTTTTTCATATGAATTTTAAAAAGGGTAACCCATTTGAAGAGAAGATCTTAAAAGAGAGCAATGCTTTATTGAGATTTTAAAAAGGGTAACCCATTTGAAGAGAAGATCTTAAAAGAGAGCAATGCTTTATTGAGTTTTTGTCTGTCTTTGTAAACAGAGAACCTGTTTCCTAACCTGTCTATGGAGCTGTACTTCCTGATGCAGTTGTTGACGACGCGTAGTGTAGACCTGGACTTGATAGCTGTCTGCGGAGAAGGTGGGGGTTACAGTGTTCGTTCATATGTCCAGGCTGTGTTAATTCTGACCAGTGCTTATGCTTGTCCATACTACATGTATATAAGTTTTGTCTTTCATTTTTGTTGGTATAAAAGTGAAAATACGTGTACTAGAGCTTATATTTTGTGTTGTTTGCAGATGTGTTGGAAAATAATTTTTTTTGTTCTGTCCACAACGCTGTATATTTTGCTGTTGGTGTTCTGCAGAGACAGAAAAGGTAAATCATAATTATAAGGATCTCATCAATAGTCCATCAACTTGTCACACAGACAATAAAAATGAAATAATAATTGTGATTAGTGAAATTTGATTTTAAAGGATTTTGTTTTTTATACATGTACCTTTTAAGAATGCAATTGAATTTAAAAATTAATTTGTATTTCACAGGGAGAAAAGTTGCAGAAGTTGAGACTTTTTCTATATCTTTTCTCCCCTCAAAGAAATAGTTACATGTATTTAATGATCAATACAGCAGTTTAACTTAAATGTATGAAATATAGTAAATGTTTGATACCATATACAAGGAATTTAATATGCTTGTAATTTTATACTTCATTGGAGAATGAATACTGTGGTTTATAAATATACAATTCTTGATTTTTTTTCTGTACAGATTACTTCAGTGCCTTGACAAAGTGACCTTGAGACTGTTGTCAGAGAACACCAGAATCTCTCACTTTTCTCCTGATCTAAGTCAATGGTTGATGACCATTGTTGAAAGCAAGAACCAACAGGTAGCAGGGTTGATTCAAGAACTGAGTTTATAACAAAACCTATTTTGATCATGTTTTACTTACCCGTTTTGTATATTGCATGCATAACACCTAAATATATCACATTCAAAACACCTGCAATGGGGAAAAATTTTAACCAAGATAAATATATTGACAGGTTGGTCCCATTTATCCCAAGTCTCCTATTGGTAGTGTGTCTTTCCAAGCAGAAACTGACAATAGGAAAAACTTTCCTGATGATAGAACATTTCATTTATTCAAAAAACAAAGGTAAGAATTTAGTGTTCTTAAACCTTATGTGAAATGTATTTACATTTTGAACTGACTACTTTATACAGACTATAAATTTAAGGAAATTTAACAAAAAAATTCATTTTGTATGTGTTTGAAGGCCTTTGTGCACAATTTTAAAAGGAAACTGTACCAAATTTAAAGATGAAGGTAGAGTTGTAAAAATAACATACACATTCTAATTAAGATATCATTACAGTTTTAAAACAGGTGATGGAACTGAATCTGATAATGTGTATTCATGCTTATTTATTTCTTGGAAGAACACAACATTTTGACTTATTAAAGCAATAAATGATTGGATTGTTTATATGACAAAATAAATCAATGCTTACAGGGATGGATTCTATGAAATTCTGAGGGAGTGGGAAACCAACCACATGGTGCCGGGCTGGTCTGTCAGTGATGTGCTAAGGAACAAAATCCGGGCCTTGATCAGCTCCAAGACAGAACTCTCCAACCACCTCCACTTCGCCAGACTGTTTCAATCTCAGCTTATCGCGGTAAGAAACTCCTTAGTGTCAGATCAAACTAAACAAACGGATTTTCTTCATATACACTGTATTTCAGTGTACTTTTGATTTTTAAGTTGAATTCAAGTGGTACACTTACTGAGGATGTCCATTTATTTATGCCCCTGCTTGAAGAGCAGGGATATGAAGTAATGTCTGTCCATCTCTTATTTTAAATTTTTATCAGACTTTATGGCTCTCCCATAACAGAACATCCATTTTGCCATTGATGTTCCTCTAGTTTTACTACTGAAAGCTGTTTATATCCTACGTTTATGATTAACTTTTCTCTCCAGATGTGTAAAGGAGACAGTGGTTTAATTGCTGACTCTGGTGATGACAATATTGCTTTGTTAACTCAGTTAAAGCGTTCTAATCCAGAAAAGTTTAAAAAGTGAGTCTTTTATATTCAGTTTCATTGTTTTAAAGGGTACTGCACCACTGCGACTGTTAAGTGGTTGGTATATCCACCTCTCCAATATTACTTGACTTGAGGTATTTTCTCTCCCAATACTCTCTTCAGCCACATTTTTCAACTTTCAGACTGCAGGAGAGATTTTCTAAGCCATTAAGTTTTGGAGGCCCTTGTCCTGTCCCAGCCTTTCCTGGGTGTCAGGAATTCTTCCATGATTTCATCATTGCTGCATCCAGCACTATTTTTAACCAGCATTTGAGTGATACCTTTGCATCAAAAATTCTTGAGGTATTGTAAAACTATTTTGAAAACATTTTAAACTATTCAAACCTTTTTATGGACAAATCCTCAGAGGAGGAAACCAGATATATATACATGTACATGAAATTAAAAGGCTTTCATTGTTTTGATTAGGCATGATGAATTACTTTATTCCAATCAATCAGTTACAGTGTAGTTAATATTCAAGGATTTTCCTTCTTCGAAATAGAAAAAAAATCAACAATTAATAAAGTTATAAGTAAACTGTATATGATAAGGATTTCTGAAATATTTTCAGTTGAATTCAATATGTTTTCTCCCTGAAGAAGAAACTGGAAATGAAGATTCTGATGATGTAAGTCATTCATTTAGAACATTGTTTCTCTTCCTCCCGAACCATTCCTAGGATATGATGGCACAATACAGATATAACAAATCCAATGTCACTGGGAGTAATTTATTCTTTATATGAATTTCAGGAACAGAAAGAGTTATTTATTTCTAGTCTCTTCACCCTGAGGCTGCTTGGAAAGTTCCTTGGCTTTGTGACCTTTCTACCTTATCAAACAACCACAAAACTGCCAGATGAAATGGAGGCCATGTATCTGTCAATAAGGAAAAATGTAAGCTGCTCCAAACCAATCTTGGGCAGATGAAATGTTTTTGAACTATTTTTCCCTTCTTGTAGAGTTTGAGCACTGTACACAATAACCTTTTGAAATGCTATAAAAGTGATGGAATTTCATTGTGATATAACATATCATTTTGACATTCATACTTGATTGTATATTTAGGGCCCCGCAAGGATTTGCGGGTGCCCTATAGTAATCACTCTGTCTGTCCGTCTGTCTGTCTTCCGTCCACAAATTTTCTGTTTTTTTCTAATAACTTTTTTTATGGTTGCCCAATCAAGTTCAAATTTGGTATGGTAGTTCAGTAGGCAGAAATACATATTTTGATGCTAAGTTTGGTTCTCAATGTCCTCTGGTTTGGAGCTGGGGTGGTGGGGTAGATTCCTTAACTATGCATAAGAATGAATGGACAACTGTTTTTTATGGTTGCCCAATCAAGTTCAAATTTGGTATGGTAGTTCAGTAGGCAGAAATACATATTTTGATGCTAAGTTTGGTTCTCTATGTCCCCTGGTTTGGAGCTGGGGTGGTGGGGTAGATTCCTTAACTTTAGAATGCATTGGCAAAGAGAGATAACTGCTGAAGATGTTCCCATTGTAAAATGAATGCTGGCTATGAGTCCCTCGGGATTAATTAGGTTTCCTCCTGAAGAAAATCCAGAGCATTATCTTTATCTGTCACATTGAGATGAATTACCACCTCTGTCCGCAAATGAAGTTTGTTTTGAAGTTAAGTCAATTTGGAATGCTATGAACACTGTGAAATGTGGATTTAGATATAAATTTTTATAATTTATTTTTGTTTAATAGTTATTTCATTGAATTCTAAAAACAAGAAATAGATTAAAGAAGATTTTTTGAATTACATTTTTCACTTTATGTTAATTAATTTTTAAGGTAGTTTTATAAAAACCACATTCTATCATTAATACTGAAAAAGTTCTTATTGTAACTTTAGAAGAAAATGAAGAGAGAGGTACAATTAATCCTTTGGGATCAATTATCTAGCCTGCTGCAGAAAATTTAGTAGGCTAACTAGGCTTTTCTTTATCTTTAAGATTGTCTGCAACTGCTGTTTGTTTGAAGTTAAGGTCAGGCCTTTATGATATTTGCATTCATTGAAGGCTGGCATTCTATATAACACAAGCTTCATAATTGTTTAATACATTCAATGTTAAATTGTTCTTTACTGCCTAATGTAAATACTTAGGATATTATTTTCAGGTTTTTGAATATTCAGGAATTAATTATCTTGAAATTTTAAGAATACAGTTGCTGTTGCTTATTCTTCGTACATTTTTTAATCATTCCGTAAGCTGCACCCTTTTAATTCTACCCCATGGCGGGGCCCTTGCTGACTGGTCAGTTTTCTAGTTCTGTGCAGTGATTACAAATGTCATAAATCATTCCCATAATTTTGAATCTCAGGATATGTTAAAAATAAGACTTGCAATTGGGAGATTTATGTAGTAATCAGTGTGTAAATTAGTACATTTACATATGAAATCTGTTCTTAGTTTCCAGTGATACGTTTTATATACACTTTATGCATTTCAGCACCTGCCATACTTGGACCTAGTGGAGTGCATTAAGGAGGCCCTGTCCCTCCATCGCCTTACCCTCACCATCCCCTGGGTGGTGGAGTTCCTAAGCATGATGGACGTGGTAGCCCCCAAAATTGACCACTTCCAGCTGACTCTATTCTTACTATTACTTATTCATAGGTAAAGATTCTGAATATGTTAACTTTTAAAGAACTTTAATTGTTCTTTTAGCATTTTATTTTATTGAGGGGAGAGGCTGCTAACTGAATTTCTACATTAGCTCTTTTGTGTAAGGTTTTTAAAACGATTGCACTTGTTACTTTTTTGTCCATTCTCATGGGATTCTAAGCACAATATTGGTAAATTCTTTAATTTTTCAGATCATGTTGGAGAGAATTGAAGCATGAGAATTATGGTTGCCTCCTTATTGTAACAATGATAAGCTGGTTGTTAGATGTAAGTTTAGTCAGATATAACCTTGATTTTTGTGATGAGAATAGCTGATAATTTGAAACCAGATAAAGAAAGTTGATCGTACATTTAATGAATTGTATTCTGATTGCTTGTACTTTTCAGCTTTCATTCATACCAGAGGGCTTCTTCTTTGTTGAAATTCCTCATGATGTGTTGGATATTTTACCAGATGTTCAAAGGAAGTCTACATTACAGCTGGTATGATTTTTACCATCATCTGTAATATTAAAGTTTTCAAATTTGTTTTGGACAGAAGCAATTTTTTTTAATTTCTCCAAACTTAATTCACAATATTTATGCAGTGGATAAAAGTAAATATATTTCTTTCATTGACAATTAACACTACCAATATGTTTATAAGAATGGCTTAATTTGCTACTGACATTCCTTTCTGTTTAATTTCTTGAAAAGGACACCATGGGATTTGTTGATCAAAGCGTGTTCTACTCCTGCTGTCCATATTTATGTAAGTGACATATATTAGAACATAAAGATTTAGGTTTTTTCTTATTTTGACTTTTTCGTAGAATAGATTATTTTAAGGTGTAGCTCATTACAAGCATTTTTATTATCATTGTTTGGTAATGTTTGAGCAGTAGAACTCAGAACACTGTTGACAGAGTTTGCTGTGGGCTGTAGCAGTAAAACATCTACCATCAGGAAAATCACTCCCGTATCAGCCGAGGATACTACCATCCCTAAACCATCAGATGTTCAAATTCAGGTATTTCTACTTTGCAAGATTTTATCGAGTGATTAAAATTGCAATGCAATTTTTCTTTGGCAGATAAACAGTGGGATTTTTTTCTTGATCAGATTTAAAAGGTAAAAATTAGAAAGGGCTTCATCTTAAGAAAGTTGAATTCAGATCATTGTTATATCACTACAAAATCAAAGTTACTATTAATGAGAAAAGAATCCTAAAACTTTATTGAATCATTTTATTTTTCCCCTTTCAGTTACAACTGGAGGAGAATTTCTTCCACAATCACCCAGCCTCTCTGAGGAGATGTGTGGATTTTGTGGCCGAGCGAACAGCATCTAACTTCATCAAGAAGTTCCGCTCCACCTCCCTACAGAAATCCCTGGGGGACAGTAGGGAGGCATTGAACACACACCTCATGTCACAGGCGGGGGGCTCTCCTAGCGGGAAAGCAAAAGTAGGTGATCTCAAATTATAAAATGGCATGTTTTGTCTCAGACTAGAATGTCACTTTGTCTTTGAATAATGGTCTTTTCTTGTTTACTTTAAATATTGTTTATGGACAGGAAAAAAATTTTGATGGTGATGTGGCAGATAAGATAACACTTAACATTCTTATCATTTTTGCAATGCTGCTTATAAATTTAAAGTAGTTCCCCTTTTCAGTGACCTAATCAGTAAACATGAAGGAGATTTACAAAGTTGAGATAATCACATTTCATTTTGATTTAAGAAAAAAAATAATAAATCTAATATTTTGGTATGTTACATTTTAATGACATACAAATAAGCACTATCAACATTATTTTTGCTTAAAATGGATTGAAGCATTAATGCACAAATATCTACACATTAACACACAATAATTATTTCACTGTCTGATTTATGAATTGCGTGAAAACACAGAGAATGTCCTTGTTGCTTTACACACAAAATTATCCACATCAGTTAGTCTCGTTAACACCTCAAATGGATCCTCCAAAGAAGAAGCCTGGATCCCTGGCTGCAGAATACAAATGATTTTATGAGACAAATTTTGGATTTCCTGAATGGTGTTGTCTTTGAGATGTTGGTAAATTCTCTTGATGCCGCACGCGACAGACTTTCTCAGGAGTTGGCTGTTATGTAGGCCTTCCTGTTCTTGTAGATGTGAGGCGAATATCCTTGTAGACAAGGTTTGGATGTAGGACTCTGTAATTCAAATTATAAACTCAGTATGATTTCTAACAAGAGGCCCCTGGGCCTTATAGGTCACCTGAGCATTATTCAACAACTTCCCAGTGACTGAATTTGATCCATGTTTTAAGCCAGATGCTATAGCATTTACAATTTGGTCATCATAACTATACACTTAGCAGTTCCTAGTTTGGTTACTTTATACCCATAGGCAGGTTAGGGGAACAAAAAATGCATTTCAACTAATCAGTAATATTCAGCAATAATCAGTAGTGCCACTACCACACATGAACCCTTGACTCTTAGGCCTAGATCCACACATTGCACTATTTTTGGAAAGGAATACTTGCTTTTCAAAAATATTTGATTAATACCAAGGAGCACATTTCAAACAATTCATTCATTTTCAGTACATAAGTATAGCCTCCCCCCCCCACTATGGTACAACTGACCCTGGGGCCTTGAAATTTACAATTCTTGAAGATTAGGGATTGCTCATAACTATATAGGTAATTCATCTGCTTAAAACCTAGGAGAAAAGAAGAAAATATTCAAAGATTTAATGTTTTTTCACTATACATGTATAATCAATACAGCCCCGCCCTAACACCAGAATCCCTGACCCTGGGGCCATAAAATTCACAATTTTGGCAGAGGCACTTTTGCTGATCATAACTGTGTACTTAGTTAGTTTATTTAATACCCAGGAGTAAAGAAGAAGATTTTCAAAGAATTCATGTATTTCCTCTATATAATCAATAGAGCCCCACCCTGACACCAGAACCCCTGACCCTGGGGCCATAAAATTCACAATTTTGGTAGTGGCACTCTTGCTCATCATAACTATGTACTTAGTTAGTTTATATAAAACCTAGGAGCAGAGAAGAAGATTTTCAAAGAATTCATGTATTTTCACTATATAATCAATAGAGCCACGCCTTAAACCAGAACCCCTGACCCTGGGGCCATAAAATTCACAATTTTGGTAGAGGCGCTCTTGCTCATCATAACTATGTACTTAGTTAAATTATCTAAAATCTAGGAGCAGAGAAGAAGATTTTCAAAGAATTCATGTATTTTCACTACATAATCAATAGAGCCCCGCCCTTACACCAGAACCCCTGACCCTGGGGCCATAAAATTCAAAATTTTGGTAGAGGCACTCTTGCTCATCATAACTATGTACTTAGTTAGTTTATTTAATACCCAGGAGTAAAGAAGAAGATTTTCAAAGAATTCATGTATTTCCTCTATATAATCAATAGAGCCCCGCCCTGACACCAGAACCCCTGACCCTGGGGCCATAAAATTCACAATTTTGTTAGAGGCACTCTTGCTCATCATAACTATGTACTTAGTTTATTTAATACCCAGGAGCAGAGAAGAAGATTTTCAAAGAAATAATGCATTTTCACTATATACTTATTTAGCCCTGCCCTAGTACAAGAACCCCTGACCCCAGGGCCATGAATTTCACAATTTTGGTAAAGGACTCAGTGCTGATTACAATCATGCAAACAGTTTGACTGCTTGATGTCCAGGAGTAAAGAAGAAGATTTTTGAAGATTGCATTAATTTTAGTGGTTTTGGCCCCACGGGGGGCAGGGATCATGAAATTCACAATTTTTGTTCCCCTTCACCCATAGATGCTTCTTATGAAATGTTGTTTACCTAATATAAGTAGAGAAAGTGACTAAAAAAGTAAATTAAGATGGAAATCTTTTAAAGGTTTTTTTAAATGCAAAATTTCTTGGTATTTTGAGTCTTTTTTTTTCATTTGATCAGTTGATCTATCCAAGGAAGAAGTCCTAAGTCAGGCAATACATTTAAGGAATAACTGTCTTATTTTTCGAATTCATGAAGTGATCAATGGATTGGCTTGTGTGATAATTTGCATAAACGCCCAAGGCGTTTATGCATAAAATTATCACACAAGCCAATCCATTGATCATCTTCATGAATTCGAAAAATCTGACAGTTATTCCTTATATTTACATGCTTTGATTCCGCCAATCCACGGGTTCCAAGCCTGCTTCTCTCTAGGTGTTGTCCCGCCCTGCACGTGGATTTTTTGGAACCGCGCCAAGACATTCATGAGGAAATAAATTACATTTACAATTGGTAATTTTATCTCGGACAAAGACATTTGAAATGTAAATATTCCTCAATATAAAGACATAATTTTCTCTAGGAATTTGTCATAAAAATATATGATATATTTTATAAAAAGTTTGGTCACAAATAGTTGAGGTACCTTGCTAGACATTTGTGCAAAATACCTATGGGTGTTTCCAGTATCATAATTTTTTTATATACAAATGTTGTTTTTTTTTTTTAAATATTTTTAAAACAGTTTAGAAATCCTAATTTGATGACAATTTTTGATAATTTTTAATATCCTTATAAAATTACAAGGAGATACATAATAGATATTTGAGGAATGCGTTATCTGCATGAAATTAAAATGAAATAAATTTCAATTAATAAACCTGTTGCATAAAGTTGTTCTTCATATTTCTGACATTGTTGAAGAAGTTTCTGCAGTTCGACTGCGTAGGCTATCAGTTGTTCATCATTCATTGTAGAGTCTTTGAAATTCCTATGAATAATTCATTTTTAGCAGTATTTATACCCCCACCGCTGAATCACTCAAGGTAAACCATACCTAATTATTAAAGGATCAAAAGATAATCCTTCTAGATCACAGAACATGGAATCTTTGATGTATTGGGATTAAGTATATAATTATAGAGTAATTAGGGCAATTATGTCTTTCTAGCTGTGGTGGTAGAACAGGTATTATTTGACACCTTTCTCTGAGATACCTGAGTAATTGAGGCTATAGGTGTGATAAGATTAAGATTTTAAATAATTGTGTCTGTTGTTAATTTACAGTTTTATTTCAGAGAGAAACTACTCAGTTGTTTTCAAAGTTATTTATAAAAAAAATAAATAAATAGAATTGATATATGAAATTCTGTTGAAAATTTAATGATTAAATATTTTGCCTAATATTTTTTTTTTACTCAAAGTCACAAAATTAAAAAACATAATTTTTTCCTTATTCATGGGCAAAACAAATCACTAACAAAAGGAATGTTTTACCTATATACTTGTGTCTTATTTCAGGACAAGTTGCAGCATGATATCTTGAAAATTGCACAGGATCATGTTTCACAGGCCAAACTCACAGTGGCCAAAGATGTAGGCAGGTTAGCAAGATATTAGATTTTAAAGTGCATGTTTTTACTGATGCATAGCATGAAGCTATTGAACTCTTTTCATATACAACTGTATGACAGTTTGAGCAAACTATCCAGATGAATGAAGCATCCATATTACAAAAATATATTATGTTCATAGTGTATATAAATCATTCTCTGCAAATTTCATCCAGAGAGTGAAGTGCTTGAGTTGTGGGCATGCAAATTAATAAACTCTCACTGTATCCTGTAGATTTCTTATTTCTCGTGAGAATTTGTTTTCGCGAAAATAGCTCTATAACACAAAATCGTGAGGATAATACTTCATGAATGAACCCTTGATCAATAGATCTTTGCATAGATTTTAGCACCAAAAAGAAAGCGAGTATATTTATTTTGGAGTTGTGTTTCTCATGAAATTATGTGATGATTAATTCCTCGCTTATATTTAGGAATCTACAGTATTTGTTTTGGGGTATTTCATATACAGTAAAACATGGTTTAGTGAATATGCTTCTAATGAATTGATGCTTACAATGAAATGATTTTCAATCCTTGTGACATCAAAATATATATGTATGATAAACTTAACAGATATTGCAAATTGCTTTTTAAACAAAGCAATATTGCCCGTCCCAGGCAATTCTTTACAAGCATGTTTTATTGTATTAGTATTTTATTTGTGTTTACCCAGGACAAAGCCAGTGTTTTTCTTATATTTTCATCATCACACAATTATTTTTGTCCTGTTTACAGTTATTGTGAAGAGAGAATCAAGGCTCTGGTGCCATTGCTGTTACCAGATGAACAGTCGGATAGTGTGAAGCAAACTTCGTCAGGGATTGCCACCCGAATGTCACAGGAGAAGGTCCACTCCTGGATCAACAGGCACATCACTGTCCGTAAGTTAACCTAGACAAACATAATAACTCTTCATCTAGTGATGCTATAAATACTGAAGTGGAAAAGTGTAGCACATCATCAAAATTAACTGTCATGAACTTCTGATGTTTAATTTCTGGTTGAGAAAATAAAACTTTCTCCTGTCCGTTTTAGAGATGTTTCAGTCGGAGTTGACATTAGAGTTGGACAGAATACTAAAGTCACAGCTTCTTAATCAGACTCGAGCCAGCACGACGGGTTCAGAAGTGTTGATCCCTGTGAATGCTGAGTCCAGCTTTGAGGTGATTGCCGGAGAACATGATGACAACACGAGACTGCCATCGGAAGTTCTCATTGACATCAAAGATGTGGTAAAGCTCATTATGCTGAGAAACGTTAATCCTGGTAGGAAAGCTGTGAAGGACCTTCTGATGGAGACCAAGGTCATTCTGGAAAGAAGACAGGTAGAAATACTTCTAATTTAATAAATTATACAGGGTTTATCATTTAGAAATAGTGTTGGAACCTGAATTTATATTTTAATTATGGAACACTTCATCAAAATATTAAGGTAAAGAAATTTGCTACCCCTGCCAACTATTTCAAATTTTTCCTAAAAACGAATAAATAAATTGTAAGAAGATGAGGAAGTTGCAAAATATTAAAATGGATCTGGTGAATTATATGTTTCATTAAACTTAATTTTGTATCAAAATACAATGAAAGAATTTTTTTTTACTTTTTTGCAGGACTGGCTTCCTGGAATATTTAGATCCTATGGTCAGCTGGTAATAGACCTATGTCTTTCATTGTGTAAGTTTATTTTTTCTTCACTGTATTGATTTTTAGCTCTTCTGAGCCAAAGGCTCAAAGAGCTAATGCTATGGCCATTTGTGCGGTGTGCATAAACTTTTTAGAATATGGGCAATAACTCAAGAACCCCTTGGCCAATCAGTACCAAATTTGTCACAGGGTATCCTTGGCCCAATGGCTACCATTTATACTAAAATAAGGGTTGAGACCCTTAAACAAGGGGAGATAATCAGGAAAACAAAACCAAAAGTACTGGTTGCTAAAAAATCTTCTTCTCCATAACCACCAGGCAGATTTTCACCAAACTTACATACAAGGATCAGGATATGTCGAAGATTAAAATTTGCACGGGGAATTACCCTTGGGCAAAGGGCGTGGTCTCAAGGTCACTTCAGAGTTGACCTAAATTTACAATTAATAAAAACTTGTATATTTTGCTTACTATAAGGACTAGGATCATCAAATCTTGTAAGTTGATGCATCTTACGACTTCACATCATGTTAACTCAAAAGTAGGTCACGGTGACCTACTTTTTCAATTTTGCGGGGATTTGTTTTCAAATTGATTTGAAGGCATATTTTGGACACTTTAAGGCCTATGATCATCAAACTTTGTCACTTGATGCATCTTGTGTCCTTGAACAATGTCAACTTAAAATTAGGTCACCATGACCTACTTTTTGAACTTTATGACTTATCTTTTTAAAAACATTAAATCCCATTATTTCAGACACTGGGAGGTTTAGAATCATCAAATCTTGTACTTTGATGCATCTTGGGACCTTAAAACATATTTATGAACAAGTATTAGCTTTCCTAAAAAGCTTGTCTGACGTTGTTTGCTTAATTTTAAAGCGGAAAGAAATAATAGATTATGTTATATAATTTCTTTCGTTCGATAATATATCTTCAAGAGACCATGCGTATTCAATATTGTATACAATAATGTACAAAGAACTAATTTAAATTGAAGCTCCTGGCTCCAGGATTAAGTGAAATTTTTAATCGCCGATAAAATATTTATTAATTATGGAATTTATTTCTTCATTTGCACATAACAACATCTCTGTAAAACAATGTTAAAATATCCCCAACCCTAACCCTTCTTGTCTGCTTGACTTTTACAACATCTGATCATAAGACTAGAGGTACTGTAAGCGATGAGCTCACTAAATCATACCCCTGCCTCCCATATGAATATAATGGCAGTATCCATGTTTTGCTGTGGAAAATCCAAAAATATATGTCAGATCAAAAAGTAAAATAGGAGATGCACAATGGCAATATATGTAATAAAGATTCTGTGAAAGTTTCATGAAATTTCCTTCAGTGGTATGAGAGGAGTTGCGGATAAGAGATGGGTACCCCAAAGCGTAACAGACGGACGGACGGACATACCGATTACTTTCTACCCTCCCAGTTTTCAAGCTCGGGGGGGGGGGGGGGGGGGGGGGGGGGGGGGGGGGGTATAATAAATATTTTGATCGACTTAGGCTTAAGATGTTTCAAGATCCCGGGTCAGCATTTTTAGCTCACCTAAGCCGAAGGCTCAAGTGAGCTTTTCTGATCACATTTTGTCCGGCGTCCGTCTGTCTGTCCGTCTGTCTGTCTGTAAACTTTTCACATTTTCGACTTCTTCTCAAGAACCGCTGGGCCAATTTCAACCAAACTTGCCACAAAGTATCCTTGGGTGAAGGGGATTCAACTTTGTTCAAATGAAGGGCCACGCCCTCATTCAAGGGGAGATAATTGGAAATTAATGAAAATTTAGTGGCATATTTTAAAAATCTTCTCAAGAACCACTGTGCCAGGAAAGATGAAACTTATGGGGAAACATCCTCAGGTAGTGTAGATTCAAGTTTGTTCAAATCATGACCCCCGGGGGTAGGGCGGGGCCAAAATGGCCGACCAAAGTTTTACATAGAAATATATAGGAAAATTCTTTAAAAATCTTCTTCTCAAGAATGACAAAGCCATAATTCATCATATTTATATGGAAGCATGTTCAGGTAGTGTAGATTCAAGTTTGTTCAAATCATGACCCCCCGGGGGTAGGGCGGGGCCAAAATGGCCGACCAAACTTTTACATAGAAATATATAGGAAAATTCTTTGAAAATCTTCTTCTCAAGAATGACAAAGCCATAATTCATCATATTTATATGGAAGCATGTTCAGGTAGTGTAGATTCAAGTTTGTTCAAATCATGACCCCCGGGGGTAGGGCGGGGCCAAAATGGCCGACCAAAGTTTTACATAGAAATATATAGGAAAATTCTTTAAAAATCTTCTCAAGAATGACAAAGCCATAATTCATTATATTTATATGGAAGCATGTTCAGGTAGTGTAGATTCAAGTTTGTTCAAATCATGACCCCCCGGGGTAGGGCGGGGCCAAAATGGCCGACCAAAGTTTTACATAGAAATATATAGGAAAATTCTTTAAAAATCTTCTTCTCAAGAATGACAAAGCCATAATTCATCATATTTATATGGAAGCATGTTCAGGTAGTGTAGATTCAAGTTTGTTCAAATCATGACCCCCGGGGGTAGGGCGGGGCCAAAATGGCCGACCAAAGTTTTACATAGAAATATATAGGAAAATTCTTTAAAATCTTCTTCTCAAGAATAGCAAAGATATGATTGGTCATGGGAGTAGTTTTGGATTTAAACTTTTCAATAATAAACCAATTTCTACTTTTTCATAACCACAGTGCTCAGGTGAGCGATGTGGCCCATGGGCCTCTTGTTCAAGTAATGTTTTATATGTTTAATGACCTAGCTGATTTTTTATTCAACAAACAGAATAAAATGAAGGTTGTAAATGATGAAATCAATGGGAAGATCTATGATCAGTTAATGGGCGCTTATAACCCTAACCCTCACCCTGGCGATAACAATCTTGACAGAGCGTTACACATGCTGACCATTCCCCTGCTGTTCTTGAAAGTTTTCATTGCTTCTCAAACCATTTGATGTACAGTGATTCTCAACATAACACTGTTTCGTAATTGATTGATGAAATTCTGAACTGAACCATCTGGGAAAAGAAACAAGAAGATGCAAACTAATTTACAATGTAATATGGTCCAAAATATAATCGTTGGATATAGGAGTGAAGTATACCACTTCAGCAACATACAAATCTATTTACACAATAAAGAATTAAAAGCGAACTTGAATAAGACATTTTTTCTGTTTTCACTGTATTTTTCTCAGGTACCGTATTTAATGATCAGTTTTTACAATACTTGGAGCAGGGCAACTAAGGAAAATATTTGGACACGTGCCTGATGTTTAGGTACTAGTAATTCAATGTCAAGGTATAATTTTACTGAAAATAAGCAATCAGTTTTAACCATAACATGTAAAATGACTTAATCTTTGATACACAACACAAAACAGTGAGATTTATAAAATAAGGCATTTTTTTAGTAGAGAACTGAAGCAGACGTTCAAAGATGAAAGCATAAATTATACTAAAGACGAGATCATTCAGTAATTAAATAAAAGCTCATTTCCTCCTTGGAGATTATGCATGTATCGAAATTTCCACCATCGAACTATCTAAACAATTTCATGGAACGACTGCATAAATAAGCCCTGGTTAAATCTAGTACTGTCTGACGCCGTGACGTCAGACAAAAAGTAGGTCCTGTGACCTACTTTTTGAATTTTGATGACATTTGTTTTCAAATTCTTTAAAATGCATATTTTGATTACCTTCAGACCTACGATCATCAAACTTGGTTAGTAGATGTACTTGGGTCTTTGAAAAACGTCGACCAAAATGTAGGTCATGATGACCTACTTTTGACATTTTATGGCTTTATTTAAGTATCTCTGGTACTTATTGGCTTAGAATCATCAAACTTTGTGAGTTGATGCATCTTGGGTTTTCGGAGAGTGATGACCAAAAAGTAGGTCACAATGACCTACTTTTGACATTTTATGGCTATAATTAAGTATCTCTGGTACTTATTGGCTTAGAATCATCAAACTTTGTGAGTTGATGCATCATGGGTTTTCGGAGAGTGACGACTAAAAAGTAGATCATGGTGACCTACTTTTGACATTTTGTGGCTATAATTAAGTATCTCTGGTACTTATTGACCTAAAATCATCAAACTTTGTCAGTTGATGCATCTTGGGTTTTCGGAGATTGTCGACCAAAAAGTAGGTCACAGTGACCTACTTTTGACATTTTATGGCTATATTTAAGTATCTCAGGCACTTATTGGCTTAGAATCATCAAACTTTGTCAGTTGAGGCATCTTGGGTTTTCGGAGAATGTCGACCAAAGAGTAGGTCACAGTGACCTACTTTTGAATATCTCAGGTACGTATTAGCTTAGAATCATCAAGCTTTGTCAGTTTAGGCACGTTGGGTTTTCGGAGAACGTCAACCAAAAAATAGGTCACTGTGACCTACTTTTGACATTTTATGGCTATATTTAATTATATCTGGTACATATTGGCTCAGAATCATCAAACTTTGTCAGTTGAGGCATCTTAGGGTTTCATTGAATGTCCAACAAGAAGTAGGTCATGTTGACCTACTTTTAAATATCTCAGGTACTTAGTGGCTTAGAATCATCAAATTTTGTCAGTTAAGGCATCTTGGGTCTTTGAAAAATGTCGACCAAAAAGTAGGTCACCGTGACCTACTTTTGACATTTGATGGCTATATTTAATTATCTCTGGTACTAATTGGCTTAGAATCGTGAAACTTTGTCAGTTGATGCATCTTGGGTTTTCAGAGAATGTTGACCAAAAAATAGGTCATGGTGACCTACTTTTGAATATCTCAGGTACTTATTCAATTAGAATCATCAGTCTTTGTCAATTAATGTATCTTGAGTCCTCAGAAAATTTCAATCAAAAAGTAGGTCACTGTGACCTACTTATGGTATTTTATAATTATATTTTAATATCTTCAGTCTTAACTGGCTAAACATTATCAAACTTTGTAAGTTGATGCATTTTGGGTCTTATGATACTAATAGAGTTGGAGGCTTCTAATAGAAGTGATAGATTGTACAATTTATCAGAAGAGCGATTCAAGACCCTTGGGCCTCTTGTTAAAATATTTTTACTTATTTTTTTTTTAACTTGGCTTCATTTTGTCAAAATTCTAAGTGTGCATAAATCAATTCTCAATATTATAAGTAGATTATGTTTTGAAAGTTGCCTGATTAACAAATGACATCTTTTTTTACAATCCAGTTTGTCATTTCCCTGAAGAGTGGACTATTGAGGACATTGAGGAATTTAAGGAGCTGTGGACGGGTCCTTTAAAGTCTGCCATCCCCCTCTCCACTGTCATGTGTAGTTACTCCCTGAAGATGACAGAAGAATCTCCCAATCCAAAGGTCTATCATCTATTACATGTGATCTGTAGCTTGGTCATGTTGGTACCGGTGATTTATGAATCTCAGAGCAAGCCATCACTGTTAATTAACTGCAATTCAACAATAAAGCTACAGAGCAACCCATCAGTTTACATTTTTTAATCTGATCTGTTTCCAACATAAAATGTGTTTATGCAGCTTAGAGTATATACATGTATATAAAATACATGTATTTTTGTTTTTCAGCTGGCCTGGACCAACTTGGAGAATTTGCTTCTGCTGTTGACTCAGCAGACATTACTGACAACTAGTGAACTACAACAGAGCTGTTTAAACATTCTGACAGAAACTCAGGTAGCTGATGCACATCCTCACCAGCCAGTGTAAACTTAAGAATTAATTTTCTGATACTTGAATAGCTTTTTTTTTCTTAATTATCTTAAATCAATATTAGTCATCCTCATAGATAGCCTATCATTTTATTTGAGAGGAAGTTTAATCAAAGAATCTGACATTTGCACTTGTAAAGATCTCATCAAAGAATTTTTTGTCTGTACTTTGAGCATTAATGGAGTAAACTTTTCCTCTTTGAATGGGAAGTCTCATTTAGTATGATTACTATGTTCTCTTGTAGGAAAGTATTGAAAACTTGGCTGTTTGTTTGTGCCACATTATGGAAAGACTTGAGCTTGATCCAGAATTTACAGAGGAGTGTGAATTAGGGGACATTCTGGAGTGGATCTACCAGATTTGTGGGGCGGAGGCCCCAGTGTCAAAACACATACTTAAGACTCTGAAGTTGGATGTACCACCAGGACAAGTGGTAGCTAAACCATCTTCTGAGCAAGTCGAGACATTGACCACTGCAAAATGTGAATATTGTCAAAACGATAAAGACAGTGAGTCAGAATTCAAGACTACACACTCTATTCAACAGAAGGAAGGTGTTTGTGATGGTGATTTAATAAATAAGTGTGAACAGAGTAAGAGTGAACAGATGGACATAGTTCATGGGAAATTAGAATGCATGTCTGTTTCTGTTAAGGATCATGAAATATCAGTTCCGATTAAGTGAATTGTATGAGAATCCATTCCTGTTTAATGTCTTTCAATACAAGGGGAAACAACTAGTCTGCTTCACAGTAGAAAAAAGTGAAATAAAATTAATACATGTATTTATGTATTTGTACTTCACAAAAAAAAAATTTCAATCTTCAAAATAAAAGATGACATATCTTGAGCTAGTGATTTTTATTATTTTTATTATGACGTCGAGCAGAGCTCAATTATCATCTAGTTATTTTATAGGATTAGCTCAAATGTGCGAATGCAACAGACTTTAATGATGTGTATACAGTATACAAAACATACTTTAGTTTGACCTCATATCCATATCATTCTACAAAGGAAAAAGCATAAAGCAACATCATAACAAACAGAAACATACAAAATATCGATATTTGGGGTGGGGGGATTAATCTGTTGCAATGCAGCATCTAATTTTGATTACGTGAGCAACCAATCACCTTTACCAACAGACATATACTACATACATAACAAACACGTTTTCCAGTAATAATGATAAATAAATCTTGATTGTCACGAAATATTGTTAATATTCCATTTCCTTAAAAGAAACTAGAGGTAACATGAGCACTGAGCTCACTAAATAATCCCCCCCCTACCTTCCATTTGATTATGATGGCAAATTCCATGGTTTGCTCTGGGAGACCAGAAATGCGTGTCAGATGTAACAGTAAAATTTTGTAATCTGACAGATATTTTGGGTCTCTCATAACTAAACATGGACTTTATCATTATATTAATCATATGGAATGCGGGGTATCATTTAGTGAGCTCATTGCTCACAGTACCTCTTGTGCAGTGGTTCGAGTGTCTCCTCTTGAGTTGCGGCGTAAGGAGTCGATCCTTACGTTGTGGGTTCAAATCCAACTGTTGGATGTGGAGACTGGTCCTTTGGTTCTGACCGTATAATCCAAGGTCACATGTCGCAGTGGGTTTTGGCACGAAAAAGATCCCTTGCTGCTCAATGGCCCTGAGTGCTGAGTTTAGGACAAAATTTGCAGCTCTCCACCAGCAAATGGTGGCATCTCCATATGAGTGAAATATTCTTGAGAGGGACATTAAACAACGTACAAATTAACACAGTACCTCTAGGTTTATTAAGGTCAAGATCTAGTAAATAACTTTAGACTAGCTTTTTGGTGCTAGATGCATTATGACGTCATAATCAATTTCAACTTTCTTTTTCCCGTACTTTACGGCTATAGCAGAATTATGTAGAAAATATGGTATTTTCATGACATTCAATTTGAAATCATATGAAAAGTAAACCGGATACCTATATTGAATTTGATATTGGTTTAAAGAAGAGGCCATGAACATACTAATTACCATTTTCCATGAGACTGTAGGCAATCTGGATACATTTCCTTTGTCGAATATGAAAAAAAACTCCCATATTCATGACTGGTTTTCTTAATTTTTCATTGAAAATGACAGTTTAAAATACAGTTTTTCATCTTGTTTACCTACAAATTATGCCCCGAAACACCTTATTTGACCAAGCTAAAGTTGTAAAGCATCAGTAAAGGAATTCATTTCTCAAATTTGATAAATCTGTAGGCACCTTTCATTTACTAGATCTTGACCTTAAGATTGCTGACTTCTTGTTTTGAAATGAAATTTTTAAGATTCTTATACATAGATGAACTGTGGACCAAATGACAGGTGTACATTTATATCACATATACTGTATAAAGTTTTTTTTTTTCAATATTATGCCCCCCTTCGAAGAAGGGAGGGCATATTGCTTTGCTGCTGTCAGTCGGTCTGTTGGTCCACCATCAGTTTCCGTTCATTTTCTTCACAGAGGTTGTACATATTGAAATGAAATTTAGTATACAGATTTATTGTAAACAATGTCAAGTTTTGTTTTTTGGTATGATCGAGCCATTTTGGACAGAGTTATGCCCCTTGGACTTTGAAAAATTCCAATTATTTGCAGTTTCCATTCATTTTCTTTGCAGAGGTTGTACACGTATATTGAAATGAAATTTGGTGTCAAGATTTATCATAAAAATATCTAGGTCTGGGTATGTCTGAGCGATTTTTGACAAAGTTATGTACCTCGGACTTTTAAAAATTCCAATTATTTGGGGGAGCTGGGCATAAGTGTTTTACAAACATCTCGTTTCAAATATAACCAAATTAATGAAGCACTTTTGGAACAGTTCTAGTTTAAAAATCTTGATGAATCTAATAGAAAAAACAAAATACTTCTGTAACAAAAATATTTATTTGCAGAACAATTAAATTACACAGATCACTAATCTGATACATATGTATAAAGTGACATGCGAGTGTAAAAGAAGGAATGAATAAAAATATTTTATCAAAAAACTATAAAAAGAAAACATACATGTATCTATGGTATAAAACAACTGGAAACATTGGTGATTAGAACTGGTTTAAATCTGAATGCAAAAATGCAGTAACACGAATATATGTAAAACAACAAGGATCAGAAAAACAAATCACTTACTGGCTTAGATACTTGCCGGGTATGTTAACCTTTTTTAACATGTTTATATCAGCATCAAAACATATTTTGATAATTTTTTTTGGGGGGGGGGATAAAAAAATGTAAAGCAATGACTCTGTAAAAAGCATGGATTTCTTGTAGACAAATACCCTACATGTGACAATAATGTACCGTGTTTATATATCTTTCACAGAATTAAGAATATACTTCATGTAAGTTATTACATTTCAATAATGAGTAGAAAAGAAACTTTCTTTAGGTCTTAGGATTTAAGTTTCAAACAAGTGAATTAATCAGATATAAAAATCATATAATAGAGATCCAGGTCCATTGTAAGCAGCAGCAAACAATTCAAGTGAAATTAACATGTTTACTTTATCAATTCAACAAATTAAAGGAAAAAGAAACTTGTTAAATTTCACAAAAAAATGAATAAATATGGTTCATTGTTGTTGATATCCATAGTATGCCTCTGTGAGTGCCTTATTTTTCTCCATTCGTCTCTTGACAAGCTCCATCTTTTTGGATGCTCCGTATAATTTGCCGGCAGACTGCATGACATTTGCATGCAAGACAGCTGTGTCCAAATCTGAGAAACCGGAAGCCGAGAGAGAATTTGTCTGCAAACGAACAGAATTTCTGTTAAAGCAATATTTATTAAACCAATGATAATTTAAGATGCAAGCTTAGTATACAAAATATGTGTCAACCATCAATATAGATTTCTGTCTTCAATCAACCATGCAGATAGTTTGTAAAACGTATGAGCCAGTTTCAATTTACGCTCATTTTTTTTGGGGGGGGGGGGGGCAGTTTTCTACCCTACCTGCTTCCTTTCTTTGTGAAGCTTATTGACTACTTGTGTCAATGATCTGCTCTCCTCAATAAATGCCACCTTGTCTTCACGCTGCTGTAAATTCTTGGATCCTTTGGAAATCATGCTTTTTGAAGACAATCTATGAATACAAAATGGAGGATTTTAGAAATACTTTAAATTTAAACTAATTTAAAAGGTATGTCCTGGTTAAATAAACATAGGTCACCCCCCTTTATTGTAAAATAAAGATCCAGATAATGCCAAAGAGAATCACAATGGAATGCATATGACCAATCTTTTATGGTGACATTTAAATATCTAGATTTAGACACACAACACATTCTAAATCTGACATTAGTTTCCCTGCCAAACCAAATAATTTGATTTGACATCAAAGATCAAACTGTACATAACTGAGTCATGACACACTGTTTAACATGATACAACCAAAGGCAAACTAATTAATTCTAGGTTCAAAAGAGTTGTTAAAATTTTGTACAAGACAGAAGTACTTCATCCCATGATGCCTCTTAAATACAATTTAACTTTAATCTTTAAGAAAAAAAACAAGCAAATTCAGAGAATTATGGTAACTTTGATGTCAAATAAAGAACAAATCAAATCTCCCTCTTCCTCTCATAACACTCCCCCCCCACCCATCCCCACCCCCAATATGCATTAGGTGTACAAAAATTTTGAAAAATTTATCATTTTTCTTTCCATAAAAGTATGCATCCTTCTTCTTTCCAAGTTGAAATTTTTTACTCACAATTTTGAGCGAGCATCTTCAATATCTCCTTTACTGGCCAAGTAAGCTGTCTTCTGTACTACTGCAGTGCCAACCACATTAACATTCATAGCCTACAAAATTTTGTAGCGGAAATCTTATTAATTTTACAGACACATAAAGGTCGATATATTAAAAATATGTGTATTATATATATATATATTTTAATTGTTTTAATTTTTCAATTATACTTTAAGTATAAATATTTATGATGAAACTAGCCAAATTGAATATAAATCCAGATTTGGACCGATTTTCACAGAGAAATAAAAGTTTGTACAAAAGTTTATAAAAATATGCCTGCTCCAATGGGATCATTGATAAATGTAAATAATAGAAAGTGTTTCCTCTTGGCTTTATTACAGTTCAAATGTGTTGTTCAGTTTGATAACTTACTTTTCAGATGAAGACTTTCAGATATTTATACTTGATAATACTTATGTAAAAAAAATATTACATATCCAGCACAATGATAACAAAACTAGAAAAGCTTCAGATAGTTTTTGGTCATTAGGATGAACATGCATTTAGTGTTTATAGACCTTATCTAAAAGACAAACAAACAGACAGACAAAGCTGTGAGTTTGACTTACCTCCTCCATGGTTTGTCTGTTGTCTGTGGTAGACAGTGATTTACTGATGGTTCTCAGCATGTTTCTGCCATCCTTCAGTGTGTAAGAAATTTGTACCTATACAGGACAACAAAAATGAACTTATTGTTGAAATATCAGATCAAACTACAAGGAGTGAATGTATAATAAATCAAATACATTGTAAAACTACAAATAAAACAAATTTAGTAAAATTTATAACTGTACACATTGCACTGGGTAGACTTTTACAGAATTATACCCTTTTAACAATTTTGTTCAAAAGTCAATAGAATTCTTCTAAATATGACCTTGAACTTGTCAAAATGACCTTGTTTATTAATGAGACATCATCTTGTCATAAGCAATCTATGAGGGAAATAAAGTCACCCACTGTTTCTGTATTACAAGGTTACAGATGAGAAACAAGAAAGACGTGCACAAGCTAAAATTTTCAATTACTTAGACACTAGATTAAAGGGATCTATTGCCTTACCTGGAATGGTATTTTTTCTATGTCCAATTTTTTCCCAGGATTTTTCAACTTAAATGAGAATGTCATATCAGTATCTTTTGTTGCACTTCCCACCTCCTTAATTATCTTGCTACTGCCCTACAACAAAAAATATATACATTTCATAATCAATGCATTATCATAGATCAGAGGTCCATGTGCCACAATGCTCACCAGAGTCACTTTTAAAGTCAAAGGTCAAGAACTTGTGTACTATATGCACACATATATATAGAAATCTTATTTTTTTTAAAAATTGCCAAGTGTTAAATGTTATGTGAAGAGTTTTTCATTTTTCTATTTCAAATACAGTTGAACTCCTGTAACTCAAACACTGGCATCTCGAATACCATGGATATGTCGAAGTGATTTAGTCAACCAAACCTCTTATTCTTTAGGTATTTTACCCTCAATATTTTTATTGTGCTCAGAACAATGTTTGATTGTATGTTAAAAATAATAACCTTAGGAAATCTGGGGTCATCCACTTCCAGCTCTGGATGGAGAAAGAGAGTGACCGTAACATATGTAGCAATGACGTAATTCTGTGAGATGAGTCGTAACTGCCGGGATATTTCCAGGGGATTAAGCACATTCACAGTACCACCAGAAATATCTGCACATTTGCTAACTTTCTCTAATCCAGTTCTCTCCCCTTCCACAGCGAGAATAGAAATAGTGATGTTCTTCTTTTTGGCATATTGCCCAGCCTTTAAAAAGAGAAATGTACATTGATTCAAATAAGTTATGGAAAAACTTGTTATTTTTAATAGCAGCCAATACATTTGCATATTTACAAAAGAAGCATAGATGAATCCAATAAAGCATTAATCGTGTGATTTATCTGACCTCCACATAGAAATTGGGATCCCTGTTCATGTTGCCTATGCCTCCATTTGGTGCTCCATCAGTACATAAAATAATCTCAGATCCCACGGAACCATTGACAATCCCCATGGCAACAGAAAGGGCGGGGCCAAGACTGGTACAGCCTTTTGGTTTTAGCTTATTTACTTCTGTCACTATTTTCCTATAAAGGTGGATATATATTTTAGGTAAATTTAAGCAACTTATGTAAAATGCATTTCTATTAACTTTCCATAATAAATCACTGGTGACACATCAATTCTTTAATGTTTCAATTTGCAAAGGCATTGCTTGTAAAATTATAAAAGAGGTCTTGCATGAGGTGCACAATTCAATTGTTTCAAGTACCTAAAAATTATACAATTTGTAGATTCTGATCAATTCAATAAATTGGTCATAAACCTTAATATTTACATTTCCAATGTCTTTGTCCGAGATAAAATTACCAAATGTAAATGTACTTTATTTCCCCATCAATGTTTGCAGGGCGGGACAAACAGCTAGACAGAAGCAGGGCTTGGAGCACGTGGATTGGCGGAATCAAAGCATGTAAATATAAGGAATAACTGTCTTGTTTTTCAATTTCATGAAGATGATCAATCGATTGGCTTGCGTGATAATTTTATGCATAAACGCCTTCGGCGTTTATGCAAATTATTACGCAAGCCAATCGATTGATCACTTCATGAAATCAAAAAATAAGACAGTTATTCCTTAAATACATGTATTTCATTATACATGTATGTACTTCTAAATGTCCCTGTCACTGTTTTCCAAAACTACATGCCCGTAGTACAATGTATTTATACATGTCCTTAAGCTTAGAATGTATTGATATTTACATTGAGAAGACAGAAATAATAGTTACTGGTAGGATTCCGTTAAAGGCTTGATCTGGTGTTCCGTGGAATACTTTTCTCCGTAGCTCAGTAATGGTTCAAACTCATTATGGATGCTGGAAGGCACGGTCTGTATGGTGTTATCTGAACAATCTCCATAGACTTCCACCTTTGATTCAAACGTTAAGAAGATCACTCGACGGTCTGGGTTGTCCAGGTGCAGTCGCTCTAACTGCCTGTATGAAATTGTTATTGCTTTGATAAATTAAAAGAGGATATAATTAATTTTTTATCAAAAAGTTATTGCCCAACCTTTTTTTTATATATCTTCATTTTAATTTTTTCTCAACAATTAAAGAACAAACTTAAGGAATATGGTAGTTTAAGATGACTATTTATGGGACTATTTAATATGGAATTAAATAACCTTGGTTGAGGCATATATGTTTTATAAACCAAAAAGCGAGTACTAGCATTACACATGTTGACAATCTTGTAAGTCATCACAGCTTTGACCTTTTATCTTCCAAATCAAATTCAAATGTCCTTGTCCTCTGACATTCCAGTACTATTATATTTTGTTTGAAATTAAATCTACTTAATTTTTCAGGCATATGCTTTGATGAATGTTAATTTCTATTTTGATCCCAAAAATATTTTCTCAGTAATCTATCAATGTCAGACAAATTTGGAATACATGTACTATATGCTTCGTAATTGTGCATTCATTTCTCTTGTTGCAAAGTTAACTTCCACCATTACCTTAGGAGTGCCTCTTGTATGGCTTGAAGTCGTGTAACACTGTTACTGCCAGAGGCATGTTCCCCATCCCTCTGTTTCTTCCATTCAGCTTAAAAACAAGCGGTAAGATAATGTGTAGCTTTAGAAATTTAATGCAAGTACTGTAAACCTACATTAATTTACAGATTCAAAATTTGGCATAGTCTTCTCCTATCTCAATTCTCTTGAAAGTAAATTTCACAAAAAATAGGTCAGGAGCAAAGGAGGCAATATGCATGTGCATGTATAAATCTCATGCGACTGTCTTTGTGATTGACGCCAGTGGGTAAGTACTATTGAAATTGACATGCATGTGAGACCTCTTGTAATTCAAATTTATTGTACAACATTTTAAAAAAATAAATTTACAATTTATTTCACATTGATATGGAAATATAAGGAATCACTGTCTATATTAGTAAAGTATACCAGGGACATCAACGATAGTGGGAAGAACATGGGATTATTTATGCATAATGGGCATACTCTACTAACTAGACAATGATTCCTTATAAAAAAAACATTTGAATGCTACCTTGTAGTTCGGGAAGCTGTGTGATACCCCCCATAGATCCGCTGATATCCAGACAGTACACCACGTATCCACTTCCCGTTGTGGCGGGTTTCGTGGCCTCCATCTTGTCAGTTTCTGTTCCTGTAGCAGCTTGTTCTTCTGGTCCAGAGAGAGCATAATCTATGGTGTCTGATTTAGGAATTTCTTCTTTTCTGACTTCTGTGGAGACATTTTTATGTCCACAGAACTCACTGAAAATTTACAACAGTTAATTAACCCATTATGAAATAGCTATTTCCTCTAAGAGTGATATAAATAAACAAGTCTAGAGATGTTTGTGAAACACTTATCCCCCCCCCCTCCCTTAGACAAGGGGCATAACTATGTAAAACATTGCTCAATTGTACCTAAAACAGAACTTGACCTTAGATATTTCTTATGATAAATCTGTACATATACCCAATTTCATTTCAGCATATGCAACCTCCAGATCTGCAAAGAAAATGAAAGGAAACGGCAAATAATTGGAATTTTTTTAAGTCCAAGGGGCATAACTCTGTCAAAAATTGCTCAATCGTACCAAAAAACAAAACCCTGCCTATAGATATTTTTTTGATAAATCTGTATACCAATTTCATTTCAGTATGTGCAACTTCTGCCTAGTAAATGAATGTCAATGGCTTTAATAGTACCAGTTCCATAGCAGCTTGTCTTCGTCCTGTTGAGTCTCAGAGATGCAAGACAACACAACCTGACACCCATCACAATACACCGGGTCGCCCGTAGCAATATTGTCCATCTGATCAAGATCCTTCATGGACACCAAGATGACATTAGTGTCAGCTTTCTGACATTTTATGGTTTTCTTGGACTTGGTAGGAGATCGTATGGGCGGGGCTGACTTTCGACGACTTGGATGACCTCCTCTAGTGTCACTTCTCGGTTGCTGATCGGGTAAATCTTCCGCTGTGGCTGATCTTCTTCCAGACAATCTGCGAGAGAAGATCCCACTAATTGAGGAGATGAAGCTTCTCACCCTGGATACCTGTCTTCTGGGATTTCCTTGTTCTCCTAGAGCTAACATTTTAAAAATCAAATTTACATGTTGTTGTTTTTTTTTTGGAGAAAATATGAAAATCGGCACAAAGAGCTAGTTTATTTGAATTCATAAATTTTTCATTCATTTAAGCTGCAGTGTACTTGGTTATTATTTCCAAACAAAAAAGAAAAAAGTTTACTCAATTTGCAATAACCGAGTCTGAGACAGAAAAGAGAGAGATATAATAATTGAAACTTAGTTTAACCTGTCAAATTGCAAATAATGTAAATTGGAGAATATCAAATTCCTAGCAAAAATTTAAATATACACTAGATACCTATGTGTATTACATGTATTTATTTATAAATGAAATACCTTGCTCTGCTTTTCTTCGTCTTCCCTTCACTTTGATCATTTTACGATATGAGTCTTCTATGGTTGGATCATAGCTCTCAACAAATTGGTCTGATACATATCTAATTGTCAGTGAAGATTTTCCAACAGCTCCAGACCCAAGCATGACGATCTAGGATAAACAGAAACAACTAAAGTCATCATTCTCTAAATCAGAAAGAACAATCACATACTTTTGAAGTTGCATAAAGATACACATTAAACATTTGTAAAAGCTTTTGAGATGTGAAAAAAGATCCCTTATTTGGCATTTGGGTAATATTATCAGCACAACTGCTTTGTTATTTTCAAAAATAACTCTCAGAAAGAATCTGTTCACTTTTATTTATTTAAATTATCTTATTTTATTTGGGTTATCTTCACTTACTTTGTGTGTAGCTTTGTGTTCAGGAATTTCTAAAACCAGATTTTCAAATGCTTCCTTCACTAGGCTTCCTGTTTTTGCAGAGGTTTCTAAAAAAGGAATGCCCAGGGATTCTGCCAGCTTCTTCCCCTCCTCAAATGATACCTCTCTCTCTTGCTCTAGATCACTTTTATTCCCACAAAGAATCTACAAAATCAAATCCTAAGCTTAATGAAATGTTCCTTTTGATATTTAGTCCCCTACTGGTGAAACCGGAGGGGACTATAGGTTTCCTCCGAGTCTGTCTGTCCATCTGTCTGTCAGCTAGTCTGTCCCCCTTGGTTTTCCACACTCTTTTTCTAAGCCCTTGCAGATATTGAGCTGAAATTTGGTATGTAAGTGTATGTTGATGAGAGACAGATCAAATTTCAATGTCATTTTGCTTCAATGATTTTTGACGGATTTATCGCATTTTAAATTTTTCATAATTTGGATTATGATCTGGTTCATGATGCACTAAATCAATATGTTCTGAACAAGCTTGTATCCTAAAGAGAAAAGGGGCACCCGGCAGGGGACATGTATTGCTTATGCAATACTCTCAGAATGCTTGTTTTTTTATACATATATGCATAATTATATAACCATAAACATAACTATAATAGACTAGCTCGCTTGCTAAAGATTCTATAAATATTATTACTGGTTTAATATATTTTTTTTTCACTTCAGATGCAAGTATCAACATTTCTATGGACTAGTGTCATATTTTGCCACCATATGCTTACTAAAATGTTAAGATATTAAACTATAAGCCAGCTGCAGAAAAAAATAGAACTTTGCCCCATTGTCCAGGAAAGAGAATGGATAATAAAATCCAACCATTTCATGGTGGGGGCAATTGAAATATATCTTAATCTATGAATAACTTAGGTCTATATACCCATTGTCTGACATTTTTCAACCTACCGAAGGTACATGATCCATGCCTTTAATTTTCTGAACAAGGCGGTAAATGGCTGAGGCCTCGTTGAATGACGATCTGCTAGTAATGCTGTAGATAATCATAAAGCCGTCCCCCGAACTCATGTACATGTCTCGTACAGAGGAATACTCTTCTTGTCCTGCTGTGTCCAGAATATCCAAGCAACATGTCTGTAAGCAAAGAAGAGAATCATAATAAAGCATAAGATCCGAGAGTCTTGGCATGATCTCCAAACAATATTTGTTAACTTTATAATCAATGCATTGAAAGCATGAGATCCAACTTAAAGAATGCTCATATATATACATACCATCCTTACCAGCCCATTCCCCCTCCCCATGAGATTATTTTTTTATAAGTGAATAGTCATGAATACCAGAGTAAATTGATTCCTGATGTCTTTCCCTTCCTAAGAGTCCCACAAGTCATTATACACTTGATCTCTAAGTTAAGGTGAAAGGAATGACCTTAATGGTTCGGTGGTATACAGTGATGTACAAACCTCTTCATCTGCATTCTGGGGATCAATTTCTTCTTCCTTCTCCTCCAGATCATCTTCCTCAGGTATGTCTTCCTGCTCATCTGTCGGACCCACGTACACAAGACTTCCCCCAAAATCCATTATCCTAAATACACAAGGTACTTTTTATTTCAAAACATGTTGATTCAAACTGAATAAGTTCTAGTATCAATAACATTATATATTCTTAATAAAAGGGGAAATATATATAAAATTACAAAAAAAATAAATGAAAACAACTGGTATTCAGCATCAAAATCTAGCTATTTACATGCTAAAGTTATTGTCAATGAGGGAGTAAAAATAAAAATTCTAGTTTCCCTTTACCACACAGGACTGTTTCTCTTTTGGAATCGAGGAAATGGAATATCTTGGCTAATTGCCACAAAAAATTTAATATCTAGGCCCTTCTTTAAATGCATATGTACACAACTCAGGAGACCAACACTTGAGGAGCCTAGCTATTGTAGATCTATACAGATCAATCTATATTCAGTGAAGGACAATCTGTATCTTGAATTGAAACTTGAAGATATAAAACCATGTAATTAACATATCTCTGAAAAAAGCAGTATGAATTAGTTTAACATAAAATATCTAATATATATATATATACTGTTTGAGGCCTTAATCTCACGGAGTGTTAAAATTTAATTGTTGATCTGTTTTTTTTTCTTCAATAAATTTATCACAGCTAGCTTGTAAATAGTTCTATAGTTACTGATTAACCTCAATGATCTGTGTCCTATTTCCTGATTTATTTCTGGATAGGAAATAAAGGATTTTTAAACATGTAACTTTACAGGATTATATATGAATTAATAGAAAGAATAATTTTATATATATATATATATATATATATATATATATATATATATATATATATATATATATATATATATATATATATATATATATATATATACACACACATAATACTATGTAAATATTTTTGCCTGGATGGTTAGCTGGTTTAATCATTAATGTTCATATTTAATATCAAATACCTTTAAACTAATGAGTTTAACAACTTGCACAATAAAAAAAAAACATTACTCATTTACTATTGATCGATTTATAGCTAACTTTGGCCCTACAACAAGATTGATGTAGACATGACATATATATCTATAACCAGGATATATACTGAAGGGTGCTTAAATCATGCAGTGCTTATCTATAATCACTTTAAAAATCTATCATTCATTAACATTATAAAAAGAATGAAAATTTATACCACACGTCTTACCTATCTTGCAGTCAACAACAACGCTGTAGAATACTTTGGTTTTCCCCATCGATATAACTTATAAATATACATTACACCTAATATTTGATTGGTAGATATAAATAATCTAACTAAAAATAACCTAGAAAACATCGAGTTGCGGACGGCGCGGATTTAAGTTTTTTCTATGTCCCCCGTTATCGAAGATTCGGGACTATACAGTAGTTTGTTCTGTTCGTTCGTCTGTATGTTTGTTTATCTGTTTGTATATTTGTTCAAAGAAACTTTAACCTTGTCCAAAACTTTTGAGTGGGTGATGCTTTGGCTGGTGTATTCCTTGTAACAAGACCTTTCTTTTGGTACTACAAAATTTTAACCTTGTGACCTTGACTTTGACTCACTTTAACCAAAAGTTACTAACATTAGCCATAGCATTAACTTTAGAAAAGTTGGTGCTAGGGGTTTCATACTTCACATATGCATTCATTATGACAAGACGATTCAGTGGGTTTAAGTATTTTGACCTTTTCACCTTGACCTTAAAGATTGATCCACTTAAAAAAAAAAACTTCAATCATGATCATAACTTTTGAACCGCTAGTACTAAGGTTTCATATTTTCACAGGTGTGTTCCTTGTGACAAGACCTTCCTTTGGCTACCAACAATTTTGACCTTTTTACCTTGACCTGAGAGTTTGACCCACTTGAAAAAAAAATAACGTTGACCATGAACTTTGAACCGTTAGAACTAGGTTTTTCATATTCGCAGGTGTATTTCATGTGAGAGGACTTCCTTTAGATATATACCTACAATTTTGACCTTTGGACCTTGACATTTAGAAATTTCAACCCTCGCCATATGCTGTCATACGGAGGCATCACAAAGACATCTTTCATTTTTCATTTTTTTACCTTTACTGGCAGGACTTCCACTCACAAGATAACAACAATTAATGTTTGGTGAGGTACTGCGGGGGGGGGGGGGGTAGGGGTGATGTACTGCGCCCTTCTATCCACTTTTTGCGAACGTAAATAGTTTTATATTTGAATTTAAGGAAAACAAGATGTGTTTGTGAAACACTGCCCCTAAGATACTGAACATCCCGAAGGAGGTTACCCTATTCCTTTCTTCATTAATGATGTACAGTATATACAATTTTATACAAAAATACACCATGCTCTCTCTCTCTCTAATTATTTTGCCAAGTGTGCATTACAGAGAGTCAGTAGTAGATCAGGTTTTAAATAAGTTCTTGGATCTGTTAAAATCATAGGCGCTTGGTTTCAGGATGGTGTATTTTGTGTATTACGTGTTTTTCTAGGTGCGTCTGAATACTCTCAGACTGCGGAACATTAACTGGCAAAATTGGAAATATACAGCTTACTTCATTTCTATCTGTTACAATCAAAACATTCAGTGATAGACAATGAAATGGGCGGGTACAATATGACGCGGACGTGGGGAAAACATGGGATTGAAATTGCAGATCGAAATTCATTTTGAAACAAAGAACTATGAAACAAAGATTCTGTAAAAGTTTCATTTGAATTCATTCGTAGGTATAAGAGGAGTTGCGGATAAGGACGGGTACCCTAAAGACTAACAGACGGACGTACAGACAGAGGGATGGACAGACATGGATGGACATCCCGATCACTATATACCCTCCTGCTTTACAAGTGGGTGGTTTGACAAGTGTTTTGGAGCTGGCAGAATTATTTTGTGCTAGAAAACTGAGGTTATTTGACTTATTTCCCTTTGCTATGACCACCTATGTTACCTGAAATCATAAATTATTTGAATAAAATAATCATAGTATACATTGCCAGAATTTTCAAAGCATAGTGCAAAAAGTACACAGTCTTTAATTGCTAGGGAGACATATTCTTCATGTTGATAGTAACAAATGGGCAGGTGTATATTGATTAATTAGCACTGGCATGTAAAAAAAAAAAAAAGATCAACCTCTTGATTTGTTACTGAAGAGATCATTAGCTTTTCTGTTCAGTGTCCTGATCATCCTATTTCTCTTAGGTGTCGACAGCACATCTTTATATAAGTTAGTTTTGTTTATATTATGCCTCTACGGAACCTTGACTGTTCTGTCCAGTAGTCAGTACACCACATCGATTGCCTATGATGATGACAAACCCTGACTGTGTCCATATACTCAGGTATCCGTTTTGTAAAAGGGGCCACGAGGCCTTAACGGCGTTTAGGCCCTGTGGCCACTATCACAAACATGCTTACCATTACTAATTTATCAGGACATCCCAAAAGTTCATAGCTATAATTATAGCTAAGCTCTACATCAAGACAGAGGCAGGTGCCTTTAAGCCCCCCCCCCCCAAAAAAAAGCAACAGAAAACGAAGGTCTTTTACTCTTCAGAAATTCTATCACCACATAATATATCAGTCTTCCAAGTATTAAAATCAGATGGGACTTTAGCTTCTTCTTGTCTGTTCACCTGTCTTTCCCACTTGGTTTTTTAAGTTTTTTAAAGCCTTACAGACATTGAGCTGCTTTTGGTATGTGATTGTACCTTGATGAGTTACATATCAAGTTTGCATTTTGTTCCACTTTAAATACAGTGATTATACCCCATGCAACAAGTTGCTGGAGGTATAATGTTTTTGACCCGTCAGTCAGTCAGTCCGTCAGTCCTGTTTTTTTGTTAGCGCAACTTCTCATAAACCGCTGCACAGAATTTCGTCAAACTTTGCAGATATTTAGGACACAGTGTGGGGATGTGCATATTACCAGGAAATTCCGATTCCTTTATTTTTTACGGGAATTTCTGCACTTTTACACTTAGATTTTTGGCAATATCTTGAATATAGAGATGAACAGTTTGTCAGCGCAACTCCTCTTAAACCGCTGCACAGAATTTCGTCAAACTTTGCAGATATTTAGGACATAATGTGTAGATGTGCTTATTACCAGGAAATTCAGATTCCTTTTTTTACGGGAATTTCCGCACTTTTATACACCTAGATTTTTGGCTGTACCTTGAATATATAGATGAACAGTTTGTCAGCGCAACTCCTTTTAAACCGCCGCACAGAATTTCGTTAAACGTAGCATATATATTAGGACACAATGTGTAGATGTGCATATTACCAGGAAATTCCGATTCCATAATTTTTCTGGGAATTTCGGCACTTTTCAACGTAGAATTTTGGCCATACGTTGAATATAGAGATGAACAGTTTGTCAGCGCAACTCCTCTTAAACTGCTGCACAGAATTTCGTCAAACTTCGCAGATATTTAGTACACAGTGTGTAGATGTGCATATTACCAGGAACCGATTCCTTTATTTTCCTTGGAATTTCCGCACTTTTCAACTTAGATTTTTAGCCATACCTTGAATATAGAAATGAACAGATTGTCAGCGCAACTTCTCATAAACCGTTGCACAGAATTTCGTCAAACTTTGCAGATATTTAGGACACAATGTATAGATGTGCATATTACCAGGAAATTGGGATTCCTTTATTTTTCCCGGCAATTTCAGCACTTCGAATTGGGGGGGGGCGTGGGGTATGTGAGCTTGCACACTTTTTCTTTCATTTTGAGAGTTATTTTCTTAATTTTTAATATCTAATGAGAGCCAGTTTTCTACCCCACCCCTTAAATTATTAAAGGTATAAGCTCCTTTTTGACATGGAAATCGAGATCTATTTAGCTGTGTTAAAGATAGATCAAGTTGATATTTTGTTCTGCTCAAATAAATGAAATAATTTATGACTGAAATATAAGATTTACTAGTATATAGTTTTTATTTGTGATATAATTCGTTTCTGCTTTTGAAAGTTGAAACACTATACATGTATTTCAAAAACTCGATTAATCCAGAAAAACTCAAGATTCAAGGGAATTACATTGTATAAAAGCTTCAAGTTTCTATCCCTGTTCAAGACATTTCGCTAGACAATTACTAGTATTGCTTGCAATATGTACTTATACAGAAAACTTAAAAAAAAAGCTCCTATTGGTACAAAAAAATATTTAAGGAGGGGGTGTTTACTAAATTTTCTAATCACTTTTTTTTTTACAGTAGTCTTTGTTCCTTATGGTTCCATGGTCATTTGATCGTGATTTAATATCACTTAAAATTCCAGCCCTGGAGGATGGGGGTCCGGAAAACACCCACCCCTTGATCCACTGAAAACGCCTATGCTAATACCACTTGAAAATCTTTCAGTTTTTATCAGTAATAATGATAGCTGCAGAACTGTAGCGTAATTATGGTTTTACATATTAGTCTTGACCATAACGCTACAGATCCTATAATGCGAGTTTATCATTTTTAGAGACGATTTACGGCGCAAGATTTTTTGCGTTTGGGAGAATTTCTCCAATTTTCAACATTGGTAAATCATCTACCTTTCCCTTCATATTTCTAAACAAATTTTTTAATAAATCTGTATATTTTATACACCTCCCAACACTATGTAGTCGTCTCTACAAGCGATAAACTTGCTTGATTAGGAATTTTCTGCAATCCCTCAAACCAAGCCACTTTAGCGTCTGTAGAGGTGACTATAAAGGGTTGAGAGGAGGATAAAGTGTACAAATTGGTTTACGAATGTGTCTGGAATTAGGGGGTGAAAGGTAGATGATTTACTAAAGTTGGAAAGTGAAGGAATTCTCCCAAACAGTGCGCAAAATATCTTTCGCCGTAAATTGCACATTTTTTGCATTACGGGATCTGTAGCATGATAGTCAAGACTAAAACCTTAGCGCTACAGTTCTGCAGCTATACTAACAATGAGGGTTGACACTCTCTACTTCTCCAAAGCTATTATTAATTATTTTAAAAAGTGATGTATAGCGTATTTTTTTTTTTAATTCAGGCAAACTAAAATTATAAAGATATTTCTATTTGTTTTATTTCTTAAAAAAAGATAGGACTTTCCTGTAACTTACACAATTTAAATCAATTGCGTTTTAAAGATATTAAAGGAAATTTAAAACAAACACCCTATTTGCCGACTTTACTTTTAAATCAGTGACAGACACATATGAAAGTCTATTTTACTGAAAGAAATGCGAGGTTATACAAGTTAAAAATCGGTGAACATTTTAATTTGAACGTATATAACAAATACATCTATTTTCTAAAGCTCAGATACACCGTTTATTTAGCTTTGATTTCTTAGATATATTTTACAATGCATAACTCACTTTCTCGCGTAATCCTTCGTAAATCCAAGGAAGAAAAAACATTTTAATATCTATGCATAATTTCTGAACAATAATACTAGGCAAATGAATGACTTACACATACGAGCACAGGTTTTTAAAGAAATGAAGCTTTTTGTCGAAAATTTTTGCAGAGAAAAGATGTTTGGACTCGCGGCAAAAATTGAAATCGTGATTTGGATTTTACACAGAAAATTAAGACATATTTCGAAATGTTAATAAAAATTGGTGAATTCACAACATAATTCAGACGGTGATCTAAATCTGTCTTCATTTTAATTATTACAACTTACTGATTGGTTAACATTCTCATAATTATCCATATATTATTAAAAGACGGGAATTTTTAAAATTCTTCTACAGAATATAATTTAAACTCTCCTGATTGTGTCAACAAATCTGCATAGGTAAACATCCCTGAATATTAATTAAAATTCGAAGAAAAAAAACACTTTCTCCGATTAAAACGCACATGCCCGCAATACACACAATCGCTCGTTGTCGTTTAATGTGCGGCGGTCGTCAGCCGCGGCCATTCAGAATCTCGGGTCACTTGTCTAAAAGGTTCAAAAATTTAAGACAATCGTGCTTTGAAGATTTATTTTCAACATAGTCTACAGCATGTGAATTAAAGGAGGGTCGCTCACAATAAACACATCAGACTGTAAAATATAATGAAACATCTGTCTGGAATCGGACATAGGACATGGCGGGTTACGTAAATGGCTGAGCCGGGACAATGAAACTGTTATCTAACATGACAGATTTTAACACTTTAGGGATGATAGAGCACTCGGACATCCAGACGGTGCAGAGCATATATAAAGCTGCACATGCAGTAACGTGGATGTGTCCAAAGAAAGACTCCAAGCAAGTAAGTTGTCTTATCATTGCAAAATGTGTTCTCTATGAGCAAATATTGTACTGAAATCGAAAAAAAAAGAATTACGAAGGATTCAGCTTAGTAAATGTCCTGGTATTCATTCAATATGGTTTCTTTCAAAAATTATTCTAAATGAAATGTTTTAACAGTTTAATTAATGATATTGAATAGATAAAATAACCAGTCTTGTCCCATTTATCATTTTTAACTTGGTACAATCATGTTTTATATTCAATTCATAGCCTAAGGTCCAAAAGTTCGACTCTCACACATTAAGTTGCAGGACAAGATATTGCAATTCAAACTATATAGACACGATTTCTATAAATTTGTAATTTTATTTTGCAGTTTTAACAATGAAGAGATCGCTCGCCCTTTGTCTCGTCTTTGCCCTGGCTGATGTCGGGCTCTGGAGAACTATTGGTGGAGCGGCTGCCAATTTAATAGGTCATGATCAGGGCTGGGGAAAGGGCGGTATAGTTCACCAGCCGGGTCACATCGATCATCACGGATCTAAGGGTGGCGCTATCGGAGTCGGAAACGCCCAGGTTGATCTTGGTGTTGATCTTGGAGTCGGTGGACAGTTCGATGCTGGATTTAATGGTGGAAGCATTGACCATGGTCACCATGGAAAGGGAGGAATCATTGACCATCACGATATAGGCCATTTCGATCACCACAATGGTGGAATCATCGGAGGTGGTGCTCATGCTTCAGCTGATGTAGCCGTGGGAGCCGCTGTTGGTGCCGCTGTTGGAGGTGGTATCGGTGTTGGAGGTGGAATCGGGGGAGGTATTGGAGGAGGTATCGGAGGTGATATCGGAGGTGGCTTCCATGATAACATCGGAGGTGGATTCGATGACTTCAACAGCATTAATGGCAACTTCGATGACACCACAGTCATTGGAGGTGGAAACATCAACAGCATCAGTGGATCTTTCGATGACAGCACAATCATCGGTAGAGGTGGAAACTTGAACTCCATTAGCGGAAACTTCGATGACAGCACAATCATCGGTAGAGGTGGAAACTTGAACTCCATTAGCGGAAACTTCGATGACAGCACAATCATCAATGGTGGAAATCTGAACTCCGTCAGCGGATCATTTGACGATTCCGTAATTATTGGAGGAGGTATCGGTGGAGGAATCGGAGGCGGGATCGGAGGAGGTATTGGTATTGGAGGAGGTGTCGGTGTTGGAGCCGCCGTGGGTGCCCGTGTCTCAGTAGGAGCTAGGGCTGGAGCTGGCATTGGTGGAGGATTTGGAGGAAAGAAAGGCGGATACGGAAAGGGTGTTATTGGCGGAGGTTACTACAGACCCATGGTCATCTACAGACCAAAGTTCGGAGGATACAAAAAACGCTACGGCGGAGGATACAGAAAATCTTCATACAAAAAGATGAGGGTCCTTCCAATCAGGAAAATCAGATTTATGAGACCCATCTTCAAGAAAAAGTTCGGAGGTAATTCAGATAAATTATCAAAATCTTGTAACATTTAAATATTTTCCGTTGGAAGCATACCTATATTATTAAAAAACAGATAGGCATAAACTTAGCTGGAATTCAATACTTTTTTCCAAAAGACCTTTCTTTCCCAAATAAATGACGACTTTGTGGTTTAACACATTTTAATAATAACCATTTAAAATGCATTACTAAGTATTTATATATATTTTGTTTACTTTGCAGGTTATTACTAAGCTTCGAGTTTGTGCACCGATTTCATGGCACCAGTCCTCAAAATGGAGTCTTTGTTATTTATTGTTTGTTAATAAAAAATATGTTAAACATATACTGAAAACTGTTTTATTTTGCCATAGAAAGTCCGTAAAGAAAAAACTGCATGACTATTAAAGCACAAATAGTTCTGTTTATATTGAATTTGGAACAATAGCCTTGCTTGTTCGCTATTTTAACCAAACACACCCAGAACCTGGATCACATAACTTCATATGTATTAATGTGTACGTGTATTACTATGATTGATGGAATCTCCTGAACAATTTCATCCACCTATCATTTTTTTTAATTTTGAGTTTACAACATAATAACAGTTATCAAGTTGTAAATTTTGCATTTATCTCGACCTAGTAAATTTAAAATTTACAACATGATAACCATTTGAGTATAAGACGGATTCGTTCTCTGGTCAAGAACTTGAATCAAAATCAACACTTGTATTGGCATACAGCAGGGTGTCATACTTTCTCCGCTGCTCTTTGAGGACAATGCATAAAAATTGCTGTTATATATTTGAACAATTTTAATTTGTTATTCCAAAACTCTCATTTTTCTCCCATTTATTATTCTAAAGGAGGATCCAGAATTTTATTATTACTACTGAGATAATCAAGCGGTCATAATATAAATGGGCAGTTTCATTATTTTATGTGCACTATATTCCTTGTAAGAAACCACACATAAAATCTTGTGAAATACCGGTATCTTTATCACATTGTTATATACAAAAATGAATTTTTAGCCAGCATATGTTGTTTATACACTTATTTTTTCTTATTTTCCGAGTTCATTCGCTTGTCAGTCTTCCGCATTTACGACTTTTAACACATTAATAACCTTGCAGAAGTTGTACACACTAATTGCAAATAAAAATGTTGCACTTCTGAACATCTGTATGACGATTAACTGCTCTCTGTGGTTCACCAAATGTGACCTTTGTGTCAACTTCCTAATGGATTTCTTAATGTGTGCCAAGTCTTCGGAACATTATAGGTTGTCCCTATTTATTCATTCAATTTCGTATGATAGTCACTTTACGGACGCCAACAGGTAAGAGCAGTCCTCTATTTATCGAATCCCCGTGGTTTCTTTTATCTGTTGTTCCTATTGATATTTCAATTGATAAAAAACCTACCTAAATATCTAAAAAAAAAAAAAAAAAAAAAAAAAAAATCGCAATAATACATGAAAAAAAATTCAGGTGTTTCATTGGAATATCTGTGTTAAAACCTGTGTTAAAATTGAAAAAACAAAAAGAAAAGAAAGAAAAAAAAAACTATGAATGCATTTGCGTCTTTGAAATCTATTTAAAAGAAAAATCCTAGGCAGTTCATAAAATAACATTTATAACGTAATTTGTGTGCATACTATGTCTTATTCATTCATAATGTACTAGTAATAATTTAATATGAGAGCCGAGTATACCCGGTAGATCTTTTTTACAACTTTGGGTTTATAAGCCGTCTGCTCACTCATAGAAAATAATGCTTTAATTCTTATTATTTTTCAGAGGGAATTTATTTTACAAGTAAAAAACAACAATTATATCAATGCTTGTGGGGCAAAATCAAATGTAAAAGACAATTCAAACTTGATAAATCTTTAAAGAAGTAATAGACATTTATTTCATTAGAGTTATCTCTCTTATCAGAGTATCAATGAACCTTAAGATTAAAAAAAAATCTTTAGTTTTTTTAAAACTAGAAAATTAACTCGAAAAGGGAAATTAAATTTATGCTACCTATTATGTATAAGATTATTGACAAATGCTATGAAAAATGAGAGAGAGAGAGAGAGAGAGAGAGTTACATAAATTTTACGCAGTGAAAGCAAGCAGAGTTTATGGGAGGGTTCAGAGTCCCCCCCCCCTAGGTGTATCGTATGGGGGGGTAGCTAATGAACCCTCGTCAGTTGTGGCATGTCGATTGCAATTATTCTGCAAAAGTTCCCAACTGGAGTGTAATGGAAACATTTGTAACTCTTATTTCAATGTTTCAGCTATTTAAAATGAAATTCCGTAATTTGATATGCTAATTAATCTGTGTTTGTCATTTTCTCAGTTTAATTCATTTCGTTTGAGATGTTTAATTTTGCATCGTCATAATAACAAGACTTGTCAGGAATCAGTTTTGCAAGACTGAGTTTTCCTAGAATCTACTAGTTTATTCCCCCTAAAACGTCACACATAGGGGGAAATTGGCTATCCACAACATAGTCTCCAATACGCATATTTTGGCCGCCATGATTGATGATCAATGACATCCTTTACCAATTCCTTACCCACACTTTTGTCTGTCTGCAAGAAAGGTTGCCACCGGCAAATTTTGTGGTAAACATTGGTACCACTTGCATATCAATGGTAATTCATTTCCCTAACAGTGGGTGTGTTCCAGGTTCTACCACTGGTAACTTCTGCAGATCACTGACAGCGTGCCAGGACTCTCAACACACCCAAAATTCGGTGCGATTAGGGTTTTTACCGATTGGGAATGTCAAAACGACCACTGGTAGCTATGGCACGCCAAATTCACAAAAATAAGCTAAACATAATTTCACAGTTGATAAACTAAGATTATCGACTGTAAACTATAGTTTACAAACCGTGAACTATAGTTAACAATTCGTTAACTATAGTTTTCATCTGTAAAACTATATTTAACGGTCGTTAACTATAGTTTACGAATGCTAATCTAAGTTTATCTGTCTGTAATAAAGCGTTAACAATAGATTTTGTTGATAAACATAGATTCACGTTTGTAAACTATAATTTACAATCGTAAACTATAGTTAAGAGTTGTTAATCATAGTTTCACAAATCGTGAAACTATATTTATCAGATCGTTAACTATAGTTAACGGTTTGTAAACTATAATTTACAAATCGTGAAACTGTATTTATCAGATAATCTATGTTTTGCAATCGCAAATGATAGTTTTCGGTGTTAAGTATAGTTTACAGTTGTGAAACATAGATTATCGCGTTAACTATGGTTTACAGATGTAAAATATAGATTAATGTTGTTAACTATAGTTTACAGTCCGTAAACTATAGTTTACAACCGATAAACCTAGTTTATCGACTGTGAAACTATGTTTAGCTCATCTTTGTGAATTTGGCGTGCCATAGGTAGCATTTGTTGCTGACAGAGAACAAAACGACCACTGGTAGCATTTGTTGCCATCAGAGAACTATGTTAGTCTCTTTGTACTAAGTGATACCATTTGTAGTAATTTTTCCCCCTATGACTTTAGACAGACGACTTTTTGTCCAATTCAAGCAGTTGGTATTTAACTGATTGTACCTAACTGTAATGTTGTAAATGCTGAATTTACCGGATAGCAGTTAATACAAAATTTATTTTAAAAAGTCTCCAGGACTTCGCTATAATCGAGTTTTACTGTAATTCGCCGGGGATTGTAAGTGAAATAGTTTGCTGACCCTTCCGTTCTTTGTCATATTCTTTAAATATGCAGATTGCGGCTTTTATAAATCAGACACAACACAATGACCCCCCATCCCAAATAAACAGGTTAGGAGTAATTGCTAAATACATCTTATTGTTTTATAGGACGAAATAATTTTTTGATTTAACAGCGAATTTTACTAGTTTTTTTTTTTGGCAGTAAAACCTAGGAGGCGCGGACTAATACTAAGATGATGACAAGACTGGCTTTCCTAGTTGTACTGTTGACGTTCGTCAATTTCTCCTCAGCCTTTCTTATGTTCAGAGGTAAGTAAGTATGTAAGAAATCAAAATATTTAAAAATAAATTCTCAAAATCGGATGACCTAGCTTATTTACGTGTATAACCGATTTATGCTCAAAACAACTAGTAGCTTACTTTATTAAATACGTGAGTCAAGTATACAAAAAACACCCTTTATTCAACCACAGCTAATTCCGGATTCGGAAGATACAATGGTGGACTGAGTAACTGGTTCATGAGAGGTTTTGGGGGTGGACTCGGTGGGTCAGAAGCTGGCGACGCCGGTGACATTCTAGAGCAGCAGCAAGCCAACCAGAAAAAGCAACTCCTGTACCGGAACACCTTCCGGGGGTCGTGGGGCGGAAGTGGAGGGTACTTTAATCCGTTCATGGGTGCCTATGGTGACTACTAACATTCGTTGTCTTTTTAACCAAATTTATTTGTTACATTTTGGCGTCTTTCAGTGTGTTTTTTAACGAAAAAGGTTTTGTTAAAATAATAGTTGAATGTATCGTCTGTGTTTTAATGTTTATTAACAAAATATGTGAAACCCTGCTAACTGTACATGTATTATATTGTTGTATTTCTTCACATTTATTTCCGCAATGACGCGCAATGTGAAGAGTAAATTTCAAATTCTTGAATGGATAAGATTTATCTAAAAACTTGTGCTTTATTTTTTTTTTTCTGGACTTGTAGGTTTTTCTCTCTTTGATGCCTGATGACCACAGAATCATTCACCTAGATGTCACTGAACTTACCATCACAGGACAGTGTGTGGTCTACTTAACCACAGGGAATTTCAATTTAAAGCATTTTATGCATTCTGACTATCAGTGGTCCAGAAAACAGTTCTGAGTGTTTGATTGATATTGCCACAGCCTTTGTTTGAATAAGTGTACTGAAAAAGGAAAAAAATATGTCATTTTTGTTTTATATTTTTTATTTTAATCAATAAACAGGAAAAAATTGGTGTCTATCTATATGTTTTGTCCATACATAAAGCCTACTAGCAATGTCTTTGAAATGAATGGAGTCTGATTTAAAACGATTCTTGAGTTTCTTGACTGATGTTGGGAAAAAGAAACAAATATCGTCATTTTGTTTTATATTTTTTATTTGAATTAATAAACAGGAAAATTGGTGTCTATATGTTTTGCCCATGCATAAAGTCCACCTGTAATGTCTTTAAAATGAATGGAGTCTGATTTAAAATGGTTCTTGAGTTTCTGTACAGCAATTTGTGAATCATTTCCTCTTCTACAGACAACATAAACAGGAAAAAACTCTTGACCAGCTGATCTAGATTGGATGTGACTTTTCAGGCTAGCTAAACTGTCCTCTCTTCCCACACAGTTTATTGGTAAATCTGAGAATCATGTCAAGAAAAAAAACGAGAGGCCCATGGGCCACATCGCTCACCTGAGTAACTTGGGTGATGCAGTTCTTACCAGATTCCCCCTCTTGCTATACCTATCATGCCCCACTATCCCCTTCCCTTTTATGATTTTAAGAATTTAATATCTACACTACCCAAGGATGCTTCCATATAACTTTCAACTTTCCTGGCCCAGTGGTTACATCTTGAGAAGACGATTTTTAAAGATTTGTTCTATATATTTCTATGTAAAACTAGGATTCCCTATTGTGGCCCCGCCCTACCCCCGGGGGTCATGATTTTGAAAATTTAATATCTACACTACCCAAGGATGCTTCCATATAAGTTTAAGCTTTCCTGGCCCAGTGGTTCTTGAGAAGAAGATTTTTAAAGATTTGTTCTATATATTTCTATGTAAAACTTGGATTCCCTATTGTGGCCCCGCCCTACCCCCGGGGGTCATGATTTCAACAATTCAATATCTACACTACCCAAGGATGCTTCGCATTGCTTCCACATAAGTTTCAGCTTTCCTGGCCCAGTGGTTCTTGAGAAGAAGATTTTTTAGTGACCCAACCCTATTTTTGTCTTTTCTTGATTATCTCCCCTTGTAAGGGGAGTTGGCCCTTCATTTTGACAATTTAAACTCCCCTTTACCCAAGGATGCTTTGTACCAAGTTTGGTAAAAATTGGCCCATTGGTTCTTGAGAAGACGTCGAAAATGTGAAAAGTTTACAGACAGACGGACGGACAGACAGACAGACAGGTAGACAGACGGACGGACGACGGACAAAATGTGATCAGAAAAGCTCACTTGAGCCTTCGGCTCAGGTGAGCTAAAAAGATACAAAAAATATTGACATCTTTGACATCTTTGGCAATGGCTGGGCCCTTGACAGTATCTGTCACAGTCTATTTTAATCTGCTGAGCTAAATACATTTTCATCCTATGACTGCATTTTTGTATATAAAAAAATATGCACATGTATACATCTACATCTGGCCCAAAGCATCACCTGTATTTTGGCATGATATGAGTACTTAAAAAAGGCACACCTTTCTAATTTCAGGTGTTCTTGGTGCTTATAGGGGTGATGAGTTAGTTTAATAGCCATGAATGAGTTGGGAGGGGGTCAATGCAAACTTTATCTAAATACCGTATAAGAACTTTAAGTGAGGATTTAATTTTTGCATTTTTAGCGAGGGTGCTGAGATTGCTAAAAATTGAATATCACTAAAAATTAACTGTGTTTTAGTTGTAATAGTTTTCTTTTGTGAGCATTTCAAAATATTTCCTCTCGCTAAAAATAAGATACCCAATTTTAAGGACAAATTGCTAAATTTGCATCTCGCTAACATTTCCACTTATACATTAGCATACTCTTAAAAGGATACTATAAGTATCGGTGGGTAGCTTGCAGATCTCCATTTCTACTGGCATCCTAACGTCAATCAATACATGCTTCTGTCGGGAGTCTAGAATCTGCTTGTACTCCTGAAATATACATTTTAATCAAATTGACCAATCAAAGTATATCTATTGTACATGTATACATTAGTTTGTAGTAATCTTTAGAAGTATGTATACCCTCTGGTTACAGAAAAGTCGTAAAAACAATTTTTAACAATTTTGACAAATTACTGTACATGAATAATTGACAACTACATGTGTACAGTCTAAATATGTGTGACCTTTGACACAAAGTAAAGGACCTAGACATTCTTTTTCACAGGAATAAACATTTCTCTCCATTATTTTACATGTACCATCTACATATCCCTGTGCTATTCCCTATTCATACTAATCTTACAGGGAAAAAAACAAAATAAAAAACCTTATTAAGGTCACCTATTATCATATCTTTATGATAATTACAGATCCATCTGTCCCAAAGGTTACAGTGATCATTCTTTTTATTAGTACTTAATAGATTTGCCATAAGCAGGGCTCTATTTGTATTAATTAAGCAGATAATAATGTTACTATATACAATTCTGAAGTCCTGAAAAACAAAAAATGACGACCCCGTGGAAAGGCATATCAGTGTTATCATGCCAAACAAAAAGATATAAATTCTGGTGTTAATGTGTGTGTTTTGACACCTTTCTTTATATCTTTTTCTGCATCTAATGATTATCAAATGGTAAAAAAACCCTCTTATATCATGGCCTTGAACAAAAATTAATACAGTAAAACATGGTTCTACCAAACCTGCTTATAATGAACTGATGCTTATAGTAAATTGATTTTCATTCCCTATGACTTTAAAATATAATGTGAACTTAAAGGGTATACCAAATTGGATTAATAAGAAAGCAAAATTGTTCATCCCTGGCACTTATTTATAAGCGTGTTTTACTGTACATACCTGTACAGTGATTCTGTTCTCTGTTTCTAAAAGGTGCAAAGACTTCTCCTGAAAATTGAAAAAAATATCATTATATGACAAAGCCCTTTAATAATATGTATTTGTGAAAAATGAAATTGAGAGTGAAACAAACGAAGATCTTAATTTGGAATAGTAAAGTACATTGAATGAGGAGTGAATTACTGATAATTGTACAAATGGATTGATAAAATGTATATTAAATAAGAAACAAGTTACTGCAGCTAAGTTTAGTATCTCCAACATTGGTATCTCAAATATCTTGCATAAGCCCTAAACACTAATTTCCGATGCATTACACCCTCAATATTTGGAATCCCTGGATATCTCAAGTTTTTATGCAGTCCCAATGAGTTGGAGATAAAGAGGTTTCATTGTAAAAATTTTTCAAGAAGCAAAAACTAATAGTGATTCTATACCTTGAAAAGAATCCGGAAAATATCTATAGAATTCACTCATTCTAATGCTATACAGAATCTTCAATAAATAAATGTGGAATTTTGCAAATTAACAGGTTAATGAATTTTAAAAAGAAGAACATCAGAATAGTAGTCTTTCTTCCTATTTAATTGCTAATCAAGTAATCAAATCAAAATCAGATTTATTAAGAATAAAATTGAAAGATACAGTAAAACATGCTTATAATGAATGGGCTCTTATAATCAAAGTGATTTTCAATTCCCTTGACTTTAAAATATGTTGAACACATAATAGATATCATGATTATGCCAATAACGAAACTAAATTGTCTGCCCCTGGAACTTCTTTAAAAGCAAGTTTTACTGTATCTGGGGAATTTAAAAAAAAAAAAAAACAATATCCAATGGGCAGTAATTATAAAGTTATAATTGTCCATTAATGTATGCCTTTCCCTTTGATTTATTCAGAACCATTAAAAAAATCAAGGAATAGGTAGACATAATTCCAGCTTGTGGTTAATACTTGCAGCCCTTAGAACAGACATTCACCCCTTACCAAAGCATAAAATGACAACTACCTTATCATCTGCCCGAGAACCACAAAACTGCTGATAATCAATCAATTCTGTAATTTCTGGATAGTCTCCACATACAATGCATGAGGGCTGTTTTGATCGCAGTTTGATAGTCCTAAATGTTCCTTCCTGGCCATCAAACAAAAGCATTTTTTGGCAAAATGAGGCTAAAAATGTTAAGAAAACTAAGTTTTTCTTCTGTTTATGAGATAAAAAAAATAATATGAGCAATGATGACTAACACTTTTAGTGTGCCATGTCTTAAAAAGACGGAACACTTCAAAGAGCATATTTGACACACACTCAAAAATGACCACACATAATACCAGAAAAAAAATTACACATTGTCAGTAGGTTATTTCTGACTTGGTAGTGGTATGCATTTAATACTGAACTCTTCCTTGTATAAGGGTCATCATAAAATTAATTATTAGATGTGACATTAGCATAAAATATATATGGAAAAAATCTAGAATATTATTCAGAACTGTCTCTGACAAGACTGTAGCTCTGATGGTTTGTACGTATTGATAATAATGGAAGATATAAAAAGTTGCATTTTAAGACTGTTATAGCATGTATTTATCTTTTACATTTATAGAAAAATATGTATTTTGATGTCTTTTAAAATAATAGAAATTTATTAAAATCAAATCAAATCTGTAGGAGCAGCACTTTTGAAAAAAAATTCTATTCTTAATTACCAAGGCAACACCACTCATCAAAGTTGAAAACAAATGAGAATTGTGTATCATTATATGTTGCATACCAAGTTTCATTGAAATCAGACTAAACTGTTGGAGGAGGAATTTATTTTGAAAAAAAAAAAAAAAATTATTTATATACCTGGTATATAATAAAATAATTTAAGTAAATCTATTAATTGATACAGAAATAAGGAAATAAAAAATTAAGGCTAAAAAGACCAATTTGGCCATGATAGATAGATCCTGTTCCTTCACACCTTCATTTTGACATACCATGCTGGTCAATTGGACAATAAATGTCAGAGCATATATTACATAAACTAAGTTGTCTGGTGTCATGTTCAACAATATTTCAGTCAGATCATAACATGTTTAAGATAATGCACTTTTACTGTTTACATTATATTCTTCATAAGATTTATTGTGCCAGTACACTATATAAGCATACCTTATTATACAATGCTTGAAACTGGACACCCACTTTAGATTAAGAGCTTTGTTTTACATGGGACCTTCATTAATTCCATACTGATAAATACTGTACTAGCACGCATAATTTTAAAAATATTCAAAGCAAGTTAATGTACAAACATGGTAAGGATTTTACATGGTTCTGTTTAGTTCTGAGACAGATAATTGGAATTCCCTATTACTGTCTCTAAACATACTTCTCATTCATTCATTTAATCAACCTCTCAAAGGATACATCCCATTTCACAAGCTATTTTAATGGCCTCCAGGGCTTGTATGCTTCCAATTATTCCAGGTACTAAAAAATATTTAGAAAAGAATACAAGTTACTTGAAACTTCAAATTTTTTTATCATTATTTAATAAAGGATATCTGCAAATCTGAAATCATGCAGTTGAATTTTATTCAAAATTCTTATTGTACATTCATACTATGGAAATGAACAGTATTTAGATATAAGCTGAATAATCTTTACATAATTTGTGCAGTGAATTTCTGTGCACGTATGTTTAACTCATTATATACAATGTCATGTGTATTTGTCTTTAATAAATAATATGGTTGAAAAATCATACAAAGTGAAATAAATGGCATCCATCGCTTGTAAACTGAAGAATATGATAATGTACTTCATTGAACCTAATTATGAAGCATCTCATATATAAAAATCTTACTGCATTCTGTCATACTATCATCATAAAATTTGTCCAATTGGCAGCAGTTGTCAATAATAAATTGTACGCATATGATACATGTATATATGACTCACATGGATTTTATTTCTCTTTGGTATTTTTGTTTTTTTTTTTAATTTTTTTATATGGACCAAGAAGATAGAAATCAATTATGAATACTAACCAATAAGATAAGAATTTTTGTACTGAAAAAGGTAATTTTTCATAAAACCTGCCTAAAAGGTAATTTAAAAATCTGCATGACTTACTGACTCCCAGCACCCCTCCATCAGAGCAGTTTGTGACAGTTTCAGGGGGTGGGGGTTTGGGGTACAAACATCTATAGCAGGGACCATCTTTATAACCATAAACTGTTAACTGTCAATGGAGTAAATGTCATTTTAATATGCAGCATGGTGGAAACCTATAAACTGTAACATTTTGATACATGTATACCATTATACATGTATCTGAATGAAAATAACAGTGCATGTAGGTATCAGTAATATTTGGTATAAGCACATCATTATTACATCCTATATTTATTTAATTCAGAAGAAATTTTGTTGGACAATACAAATTATGTTAAACCTTTAAAAATTGTTTTGCATATAAATATATGCTCTATAAAATTTTATTCCCAGTGATTTTACTTTTTTGGTAGCAAAAGAATTCAATGTTGAACATTGTTTGATAAGATGTTGGAATGATTGGTGCCATATTTAAGAATGGTTGATGAGATGTCTGAATGGTTGATGAGATGTTGGCATAAATAATGAAATGTTGAATTGCTCTGTAATTTTTATGTCAACTTTATTTGCAAGCGTTAATCATTAATTAATGACCGAGTTCTTGGGCTAAATACAACTCAACGTCTCGGGCCTTTCCGACCAGCGGAAAAACAACCTCGAATGTATTAAGTAGATGCCATGACAACCCCCCTTTTCACAAATTTTGAAACAAATGTTGGAAGACTTCTTATCTTTGGAGTACAAAGTTTAACTTTATTGAATGTAAAGATATTACCTAAAACATATCACAGAAGAGACTTTTAAATTCTTCTATCCTATATTTATTATAAACAGGAAATGTATAAATTTTTAACATCCGGTGATGTTAATACCGGTACATTCGAGGTCGTTTTTCCGACCTCTGACGGAAAGACCCGAGATGATGTGATTGGGGCTAAATACTGAAACTTGAACCAAAGTTGTGTTCAGTTTATGGCCTCAGGCAAACACTTTGGTTTTCAGGCCTGAAAAATGCAAGTTTTCCTTGCATCCATTAAAAAATGCAAACTTTATTCTTTAGAATTGTATACTATTCCCGAGATCTATATGGTAAGTGCATGTACTTTTTATCTATGCTTCAAAATATTTATATCTATATTTACTTATACAGAGTAAAAATGAATGAACAGCAAAATTTGTAACACATATCATGTGTATTTCTTTTTGTATTACTCATATACACATATATAGGTTACATTAAAGACTAAAAATATCATTTACTGTTCCTATTTTTATCACTCATAGTAATTTATTCCAAATCGGTAGGACTAAACTGCATTGCAGAAAACATATATTAGCTATAAAATTCACATAGCCTAACCACTTCACCACTAGATAAGATACAATCATTATAAATACAGCATAAACAATAATTTCTAGGTTAAACAGATTTGAAAGCTTTCATACAGAATGATTTACCTAATCATTCTCAGAATTGCTAAGTAAACCTAATAATGTGACATTAATGTTATAAAATAACTTCGACAGACCATTTGTATAATTAAAACTAATACTAATGGAGCATTTACTTGATACATGTACTAATATATCGGTGTATTATTATTATTAACCCTCTATCAAGAGCTATATACAGATGATGAACTTCAAACACTTTTTGGAGCTTTTGTACATGGCAAGGAAATCTGAATGCAAAAATGAATTATAGCTCAACTCTAAATAATCTCAAAACTGGTCAAAAACATATTTCTTTCAAAAGTTTTGGCACCAAGACGTATCATTTACCTGTCCTTCAAATCGTAGGGCACTTCCCGACACCAGCGGTTTCTTACACAGAATACAGGCATCATTCAGTAGATACCGAGTAGCTACATTATCACTGGCATCCAACACAATGTCATAGCTTCACAATGTTAAGAATGGAGGAACACTGAAAACTGTACTGTTTCTATATTATGTTATATAAAACTATTTATATTTTATGAATACATAATTCTCAAATTACTGTAAACGTTGATATTTATTTCAAATTACTTGATTCAGTAGCATGCATGCAGAGGTTGCTGTAAACCAACTTTTATTCGCGTGCAAGCAATATTCGTGAGTTCCACGACCTACTTTAAGTCGCAAATACTTTTCACCGCAAAACCCTTTCTTCTGCTTTATATTGGTAAAGAATGTTTCCTCTGTCATGAAAATTAATCATGGTGGAATGATTTCAAACTGACAAATCATGAATAGAGATGCGAATAATAGTTGGTTTACAGTATTAGCTTGGCTTTAGCATTAGCCATAATGTACTGCAATATACATTGTCAAGTATATGTATGTAAAAAGGTTAAAAGATACAGTCAAACCTCATTATCCCAAACTTAATTGGACATTGTAACTTGATAAACTTTGAGATATCAAAGTACAATGTATTTGAAAAATCAGGATTAAAAATACATAAAGATTAAGTGAATGGGGCTTCCAGATCAGCTCAACATATCCATGGTACTCAAGATTTCAGTGCTTGAATATCATAGGTACTAGTATGCCCAAGTGATTTGCAAGTCCCAAACACTTATTCTTCTGATTTTACACTGGATATCTTTAATACTCAGATATCGGAACTTTTTTCTTGGTCCCAACGAGCTCAAAATGATGGGGTTTGACTGCATTTACAGAGCTGTGGAATTTTTTTTCTGAAAGCCTGTCTTTTGGACAGACATGTCAACAAACTTTGCCTGTCTGAATGAAATTAACCTGTCTGAATGTTACCAATTGAAAAAAAATATTAAAAAAAAAAAATGAAATAAAACATTACTGGTAAATGCAGCAGATGTAAACTTAATCAGCCATGATGCCATGTTTAACACAATTTAGTTTGCCTGGTTCTCTATTTCATTATGATGAGACAGAGAACCAGGCAGTTTTACTCGTAGATCCTCGCGTGCCCTACACCTCAAATTATAGAGTATTGCACTGTGTATGGGAAGTTTTCCGAGGATTATGGAAGCATGCTACAAAAAACAGCAAATTTAACGATATTGCACTATGCGTTTTTTTTATCAGACAGGAGAATCAACATCAGTCATGCTGTCTGACATTTAACCAATTTATGTCGGTCATGACCAAAGTAAGCCAGTCTTGCCGGCATGACCGTTGACGTGAGTTTTCCACAGCTCTGCATTCATATGGACATGCAGCCAGATAGATGAACATGATGATTCCATCTCGACTTGGCCTCATCCCTAAAAAGTTCATGTCCTCAGAGTATAGTTAGGTCCTCAAGATAGATGGACATGCTTTTTGATAGCACTAAAAATTGTATGAAATCAGACAGGAATAAATTTCTAGTACAAGACGTATACATAATACCATTAGTTTATAATATAATAATTTCACACAAGTGCATATCTGACAGAAGTTGTGTCTGTAGCTATTTTGATCTGTAATATGAGTGGCACATTCACTTAGCTTGTACATTCACACATTGATAAATGTGTGATTGTCTGACATATTGAACTAACAAGTTTTACTGTAGCCTCTACCCTTTAGGCGACGTCTGTCACCTTATAACAAGGATACTTCTTAATGATCTGTAAAGCATTCGAGCTGTCAAGCTGTACTCTGTAGGGTACACACTGCACAAGGGAATTCAGCCTAAATATAAAAATTATACATCACTGATCACCATGGCACAGTTCTTAATAAATATCCTAACAAGCATTACATGGTATAGTGCATTGTTAAGTTCACTCTTGACAGGACTGCTTCTAACTATAAGTGGCCAGATGAATTATCTGCACAATGACATACTACTTCTAATAAAACTGTGTTTCTATTTATTTTCTGCTTCAACATAGATCCTCCTCAAATTTGAAACCATTAGTTTTACTGAATTTGTCTGAATTTTTTTTCTAACTCCATTTTTAAGATTATCATTATATGATCAATTGATCATCTTTGAGAGCAGAGAGTTGACTCTCTCAATCCCCTTACCAGTCTCTTGTTGTTTTACACAGGTGAACAATACAATGTAATTATATGCATAATACAGTAAAACATGTTTATAATTACCTGTTAGGGATGTGGATGGACAATTTTGCTGTGTTCTAAACATTATTCCTGATATATGCTAGCTTCACAATATGTTTATAACACACAGGAATAAAAATCACTTTGCTATAAGCATCACGTCATTATAAGCTTGTTTGCTATAAGAAAGCATCAACACATGACTTTTTTTAAATTTCAATGTATTCCACACAATCCTTTTCTTTCATAGATGAAAAAATGTTTTTATCTGCCCTGCCCTATACATGTATCATTTAACTTTTTCCTTTTCTCCAAAAACTTTTTGGATTTGAACTCCCTCTACCCTATCACATCTAATAGAATAGAAAATTTGTAGAAAAAAGATAAATCCTTAAATAGCTACAAAAATATTCATGAATGAATGATGAATGAATGAATCTTTTTAAAATTAGAGAAAATCATTAATTTTGCTGGTTGCCAAAATAACTTTTTTTATTTTAATTTCAACTATCAAATGAGTTTTACCCCTTGATTTACCACATGATTGTGAAGTTCACCTTTAAACATAATACAATGCATGAAAAATTAGTGAAGGGGTATTACACCTGGTAATTTTTAGTTACAAATTAAAATTCAATAAAGATGTAGTAAGCCAAAAACATATACATGTATAGGTTAAAGTAGACAAACTATGCTACAAAAATACTTTGTGCACACCCAAAACTATATATCTATATTTTTTCAGTATTCAAATATCTCAAACAATACTTACTACATATGTAGTAATAATAAAAATTAAGCATTCTTTATTGTATTGAAAGCTTCTCAACACAGTTCAAAGGGCAATAACTCAAGCAATGTTCAATGTGATATTCAAATTAGCATTTGTTTTGAAAATTATTTGAATCTGTATCACAGATAAACATGTAGATATATAAGGGATTACATATGCAGGGATTTAAATTTTTACAAATTAAGATAAAACTGTCAATTAAATTAACTTACTGACTACATGCTGAAGCAGCAGAGGAGGATTTAGCCACTCCGACTTTTCCCTCAGAATGGAGAATCTGGCGATGTAAATTTGACAGTTCTACTTCATCATAATCTACGATGCCTATCCTTCCTTTAAAAAATAAAATAATCTTCAATATTCATATTATCACTGGAGGTGGACCATGTGTTGTTTTACATTAACTTTATACACTGACAAAAAAATGCTTCATCAGAGAGTTATAGTTTTGTAACCAAAAAGTAAAAGACATCTTCAGCTATCCATAGCTGGTAATTCAACAAAATGATTTTCTTGTCAAATGACCAAAGTCATATACTGTATGTTTCAACAACAACAACAACAAAATGGCAAAAATTTGGCAATTGGCTTGAAAGAGTTTGTTTCATTTCAATCTAAGTATTGCAGCAATAAGAATGTTAGCACACAGACACATGCAATATTATATTTGCATGAATAAGTGTCCTGATATGAGAACAAAAGATACAAGTGAAAGTGTTCATACATACCCACTCCAGCTGCTGCAAGGTAAATACCTGCTGGACACCCCAGGCCCCCAGCCCCGACCACCAGTACAGAGGTATTAGCTAACTTCAGCTGTCCTGTTAGGAAATTTTACAGAACATGTCACAACCTTAAATATATTAATATTTTATATCAGAGAGATTTGTTTAAATTTTAAAATGTGGTCTAAATTAATATACATTTATTTAAGATCTTTCCAAATGTACAAGTTCCACAAACAAACCTTGAACACCAATCTCTGGGAGGATTAACTGTCTGCTGTATCTTCCAATTTCTGCATTTGTTAAAGATGTCCTTGACTCTTGTTTTACATCATATGTACTTGGATATGCATTTGGGATTTTCTTGAAATAGAATATGATTCTGTTTTTAAAGACAAATAATTTCTTATGGCTAAATCCATTAGATCATTATTATGAAACAAGCAAAAGTTCTTAAATTCTATATCTACACTGATATATAGCAAAAAATTATCATTTTTCAACTAAAGAATTATATAAACAAATTACAGAGTTTAATTGTTTTGTGTATCATTGTAAAACACATCCAAAGACAGACAGTCCATAAACAATGAGTATATGTTTGTAGCCATTATCATAGTTGACTTCAATCACTAGTGGCCACATAGCTAAGTTGTTAGAGTACCTGACTGGAGAATTAATTAAGGGACCCGTTTTGAACATATTTTTTTGTATATGTAGTAGTGTGGAATACACATGTATTTAATAAATAAATGTTTTAAATTAAATGTAAATAAATTAAACTACCATAATAGATGAAATTATAAAAAGTAATAAAAAATATAGTAATAATAAATTCATACAAAAGGATTGGTTAAAAGTTCTTACAACTTTATATAAGCCTCTCCCGTTACATGTATTTATCCTAATTTCTGGGATAATATCGCGATAAATCCCGCGATATAACTGAGCATATGTGTAAAAACTTACATTCTATAATAAAAGCCTACTAAACTGTACATTAAAAGTAAAAAGAAATCGCAACATAATTTGCTAGAATTTTCTCGATATTTATGTCAATAACATGGCCACTTATATAGTATGGGTTTTAACTGTACCAATAACTCCTTTAATCGTCTGTTTTCTTGCTCTTTTAATTCAAGTTGTATCTTTAACTTCTGTATTTCCTCTTCCATTTCATACCCAATGATAAAAGCACTTGCTTTCAGCATCAAACACGTTTTTTGTTTATCACGGAAGTTATACAAAATAACCCTCCATCACAAAAGAGTTCCACTTTCGACTTCAGCCTTGCAGACGATTTTTCTAATTTTTCAGACAAGTAACAGAATATGGCTCGACTCAAACAAGCACCAAGAAAATCCACTCATTTGGCACCTAAAGAAAATCACTTTCATAATATTATGAAAACCTATAAAGCCTTACAGAAACTCCAAGTTCAATCCAAAATTACAGGAGGAATCAAAGAACCTCGAAACTGGAGACCGAGTTCGAGTGTACTATTGGATATTAGAAGATATCAAAGAACAACAAACCTGCTTATACCAAAAATGACATTCCAAAGGATTGTTAAATCTATTACAAATACAAATTTTGCTGGAATAAAATTTCAGACAGCTGCATTGCATGCGCTACAGGTAATCACAGGCACAGTTTCAGAGCTGCCAACATTCTGAAGTGAAAAATAGTAAGGCATGGTCCAGGGACCGCCTCAGCCCCCTGTCGCTGAAGATGTTTTGTGAATGGACATGCAATCGGAGCACTTTAAGGGACGTTTCCATTTTGTTTACTTTAAAACATTGACATGAATGCGATAAGCCATCTAAAACCGAAAGGACGATGCAAGCAAGCGTTGTAAGGATTTATGAGCATTAAATTATAATAGTAGAAACTGTAGACGGCCAGTTATGAAAATTACGATATTATAAATTCTGATCGAGAAAAACCAATATCGGAAGCATATAGAGAGAAATCGTAAGACGTATTTTGGACACTTATTTCGTAAGACTTACGCCAAAATCGTAAGGGTTGGCAGCTCTGCAGTTTGGGGTATGTACACGCCCCCTTTTTCCGTTTGATTGGCACACGCAAAATGCTTCTACCGTTTTGATAAATTCTGAGTTCTGGAATTCTGGTGCATTTGTTTATCTTTTAGATATATATAATAAACTAAATCCAGCGGCATTTTTGAACATGATGTGAAAACATGAAAACTAATTTTGTTTTAAAAATAGCTAATATTATACATTTATTGACTGAGTTCGAGGGCAGAACATGCGTTTTGTCGGACCCAAGAACCTCCTGTCTGCCTGAGACCGTTAGGCTGAAGGCAGACAGTTTGGTTCGAGGGTCGACATCACAAAACGCATTTTGCCCGAGAACATAGTCAATAAATGTCTTGTTATACCTTTAATTTTTTTTCTTCAATGATATAACATCAGGTCCGTCAATTTTGAACAACTACGAATGAAAATGAGATTAAGCTCCGTCCGTTCTGTGACTTAAGCGGTCCAACATCTCATCGACCGGTCCAACATCTCACTCAGCGGTCGAACATCGATTTTTTTATGCCTGCTCAGCAAAACATTAGAAATGTTAGACCTTTTTTCGTATAGATTTGTATAGGAACAAATTTTCAAAGGTATAACAATTTCAAGTGTCTCATGTTAGTAACTTTAAAAGTTAAGTCAGATACTTCTGAGTTTGACATAAAAAAAATCCTATTCATAAATATTGTTGCTAGCGCTCTCAAGCGCCAGCAACTACGTTAGTCCAAATTCCTGGAATACGCATGCTCGGCTTCACGGTCGTACATTCTGGGGAAAACTGTGAAAACTACTATAGATAGACCGTACGATAAAATTTTCGTTGTATCATTAAATAACTTAGATAACTACATAATTGTAATACTTCAAATTTTCCCTTTTCCTGACGGAAAAGCCCGACTCATTATTATATGATTGTTGTTAACAAAGACAAGAGAGTTTTTTTTTTTACATCTAAGCAAAAGATAGACTCTATTTTCAAGACCTCACCACAGTAAAAATATATTCTATATGCTCGCAATCATGGCAATGTAGGCCAACCAAAAATATCCATAAACAAGGATTTATACTAAAACTTACGAACAAATACGTTATTTATTTAAAAAAGAAATGTGTATGGATGCTTTTAACCTACATGTACATGTAACAGTTCTTGACAAAGACGACCCAAAGTGCCAAGCTACTTCACATTTTCACATTCGGAACTATCTGGAAACTCCAATGGGTCAACACAACCCCCCCCTATCGTTTCTTTACCTATGTGTTTATAAAATACACTTCACAAAAAATTATAACTTTCTCACACCCCAGCCTCGATAAACATTAAAAAATTCAGCAAAATAAATCACTTGACCAGGGACCTTACTTTTTGTGATTAAAAATTGCTACGGCGCTAGCTCACCTATCTTTTTTAAAAGATAAACTTGTTACAATATTAATCTTACACAAAATATACACATTATATACATACCCCCTCATTGGCGTCGGAAGCAAATTGAAGGGGGTGCTAAGTGAAAGAGAACAAAATTTCGAACCGGAAAAAAATTGACATGCAAAAAAAAAAAGAGGGAGAGAATTTGTCCTAACGCGAAAACCCTATTTTTGGGGGGGGGGGGGGGGGGGGGGTCGAACTTCTTTCAGTATCGAATTCTTATTTCAAACTCCACCACTTACTCTTCTTCAACTACACTGCAACGTGCCTGTTGAAAGTGGGGGAGGGGGGGCTAAATGTATGCCCCAACGTTTGACACCTATATGATGTCTATCTTTGCAAAAAAATGCGGTTCCGACGCCTATGCCCCCTGCCCTCAATCATAGAAAATACTTTCAAAACGATGTTTTGAATTTTTTGGATTTTATTGGGAACCTTTATTACGTTGACCTCGGCATTAAGATACTTTACCGTAACAAAATGAAGATTGTATTGACGTAATAACGAGATTCCACCGTATTGATAAGATTGAATTTAATTGACTTTTTTAAAAGTAATAATTATTACGTAATTGCTAAGAATTTGGTAAAGTGTTTTTTTTTTTAAGTATTTAGAAACACACAGATTGAAATAAAACAAAACAAAAACAAACGAAAAGAAAAACAAAACAAAAAGGAAAAAAACAGGATTTTTCATTGAAATTTTTGCTTTTTCTCTTTTTAGGAAGCGTGTGAGGAATTCGTTATAAGTGTGCTAGCAGATACAAACCTGTGTGCACTGCACGGGAAAAGGGTAACAATTCTGCCAAAGGACATGCAGCTGGCTCTAAGAATAAGAGGAAAGAATAACTCTGTATTTGCTTCACATGAGGAATGATAAAAGCAAAATTGGTACCATGGTGTCATGCTTATTCGTGTGTTTTATCGCTTTTAAAACGTATTATTCTTGTTTCAAGTTGTACATGAAACTAAGAGAAAAATATTTCAATTTATTTCAAATTTATTGAATAATACTTAATAATAAAAAAATGTATCTGTTTTTTTTTCTTCTACGGATGTATCTGTATTTGAAGTACTATCTAGTCTCTCTCTCTCTCTCTGATTTTATGATCGAATTTTATTTGAGAAAAGAGATATTGTCGAAACACCGAAATCGTATGAGAAAGAGAGGGGGCTAAATTCAACTTTTTTGTCACAACCAATTTTTATTAATCCATTACTACATTACATTGATTTAACTGAAGTGTGTGTGTGTGGGGGGGGGGGGGGGATGGAGGGTCCTTTCAATGAACATTTTCAATAAACCCCTACGTGCCTTACTTACAATAGATTTGACATTTGTAACTGAATGTTATTTCTGTCTCTGATTATTCTAAAACTTTATATAAAATTAAATAATTACAGTTTTCAAAATAAGATTTTTAAAAACATTGGTATTATTTTGGGTAAACGGATATAAGCAAGAAAAAACACAAATCATTCAAAATATTTATGAATATGAAATTTTGGGGGAAATGAGCGGACGATGTCAGTACTCTAAAAATAACTTTTGTTAATCACAGTTAATTCGCCTATGTTAACGGGTCATTAGTGCAACCTTCAAGAAATCAATGGCGACTGACGTGGAGAACGAAGGAAATGAAAAAGCAAAAATTCTAAAGGATGTTGACATCAAAGAAGAGGTCAGTAATATTTACCAAACTTTATTTATAACTATAAAAATAAACCCGGGTGTCTTATACTTTGTGTGATGTAGCGGTGGTGTGATGGGGGTGGTGAAATCCAAGAAGACGTGTTTGTTTACATCCTATCCAAATTTATATATACTGGTGTCTATTAAAAAAAAAGAATTTTTATCATTCTGTTGAAGTTGGATAATTTTTTGTACAGTCAGTTTAAAAGGGGATATTTTAAACAGCATTGTCATAAGTAACATATGATTGCAGTGATATAAAAATATCAAATTTATTTAAACTTAAAGCACGTGCGTGGTAGTATTGTAGCATTGAAGTAATGTCTATATATTACACTTAAGCCTAGGCCTTTAGTCCTATAAATAGGTAAATGTAATAAGTTATGTTACATACATATGAATAAATGCAAAAGAAACATTAGACTGACATAGCAATAAGAATATCTATTTACATCATTATGAAAATTTTTAAAAACATATCACATCAAAGTATTCTGTAATCCTGTTAGGCTATTTATAATATCAAGAGATTACATATGCAGAGAAAGGAAATTCATTGGTTCTCTTTTTAACCATCAACTTTGTGACGATTACCTGTATGATTGATCATCAGTGATTGGATATATAATACATATTATAGCTGCAGAACTGTAGATCATTTGGACAGACAAACCAGGAAGGTGCAGATCCCAGCATTGTAAAGACCTTCGATTTATGGGGCACCTTTTGGTCACACACTAAGGTTATCATTTAATTTCTTGTAATTTATGCCCCTCTGGATTAATCCAGGGCATATCATATTTAGTACCGATATTCAGTATTTTTCCCCAAGAGAAAATCTCCCCTGAATATCCTAAAATCATGGTCCACGGGGATAGGGTTTGGCCACAGAACAGGATCAAATTTTACGTGGAAATACATAGGATGAAATCGAATAAAATTTTCTCAGGAACTGCGGGGCTTTATTGGATATATTGATGATGGAAGAATTCTCAGATAGGGTAGGTTCAAGTTTATTCAAATTATGACCCCTGGGGGTATGAGTTAGGGTTTGGTTTGGTGCACGACAGGGAATCATTTATTTAAAACATTCACTATCTACAGTAATTTAACTAATTATCTTTTTTTTTTCTCTTTAAAAAAATCTTGTATTGAATTTTTTTTCCCTTTTAAAGTCCTGCATTCTAGAATTTAATGAGGTAAAAGTTGGTCAGATTCCAATGATATCACTTTTCTTCCTTGTTCATTGTATTTATTATATCCATAAACTTAAACCAACAAGGAATGCAGACTGACTGAAAGAAATGTCTTTATTTCCCCGAAATACACTGTAGAAAATCTTACTAGACATTAACAGTTGCTTAATTTTGATACTGATAATGGAATGATCAGTAAGTAGTCACTTTTATTTCATTAATTTTGTAAATATTTTTCTGGTAATAACTACCAAGTAAAAAAAAAAAATGAAGTTTATATTGTATTTTAAAAATAGCACATTTAAATTTACACTCAAAAGTTTATGCTCATGCAATAATAAATGAAAAATATTTTCCCCTGAAATTTGTTTGATGTCTGTGTTGTCAGCATTGTTGTCATTGTTGTTGTAAACTTTTCTCAATTTCATCTTCTCTGGAACTACTGGGCCATTTCGAGCAAACTTGGCACAGTGTATCCATAGGTGAAAATGTTATATACCGTGGTATTTGTTTCAAATGAAGGGCCACACCGACCTCCAATAGTTCATTGGCAACATTGAAAAAATTTCTTAAGAACAATGAAACTTGTGTGGAATCCTTGTTAGGTAGTGTAGGTAGTGTAGATTCACATTTGTTCAATTCATGACCCCCTGGGGAAGGGTGGGGCCACAAAGAACGATCAAGATTTTCATGGAAATATATATAGGAATAATCTTTTAAATTCTTCAGTCTTTTCAAGAACAGCAAAGCAATGATTGGTCATAATTATGTGAAAACATCCTCAAGTGTAGATCCAATTTTATCCAAATCATGCTCTGCAGAGGTAGGGTAGGGTCACAGTGGCCAATCAAAGTTTTACATAGGAATATAAAGGAAAAATCTTTTAAAATCTTCTTTTCAAAACAGCAAAGGGATAGGGTAGGGCCACAATGAAAGGTAGTTAGTGTACCGGTACATTCAATTTTGCTCAAATCATATCCCTTTCTCCCTTTTAGGGGTAGGTTTGAATCGCTTATGCATTTAAACTTTTCAATACTAAAGTGATTTTTGCTCTTTTCTTAGCCCCAGTGCTCAGGTGAGTGATGTTGCCCCTGGGCCTCTTATTTTTTCATATATACATGGTAGCTTAAAAATATAAACTTCATGGTCTAAACCCCACAATAAATAATAAGAATAGAGGTATTTTTACTGTTAGATTGCAGATTGGTCACAGTGACTGGAGACTGGGGAAAAAGTTTTATATAGAAATATATAGGAAAAATCTTTGAAAATCTTCTTCTCACGAACCACTGGGCCAGAAAAGCTGAAACTTATGTGGAAGCATCCTGGTATAATGTAGATTCTAAATTGTTCAAATAATGACCCCCGGGGGAAGGGCCCACAATGGGGAATCAAAGTTTTATATAGAAATATATTGGAAAAATCTTTGAAAATCTTCTTCTCAAGAACCACTGGGCCAGAAAAGCTGAAACTTATGTGGAAGCATCCTGATATAATGTAGATTCTAATTTGTTCAAATAATGACCCCTGGGGGAAGGGCGGGGCCACAATGGGGAATCAAAGTTTTACATAGAAATATATAGGAAAAATCTTTGAAAATCTTCTTCTCAAGAACCACTGGACCAGAAAAAGTGAAGCTTATGTGGAAGCATTCTGGGGTAGTGTAAATTCTAAATTGTAGGAATCATGACCCCCGGGGGAAGGGCTTATAGGGAATCAAAGTTTTACATAGAAATATATAGGAAAAATCTTTGAAAATCTTCTTCTCTGGAACCACTGGGCCAAAAAAGCTGAAGCTTATGTGGAAGCATCCTGGTGTAGTGTAGATTCTAAATTGTTCAAATAATGACCCCCGGGGGAAGGGCGGGGCCACAATGGGGAATCAAAGTTTTATATAGAAATATATAGGAAAAATCTTTGAAAATCTTCTTCTCAAGAACCACTGGACCAGAAAAAGTGAAGCTTATGTGGAAGCATTCTGGGGTAGTGTAAATTCTAAATTGTAAATCATGACCCCCGGGGGAAGGGCGGGGCCATTATAGGGAATCAAAGTTTTACATAGAAATATATAGGAAAAATCTTTGAAAATCTTCTTCTCGGGAACCACTGGGCCAAAAAAGCTGAAACATATGTGCCCATGGAAGGATCATGGGGTAGTGTAGATTTCAAAATGTCTAAATTATGATCAGTGGGGTAGGGTGGGTATGCATTATGTATAACAAGGGGGAAATCTGGTAAAGAACAGAATGGTCAAAGCTTCTCAGGTGAGCGATGTGGCCCATGGGCCTCTTGTTTTTCGATGTTACAGTAATGAGAGAGTGGGAGTGGTTCTATTGTTTCTTTTTATTCAGTGTTACCAGCAAACTTGTTTAAGTAAAATAACCTTTAGCTCTACAAAGATACATTTATAGGTAACTATTTAGTTTTTAGGTCACCTGAGCTATTGTCATTGTTGTGATTGTTGTAAACTTGTAAACAATTTCATCCTCTTCTAGAATCACAGGGTAAAGACTTTCAACCAAATTTGGCGCAGAGTATCATTGGGAAAAGGGAATTCAAGTTTAGTTAAATGAAGGGCAAGATCATTTACCAAAGGGAGATAATCAAGAAAATGCATAAAAAATGGTGGTGTCAATTAAAATCTCCTCAAGAGCCCCTAAACCAGAAAAATTAAATTATGGCCATAGTATTACATGTATTCACAATTTTTCATGAGAATATGAAATTCTTCTAGAAATTTTTTGAAGAGCAACCAAGCTTAAGTACTGTGGAATCATTATTGTTCATGGGGGTCCAATGTTCGTGGCTTTCGTGGGTAACCCAGACCCATGAATTTACATCCCCATGAACGTATATACAAACATTTGTTTTATTATTTGTTAAAATTTATTTATATCGTAAAATAACCGTTACCCTTGTGTCCTTGTGATCGCACATAAAGAAGACAATCTGCATGCCTATTATGGTAAATTATTGACACAAAACCAAATTAAAACAATGAAAAACAAAACAAAAAAATCTTAAGTATCAAAGACATCGATAACTATATTATACAATAAGTAATAAAATGATAAATACAACTGTTAAATTTATGTAGTGTTTACATTATTGTCCAACACGCTCAAATGCCCCTTTAAGGAGGTCAATTTTTTAGTGCGATTTTGGAGTGGGTGCTAATTAGCCAATTACAATGTAGCATGAATTGGTTTCAGGGTAAACGTTTTAAGTCAATTTTAACATTGGCGTCGTAGTTCTCATTTAGAGATTACAAAAAAACAACATGTTCCGTGTACCACTGGTGTTCTTTATAATCATAATCTGCTGCAACATCATGGCTGTAATTTGTCGGTGCAAGCCTCCGGTACATTTTTGTGTTCACAAGAGAGATTACTTAAATAAGCAACATTGACGGGGTTATTATGTTCCCCAAACGAAGTTTGGGAACATATTGTTTTTACTTTTTTTCTGAATTTTCTTCTCCGGTACTTTTTTTGTCCGCGAGTGTTCTCGTAAATTACTCATCCGATCTAGGTGAAACCTTTTTAGGGTCACTAGGTATGTTATGTAGATGTGCGGAACGAAGGTCATTTTGCGCGCACGTGCGTGCATGTGCGTGCATGTGCGCACATGTGTAACGCGTGAAATGACCAATATGATAGATATAGCCGTAACCTTTTAATTATGTTCCCCAAACGGAGTTTGGGAACATATTGTTTTTACTCTGTTTCTTACTATTATTATTCTTTTTTCTTCTTATTTCTTCTCCGGTACTTTTTTGTCCGCGAATGTTCTAGGAAACTGTTCACCCAATGGAGTTAAAACTTTTTTAGGGTTAGTAGGCATGCTGTGTAGATGTGCGGAACGAAGGTCATTTTTCGCGCATACGCATGCACGTGCGGGCGCGTGCAATGAATAAAATGACTGATATATTTAATATGGCTGTAACTTTTATATTTTTTGATGAAATGTTTTGAAACTCATTATATAAAGATATATAATTTGTGTAGATAAGATGACATGGTCAAATTTTCATGAACTCACGCGCATGCACGTGCACTTTGCTCTGATTGGCTGAAACAGAAATCTTAATATCTTCTTGGTTTTATGATGAAATGCTTTGAAACTTATATCATAGACATGCATTCGGATATACTACAATATGATACATAAAATTTTTCATGAAATCACGCGCATGCACGTGCGCTTCAATCTGATTGGCTGAAACTTTAAATGACTATAACTCCCTTGGTTTTCAACCAAACAGCATGGGACTTAGAACATAGATAGACATAAAGGACTCCTACAAGATGGTGTGGTCACCATGCATATGCATGCACGTGCGTGCACGTGAAACGAGTAAAATATTAAAACAATTGAATAGCGTATTTTTCAATACGTTTGGATTAAATGCTTTAATATATAGTACATTGAAATATATAGATAGTGTAGAAAGATGACATGATCATTATGCACATGCATTCACATGTGCAGGCGTGAAATACTAAAATTTTAATATACCTGGTATACTTCTGGGAAAACATTGTTAAAGTCTAAAATGCATAGAGTTTGTCTTATTTAATGACTCATACGGGGAATATGGCACAAAAAGGGAGTTGGGGAGCGTTTGGGGAACATCTGTAACGGTTCCCGTTACAATTAGCACTAGTTCTTCTTTGTTTTAACTTGGGAGGAAAAAAAAACGAAATAGAACTTGTTACCAACGAAATTACGTCCCCACGAACCAGGAAATTTTTGGCTACCCACGAATAAAAATGATTCCACAGTAAGTTAAGTTACTCAAGTAAGCACTGTGGCCCATGAACTTAGTTCTAAAGTCATAGTAATATACAAGCAGTATAGAATTAAATAATAAGCTCAAATTATGTTAATGGATATGACTTTTTGGCATAAGAGGACACAAAGTGTACATGGAATAGACAGAAGAACAAAAGTACACAGTGATAATATTGTTGCTAAATGATTTTATTTGTGGTTTATAGAATTTTTTCTTGGGTAGGATATTTAATCAATCAGAATACTTTGTATTTCCACTTAATGTATACAAGGCTTAAATCCCTGTAATTCATTTTATTAAAAGCTATTCGTAACTAAAAAGAATTAAATCTAAAATGGAAGAAATAAGACTTCTCATTATTATGTCTTTTAGATCACAGTAGATTGAATAGTGTAAGATTATATAGAATGTTTGTTGCTGTGGCAGATGACAAAATATTGATTTTATTCTGTGAGAGATGGTCTAGCGATCAGTTGAAGGCATTCATTACAGAATACCGAGTCTTAGGTATTACATTCTAATGATACTTTTAACAGGTATGTGCTCAGTCACGACACACACTGAACAGTCCTTCTTTACATAACTGTTCATGTAACTTCCTTTTCTCATTGTTAACGTGACTGAAGTCCTGAATGTGGAGACAGGAAGACTTAGAGCAGCTTGCTTCATTGGATGGAAACAAGTGTTAGATTAGGATGTTCTTATAATAACCTTGAAGGTGTATTTTTCATAAACAAGTGGATATTTTTTTGCAGGTAAAGTGAAGTAAAAAAAAATCAGAATTCTTATATAAATTTTTAATTTATCCCAAAATGTCACAGTGAGTTACATAACTTTTATAATGCTATAAGGAAACTAACTATATTTGGATATGCTGTGAATTTCCTTTAAGTTAGCATTAGGCATTTAAGAAGTCAAGTTATTTGTTTTAAAATTTATATTGTTTTTGAATAAAACAGAATCCTATTAGCAGGTGTTTTTTTTAAAGAAAAGGTCATTGACAAGTTGTGCAAGGCATATATATATTTGATGTACAGTTTAGTTATAAAATTAAAAGCATGCCTGGTCCTTAAGTAACCGGTACAATATCATTTCTTTGTGTTCTTGGTGAAGTGAAATTTAAGAAATAGGAAATAAAGTGCGAAAAGAGGGTTTAATGAGTAGAATATAGCTACAAAATGAAGAAATTCTAAAAACAAGTTCTTTCGAATACAAGAAGGTACAGTTTAATTACATTGTATAATAAACAAGGAGTTATACTGAAGAAAAAAAAATATCATGACATATTCTGTCTTAAGTTCTTAACATTATGATTTGATGAGGGGAAATCTTATTTGAGAAAAGGTAATGTAGTCTATGAGGATTAAGTATTTAAAAATAACTTGACAATTGTGTGATGCACTTATATTGGCTTCAAAGTTATAACACTTGTTTCGGCAGGGTTGAATGAGGTGCATTTTGTGCTAACAAAGTACATGTATGTGCTTTAAATTGTGAACTGATATTTCAGTACATTATTTATTGATTTTATGATCCTGTGATTGCACTTAATATGTTTATTTCAGTTGAATAAGCAAACTTATAAAACATGTTTGGAATGAATGTTAGTTTTGTCATACTTTAAAACAACTTGTCTGGATCATCATGTTATTCTTACATCTTGTATATTATTTAACTGGAATTATAACCTCTTACACACTCTATTTTTAGGGGTTTTTTTTGTTTTTTTTCTGTTTTTATTATTATTATTATTTTTTTTTTTGCTTACTTTGTTGTGAATTTAAAAAATATGTTTAAAAGAGATGTTTATTTTCAAGAATAAGCTTTTATTAATTATACTTGATAAAGGTTTCAAGTTTCTTTTTTAGCCATTTAATCTTTAAAATATTTAGAAAAAAATTTACCGCAATGACTTTGACCTTTATACTATATTAAATGACAAAATGTGACTTTTCTTCAAAGTATCTCGTTTTTTTTTTTTAGGAGGAAAAGGAGAAACCAGCTGGTGTCTCTGTTGAGGAATATAAGCGACTACACAACATTGGCTCTAGATTGTCGACAGAAAATATCATCACTTACAAGGAATCAGCTTTTCTCCAGTCCTCAAGTTCAGACAATTTATATTATAATGTGAAGATTGAGAATGATAGGGAAGAAGTTGTCAAAGAGAAAGTAAGAAAGAAAAGTGATGAGTACAAGCATGGTGAGGGGAAGTCTCCAAATAAAGAAAAAAGTCCAAATAAAACAAATAAATCACCTCTAAGTCCTGAAGGTAAAAAACAACCAAAGAAGAAGCCAGATCCAATTCCAATGCCTGGGCGCAGAGTAAGGAGAGAAGCCAGTTTAAACGCGATGGCCATGGTGAACATTTTATTTGAAAAAGAAAGACCAGTTCCAAAGTCTCCAAAGAAGCGTAGATCCACTTCTCTGGCTGATTTATCCACTGAAGAAAAAGAGGTCCCTAGTTCACCTGTGAAGAAGGCCAAAAATACAGAAAAGAAATCGGAAAAGAAATCTCAGAAGAAAAACAATTTGACTGTTATCAAATCCTTAAAAAATAAAAAAGAAAAGGAAAAGACGAAAATATTGAAAGCCAATTCTCTACTCTTAAACAAGAAAATGCTCAAACTGAAAGCCAAAAAGAAACTGGAAAAAGTGAAAAAGAAAGTGATGAAGACTAAATGTGATAGTGAAAAAAGTTCTGATCCCAATAAGCCAAAAAAGAAGAGGAGAGACACGAGGAAAGCAGCAAGAACTCATGAAATTGTGATTCCCAAACGAAAACGCTGTTGCTCAGGATCTACGTGCTCTACATGTTTTCAGCCATTGATGTGCCAGCACAAAAGCCCCATGTACTGGAACACTCAAGATATCCCCCATAGTGACAATATACCACGATCAAACAGCAATACAGATTCTGATGATGTTAAAGCATGCATCAATATGGATATGACTACTTCAGGTTATTCGTTATCTCGATTGCAGCATATAGATAGTGCTTCTTATGTGAACTCTATGGTGCAGCACCCCGCCCTCTCATCACATAGATGCCCCCAGTGTGCCCAGGCTGCTGGGATGATTCCGGGCTGTCAGACTTACACCCTGAGTGGAGTAGGGGGGCTGAGTTCTGTAAGTCTACCTACAGTCATGCCTTATCCTCCTGCGTATGGAGGGTCCTATACATTACCCTATCCCGGAGCATCGACACTACCACACTGTTGTAAGTTCTAAACATCTTTTAATACCTGGTAAATAAAGATTAAATTGATTAGACCTTAGAGTGAAAGCGACTTTTATGATGTATGTACCTATAAGTCCTCTAACTGACCCATAATTAGAAACTGATTGAACGTTGAATTTGATCATTTGTTTAATAATTGTATGGAAGTGAATAAAATTGGTTGATAAACTTCTGATAACCAATAGCCTGCAAAGAATAAATTCAGATGAAAAGTAATAAATATCAGTATCCTGTTGATGAAGCTGAGCGCAACATTGTGATCATTCAATTTATGTTTCCCATGAAGGCATTTAATGTCTACATCGGTATTGATTTTATATTTATCGGTGCTCATGTGATGGGATCAAGTACAAGATAATGTCAACTACTGTTCCCATGCATTATGGATGGAATAGATCATGGATTCAACTAAGCTTGTTTTCTTTGATTCAATAATTTTTTTTTGTCTTGTCAGTTCATTTAGTGTATTAATAGTGAAAATTTGTTTCATATTTTTTAAGTCATTACATGATTATGAAAAATTAAGTCATCTATGAAAATAATTCAATAATTTTTATTTTTACACTCTTAGTTAACTGAGTGACTCAGGGCCCCAATTAGAAATAAAGTTTCAAATGGGAATTCATAGAGAAAAAAAAAATCATTGAAAATCTCCTCCTCAAAACAAAATGGTCATGATAAGTGAGTAGTGGGACAATCCACTGCTACACTGATGCATCACAGTATTCACTGACAATCTACAGATTGATTCATCTACCACGTAATTTAGTATCACGATACCTGACCGCACTTTTTTTAAATTTCCAAAAATGTCCTAGCTTTAGAAGTCGAATTTTTTAGTCCTTTCGTCTGTATCATCAAGACGTTTAAACAAACAGAAATAAAGTAAAAATGTTTTGGTGATACAGAATTCAAAATAAAAGCATCAAAATGGCATCAGACATGCCAGATTATGTTAAATTAACAAAACCTAATGGCAGTAAGTCGGGTGTCTGGGACACCTTTGGGCTACCAATATCTGAAATAGTTTATTTTCATACACTGTTATGTTCCAAATTAAATGTTCTAAAAAATTATCTAGTTTTATTTGGTTTTAAATGTATCATGATATGTATATCGTATCACATCTAAGGTATTGTGATATGTATCGGATCGGCTAAGTTCAGTATCGTCCCAGCCGTAATAAGTGATAATATGGAAGAATCTTCAGTTAGTGCAGATTCCAATTTTTCAAACCATGGCCCTGGGGTAGGGTTGAGCCACAATTATGGTTCAAAGCTTTATGATCTTAAAGAATTTGGTATTTAGCTTGTGAACAAGAGAGTTCTATACTATAAAAGTATTATTATTATTATAATACTTGTATTATAATCATAATTATATAAAATCTTACTATGTACCAGCCTTAAGTTAGTCATATTATGAAAATATATTTCTTTTTTGGGACATAGGTCAAGGTCAGAGGTTCAGATTATTGAAGATATGAATATTGCGATCTAATGACTCGAAAGTTTGGAAAATGTTCCAATGCCAAATGACTAAAACTAAGAGTAGATCTCTAGAACAAAGCAAAGTTTTGTAAAATGGGCTTTTCTAGCCTTAATCTTAACACACATTAATTTCTCAATGTAAATTGTAGTTAAATATATGTAAGAAAAATATGAATAAAATTATGGATTTCAAAGTCAGAAGTCAAGGTCGAAATGATTTCTCTCTTGAACACACTTTAATGTTGCCCAAAAATATGCATAGTGATGCTGTGTGTCTCTGTTTAATAAATTAGGATAAATGAGTTATACTGTACAACTGAGTAATCACATTGGATTATCTTTATTTTTCAGCATGTCCTCAATGTTTGTATTACTCTCAGCCCAGTACAAACATTTCCCATCAGCCACTGCCTTCAAGAGACCCCTGCATCTTATCACATCCGCCAATAAGTATTCAACACATTGAAGACAAACACCTCGAGGACTCTGACACCAAGGTTGCTGAGGAGATTATCGATGTTGGAATTGAAGAGTTTCCTATTGTGGAGCAGAGTGTATTCACAAAGTCAGACACTATAGAAAAAGTCAGGACAAAGGGCTCAGATTCAAAAAGTACCAAAATCAAATCAAAATCATCCAGTAGTGAAAAAGATTGTTCAAAATCTTATAAAAAGGACAAGAAAGAAAAGGGGGAGGTGGAGAAGAAATGTCCAAAAGAGACTAAAATCAAGTCTCCTAAAGTCCCAAAGGAGAGAAAAAAGAGCACATCTAAAAAGGAGGCTAAATTACAAAGAGCAATTTCACTACATGGTTGGAGACTGCACGGGCCATTGGAGAAGAAAAAAATATACAGCTTTGTAAGTGAACAATTTAGTTGTAAAGGGTAATTTGAAAATATCTTAACAGTCATATGGAACCTTTCAATTTTCTCTAATGTACATGAAATTACATGGATAGTCAGTCTGAAATTAGTCCATTTACATATATGCATTACAAATAATTACCGGTATATTTTCTATTTGCATCAGATTTCTGAAATCCATATGTTTAAATTTTCTGCATGCATTGTTCTCAATGTGTTTTTTTTTTTTACATCAGCAGTGAATGTAATTTATAACATAGAGACTAGAAAAAATCTTTTTGATATGCAGAATTATTTAATTTTTGTATCTTTTTATGCAGTTGCTATGCAAGATGCTTAAATATCACTGAGGAATCAGTGTTTTAGTTGTTTTACTGGTACACAAATTGATAAATCACTGCCAATACCTAAACTTGAAATGATGTAACATTTCATTTTTTTTTTCGATTTGTGGAGGTAATATTTTTTCCTCACCTTTTGATAGTCTCTAGGTACATCATTTGAAGCCCAGTGTTCCCAAGCCATACGACACTCAGATGGCGATATCATTCAGGTCAGGGACTGTGTAATGCTGAGGTCAGGGCCAAAGACAACTGATATACCTTTTGTTGCCAAGGTCACCCAATTCTGGGAGCATCCACAAGAGGGTATGTCAATTTCCTGGGCATTTATGAGCAAAATATAAAGATAAGGTCAGTGAGCTATTAGGAGTTACCTTTTTTGTGTATTATGCAATGGTTTACTGCATTGTTTTAGATTGTGTTATAGATTATTAAATTTGGCATTGGTGACTAAGGACTTGACATTGATTGCAAGTGAAATGTGTTGTAGCTTTTTTTTCAATCCCTTCATAATGGAAAACAATTGTCAATATTATCTTGACTATTGAAGAAGTTTTTACTATGTGTGTAATAGCTACAGGGATGGGTATCATAATTTTTTTTTGTATCATGATAAATAACAATTTTGTGATATTATATAATTAGTTTTTATAAAAAAAAAAAACTGAGTACAAAGCTACATACTCCATACAGTGACCATACCATTACATTAAATTTAAAGGGTGATTTCAGTATAAAACTTCTTGACTTCCAGGAGATGTAATGATGAGTTTACTGTGGTACTATCACCCAGAACACACAGAGGGAGGCAGAAAGAGCCAGCATGCTTCATGTGAGCTTTTTGCCTCCAAACACAGAGATGAGAACAGTGTAGCTTGTATTGATGACAAGGGTTATGTTCTTACATACAATGAATACTGCAGGTAAGAAAGTAAACGAAAGTCTTGCACCAAGTGAAAGGTCAGACTCTGGGGCCACATAACTTAGATGAGCTAACTTTTGATCATCTTCGCTAGTCAAGAGTTTTTGGTCCGCTGGGGAGCAGAACGGACCGAAAACCCTTTGCTAGCAAAGATGACTTAATCTCAGTCTCACTTTTATCAAAGGAATTAATAGAGGAAAAGGGAGACAGATCAAAAGTGAGCTCATCTAAGTTTAATTACCCCAGGAGCAGGTGCCTAAAAATGCATCAGCTGTCATTGTGTCTATGTTAGAATGCTTTGTGTATTTCTGTGTCAGACGACAACATGTTTGATTTTCATTTAAATATAAATATGTAGAATGTAAATAAAGCCTTAATAATAGAATAACTGTCTAGTTTGATGTTTGCCAGTGACATCAATGTGGAAAATTTTATTCATAATAGACTAGACATTTCAAAAAACTTTAACTCTGTTGATGAATAAGGCAGATTTTGAACCCTATTGTTATATCTTGTCTTTAGCTGATCTAGATTATGATTTTGTATTTCTAGGTTTCGTGCTGAAAGATCACGCAAAGAAACGGACCAGCTTCCCCGCAATAAGGTCGTGCCTTCCATTGAATATCCCCACACTAGTCGACTCCCTCCTGACAATGCCGACACTACTGCCGTATTTCTGTGTCGACAGGTCTATGACTTCAAGTTAAAACGCATTCTGAAAAATCCATCCTAGCATCGGAAGAAATGATTTTATATTTCATTTTGTTAAAATGCAGGTTCATTATTTATTTTTGTGAACAGATAATATTTTGATGCTAATTAAATAAAAAATGATTGAACAAGCTGTATGTCAACTTTTTGCTTCATTTTTAAATTTTATTGATTATGTTAAAGAGAAATTATACCATTTATTAAATTTTTATAAACAAATATATTGTTTTACTACAGCCCTCTGTTAAATAGAGACAAAAATTGCAATCGGTGAAGTTTCTAACATTTTTTTTTTATATAACTTTTACATATTAATCTGAATGAATGTGATAAGTAAGAGTAATGCTTGATTTTAGGTGTCAATAATGCATACATGTTCCTTGTTGAATTTTTGTTTTGATTTTTTATTTGAAGAGAACTCATGTTCGTATTAGCATATACTGATACAAAAACTCAATGTAAATTATCTAGTCCGTGTCAGCGTATACATGCATTTTAATTTCATTGTTGGTAAATGGCTGTATATTGTATTGGTATGTTTACTCATGATGTTTGTGTGTACTGTTGGTGAAATATTCTTGTACATGTATATGTAAGTGAAATATGGTGAAGAGTGTGTTTGACACTGATTTTTATTTTCAATTTTTTTTTTTTTTTTTTTTTTTTTTTTTTTTTTTTTTAAATTTTTTCCTTTCTGTACTTTGTTTATTTTTGATGTACTTCATACAACAGCAATTCAAAAATATATAAGGAAAATCATTTTATTACTGACATTTAAATGAGCTCAGTCAGAGGTGAATCTAGAAATTTGTGAAAATAAGTCAACTCTTCCACTGTTTTTACAAAAGTAGGAAAGTTGTTTCTTCTGGCTTTTCTTGGTAAAATCCCTAATACACTACATGTATCTTTAATATCCTAGATGGTCATTTAATAATTTGAAAAGTTAAGGTTTTTATGGCCTTCATTGAATATTCCACATGGATAAATTTGTTTATAATCTACTATCTTACTAAACATTCTTCATTTATGAATATTGTATAAAACATTCCATTGCAGTTTTTGAAAATAAGAGGCTTTCTTTATAAAATACATTTTCATGAAACAAATATTTTAACTTTTTCCATGCAGAAACAAATATTAGAACACTTCTGTATTCTGTCCTCTTTGTTTGTTTTTTTTTTCCTCGGGAGGGTCTCCTTTGACAATACGCCATGTACCATTATTCAAATGATTACTCTTATCCACTTGGAGTAACTTGAAATAAGTCATTTTAGTTTGCCCAATTACAAACATTATCCTGATCAGATTTTGTTTAAAAATTTTGAAATCAATTTACCGGAAAAAGTTCAACTGTAAATTTCTGTGTAACATGGTATGGTGCATACAATGTTTTTGAAGTGGGAAAACTTCTAAATTCACCTCTGAAAACTTAATTTTACAGTCTCTTTAGATACAACCTATACACTCTGAAACAACTTTTTTTTTTACCATGCATACCTTGTTTTACATTTTATCTGCTTATTTTGGCATAATTTTTAAGAGTGTAAAGTATGCATTCATTTTTATGAATTTTTCTGTCCTATTTGTTAGATATAGGTGTAAACAATATATTATTATGCACATCAGTAACATATTATTTAGGTGAAGAGAAATATTATAGAATTTGGAGAGAAAAAAACTATCAGGTGTAATCAGGTATACCATCCATTTTCTGTTTAAACGACATACACATATGTATGTTTGTGCCTTGGTACTTGAGATTTTATTAAGTTTTTACATGCATTCCTCTGACATCTAGTCTTTGTTGTATATTATTACTCCGTGAGTGTATGCAGTGTCCTGTTAGATGTTATTCCCAGACTTGTTTCTTTTTATGAGGATCTAAGCAAGAAGTGATGTGATTCTAAATGTCCCAGGAGAGACTACCTATGTTGTAGAAATATGCTGTTATTTGTTCAAATTTATTGAGTTGTATACGTCTTTCAGAGTAGTGTGATTGATAAATGAGTTCAGCTTTGTCCATTCTATGAATGGATAACATAAGGTCTGAATGAATATAATTTATGCTTTAATATGCATTGCTTGAGGTAAAAGAGAGATATGAATCTATTTGTTTCTGTGTTGTTGATTGCTGTTGCAGTATCCGTACTGGTGTTGTTTACAAGTACAGTGTGATAAAAAAAATCTACAAGTCTGTTCTTTTTATCAGCAATGATATTTTTAAAAAAACTATTTCAGTATAAAACAAATTCTACAAATATCTGCATGTTATATATTTTCTGGAAAAAGATTAATCTTTTTGTGGAAGGTTAAACCTTGATACGAATTGACTTGTACCAGTAAATAATTCTAGAACTTATGCTTTTTCTTCCCTGCAAAATGCTATGGAAACAAAATAACCATTTTAACCACTTTTTTAGACTGATTCATGAAATCATAGAAGATGTGGCTTTTATTTACTTGGTGTAAATTGACCTTGTACTAAAGTAACTTTGAAAGGGTCAAGGTCACTGGGTTCTAAGGACATGTGATTTTAAGAGAGGAATATCAGAAGAAAGTACTTAGCACAGAATTTCTTGTGATTAAGTTGCTTGTTATGATTCCAAGCCATGTTCATTTCCTCAAGATCAGGGTCATAGAAATTTGGAATTGTACATTTTGTAAATGGCAGAATATTCTTATACTGTTTTAAGCCCACCCTAGCTTTGTGGAGTTTTCCCTGTTGTGTGGGTGTCAGGGGGTGGGGGAGTGGGGTATAATCTCATTTGACGTGAATGAAAATGTTATTTTTTAATTTTGTGAAGAAATGCTGCAAGGTTTCCTTAACAAGTCAACTCTCTATGCTCACTAATTCACTTAATGTTAAACTTGACAGTGATACATGTAATCTTTTATGGTATATATACATGCATGTCTTGAATTAATGTTGAAATATTTGGTGTTAATTATTTTATTTTCATCATTAAGTTAAGTCAAGAGTGCTCCCCATTTGTATTTTGAACCTCAATAATTTTCCTAGCACAACATATACATGTACCAGTACATACATGTACATATTAATGAAGTATCACAGTATGATAGGGTGAGTGTAATAAGTTCAGCTTATTAATGTGATATTTAGTGATGTATTAAGTTTGAATCTGGAGTATATAGTCTTTAATCATGTCCATAGAGAAACTCTTCATTATTTTAATAAATATACTACAGAAACTAATTTCTGGTTTTATATTCATTTTGTTGTTGAATGATTTGTTTAAATGTTATTATAATTAAGCCTAATAAGTTGGAATGAATTCAAAATTCAGTAAGCCATTAAGATGGTATAAAGTTATCCAAACCTTTTTAAAAAGGAAAGAGTGACTTGAAAATGTTGTTGTCAAGTCCTTAAATGTGTGTCGACCAAACTTGGAACAAAGCATCCTTGGGTAAAGGGGAATTTAAATTGTTAAAATAAAGGGCCAAGTCCCCTCACAAGGGGAGATAATCAAGAAAAGACAAAAATAGGGTGGGGTCATTAAAAAATCTTCTTCTACAGAACCACTGGGCCAGAAAAGCTGAAACTTATGTGCATATGGAAGGATTTGTCTAAATTATGATTATTACAAGGGGGAAATCTCAGAATGGTCAAAGCTTCTCAATGGGCCTCTTGTTTTCGTCTTTTAAGTTTATTTAACGTATTTAATGTGAAAATTTGATTGATATTTTAATTCATTATATGATTATTAGCTAAGCTGAAAAATTTAGTCATCTATCAAAATAATTCAATAATTAGCCCCCCTTTTCTGATCAGTTGGTATTTTCACACTTCCTATAATGATTATGGCACTAAATTATGAATTAGTGAAAAATTAATACATTTTTAAAAATCTTCTTCTCAAGAACCACTGGGCCAGGAAAGATAGTGGAATCATCATAGTGTACTGACCCCCGGGGCTAGGGTGGGGCCAAAATGGCCGACTTTGAAAATCTTCTTCTCAAGAACCACTGGGCCAGGAAAGATGAAACTCATGTGGAATCATCCTCAGGTAGTGTAGATTCAAGTTTGTTCAAATCATGACCCCCCGGGGCTAGGGTGGGGCCAAAATGGCCGACCAAGTTTTACATCGGAATATATAGGAAAAATCTTTAAAAATCTTCTTCTTAAGAACCACTGGGCCAGGAAAGATGAAACTCATGTGGAATCATCCTCAGGTAGTGTGGATTCATATGATTATGATATAGGAAAAATCTTTTAAAAATCTTCTTCTCAAGAACCACTGGAATTGGAAAAATTTATACCTCACACAACACAAATCTTTTAAAATCTTCTTCTTAAGTGGGCCAGGAAAGATGAAACTGTGTGGGGTATGTGGAATGTTTTTGGCTATCTGTCAAAGTTTTACATAGGAATATATAGGAAACATCTTTAAAATCTTCTTCTTAAAAATCATTGAGAAATGAAATATGAAACTTATTAAATGAAATTATCCTGGTAGTGTAGATTCAAGTTTGTTCACATGACTAACTCCTCTTATATAGAAAAATTCTTTAACTTCTCATAACAGAAAAAGATAATGTCAAACTTTGATGTTTTTATGTATATGAAAAACTTTGCATATTGCCAGGAAATTCTGATTCATTAATGAATTCCAAAGTTGTACATAAGGATATATAGGGAAACCTTTTAAAATCTTCTTTTCAAGTACTTCCAAGCCATGATTAGTGATATTTTTCTATTTATAAATCATCCTCAGGTAGTGTAAACATTGTTCAAATCATGACACCCAGGACATCCAGTAAACTTTCAATCTGATATGTGCTTTTTCCTAAGATGTGCTCATCATGTGGCCCTTGGGCCTCTTGTTTTTAGTTCACCTAAAAGTGAGCTTTTCTGATCACATTTTGTTCGTCCGTCCGTCTGTTAACATCGATTTGTTCCATGGACAAATTTTACCAAACTTGGTACAAAGCATCCTTGGGTATGTTCAAATCAAGTCCCCTTCCAAGGGGAGATAATCTAGGGTGGGGTCATTAAAAAATCTTCTTCTCAAGAACCACTGGGCCAAGAAAGCTGAAACTTATATGGAAGCATCTTTGGGTAGTGTAGATATCAAATTGTTAAAATCATGACCCCTGGGGGTAGGGCGGGGCCACAATAGGTAATCCAAATTTTACATAGAAATGTGTAGAACAAATCTTTAAAAGTCTTCTCTAGAACGACTTGGCATTCAAGTAATTGAATTGATGAAAATTTTTATATCCTATCCAAAATGCTCAAGTTAGTGACATGGCCCTTGGGCCTCTAGATTTTCTTATCTGGATTTAAAAAAACAAAAAACAAAATATGTTTGTGAAACACTGATGCCCTTGTATGGAAGCTTATGGCGTTATGGAGTTGAAGTTTCTATATTCATTTGCAAGTCAAACTCCAAAGTCAAGGTAAAAATTTTTAGTATCCAAAGGAAGTTATTGTCACAAGGAATGCACCTGTGAATTAAAAATGAAACAAAGCCATAATTCATCATATATATATGGAAGCATGTTCAGGTAGTGTAGATTCAATTGTCAGTAATCATGACCCCCGGGGGTCACAAAGTTATGGAAAATTCTTTAAAAATCTTCTTCTCAAGAATGACAAAGCCATTTTCATTTTTTAAGTGTAAGTGGGTCAAACTCTAAGGTCAGGGTTAAAGAAATATATAGGAAAATTCTTTAAACATCTTCTTCTCAAGAATGACAAAGCCATAATTCCTCATATTTACTTTTATATCCATTTTAAAAATCATTTTCTAAAAAATAGCAAATCTTGGTCAGTGAATACACATGTTTAAACTTTAGCCATTTTCTACTTTTTCCTACCCTTAGTGCTCAGGTGAGCGATGTGGCCCATGGGCCTCTTGTTATAATTAAGCCTAATAAGTTGGAATGAATTCAAACTTCAGTAAGCCATTAAGATGGTATAAAGTTATCCAAACCTTTTTATAAAGGAATGAGTGACTTGAATATGTTGTTGTCAAGTCCTTAACTGCATGTCGACTCGGAATCAAATTTTTTTTATCTCAAACTGTAACATCAATGGCCCAAGAAATAGTAACCATAACTGAACAATAATCATGCCCCCCCTCCCCAGTTGGTATAACTTCCTATAATGATTATGGTCACAAAAATAGTCAAATTTGGTTGGTATAACTTCATATGATTATGATACTACTGTTGTAATTTATACCCCACACAACACAAGTTGTGTGGGGTATAATGTTTTTAGCTATCTGTCAGTCAGTCTGTCGGTCCTGTTTTCTGTTAGCACAATTAACTCCTCTTCAACCTCAACACAGAATAATGTCATTCATTAATGAATTCTACCGGTAAAACATTTAAAATAAAACATCAACAACTCGAAATCATTGACTAAAATATGTTCATTAATCCCATACATGTAAAGGTATATCATACTTTAAAGATCTTCCTCTCAAGAACAGCAAAGCCATGATTACTTATTACCTGGTAGGTATCCAAAGGAAGGTATTAATTGTCACAAGAAATGCACCTGTGAAGTATGAAAGCCCTAGTACTATCGTTCAAAAGTTGTGGTCAAAGTTTAAGTGTTTTAAAAGTGGGTCAAACTACAAGGTCAAGGTTAAAAGGTAAAATACTTTTATATCCTTTAGAAGGTCTTGTCACATTGAATACACACGTGAAGTATGAAAGCCCTAGCACCAACTATTCAAAAGTTATGGCCAAGTTTGGAAATTTTTGTAAAACTGGGTCAAACATCAAGGTCAAATTTGGTGGTACTCGAAGAAAGGTTTTGTCACAAAAAATATACCTGTGAAACAGTAAAGCCATAGCCCCAACCATTAAAAAATTATGGGGAATATTAAAGTTTTTGTGGACAAACAGAAGGACGGACAGACAGCTAGACAGAGAGACAGACAGACAGGGCAAATACTATATACCCCAAATATTCGATTACCTGGGCATAAAAATAAGAAAATGAACAATATTTAAGAACACTTTCCATCCTTTAATGTTTTCTCTTGAAAATTGACAAGATCCTTATTTGCATTGATCAGTAAAAAGCTTTAAAGATACATATATATTTCAGTCAAGTACACCAACAAAATACCTTAATATTTTTCTGGGGTTTATAAGAGTATACATTGAAGACTTAGAACTTTGCATAAATGACCTTTACATACCAATGACTCATATATTCACATCTTTTCTTGGCTTACTATTATCAAATATAGTTTGTATGTTTTAATTCATAATATTCAGAAAACTGCTTTACTGTTAGTAGGGAGATTTTTCATACTGAATATCTCTTAAACTATACATAGTAACTTCAATTAAAGTGGGACCCTGGAATATCATTTTCCAAGGCTTAATGTTTTTTATGTAAGCCCATTGCTGAGGTGTCTAAGAGTGACCAAAAAGGACACACTGCTAGGGAGATAGTAAATGATCATATGCTTCAATATATATAACCCCAAAATCTAAACCTCAAGATTCTTGTTCCATCACTGTTTTACACAAAAAATACAATCAGATCTAAATTACTAACATTAGTAAATGTATATACATGTATTCATATACAATTAAACATACAGAAACATCATACTCCTGTAGAGGTAAAAAAAATGACAACAGTCAGACAAATAAATATAGATGTAAAATAATGGAGTCAAAAACATCTAACTTTAAAGTAAAGTAAATAAACAGATCTAAAATATACTTAACATTTAGTTCTCTCTCAGATCAGCTTTGTATATTGAATAATAAAAAAAAAGTTTGTGTATCGGTACATTCCCTACTGAATAATACATAATGCTTCAAAACGAAACTTTTTAACAAGGCAGTGCTACCTAATAATTGTTAATTATTAACTGCTAAAACAGTTTTACTACTAATATAGTTAAAAATTCTGAACAAACTGATTTAGGAATTATACACAAGTTTAAATTTAAAAGGCATCTCTAATACTGATTTTGATTTATGCATGTATACTCACATACAGTGTACAAAATTCTGAATCATAAGAAAAATAATCTACCTAGCTACAAAAAACACTCTATAAGAAAACTATATACACTAGGTCACCACGAATGATTTAGGATCAGAATAAGGAAGACCATTAACCTAAGGTCAGGAGCCAAAATGCTCACCTTAATAACAATTTACACCTGCTATTGAATCTGAAAAGTCATAAGACAGCAAAACATATAAACCAGAAGTCTCTGTCGAGACTGTAGCTCTACTGGTTTGTACTTATCAAAAACCATTGCACTATTTTATGTATCTTTGTGTAGTCTACTTGTGTGCCAGCTTATTTTGAAATCAAACTAAAACTGTAGAAGGAGTAGCGTTTTAAAGGAATTTCACAGAAAATTCTATTTTTAGTAACCATGGTAACACCGTTCATCAAAATCAAAAACCGATGCACTATTCTATGTATCTTAGTGTAGTCTACTTGTGTGCCAAGTTATACTGAAATCAGACCAAAACTGTTGAAGGAGTAGTGTTTTAAAGGAATTTCACAGAAAATTCTATTTTTAGTAACCATGGCAACACCGTTCACCAAAATCAAAAACTGATGCACTATTCTATGTATCTTAGTGTAGTCTACTTGTGTGCCAAGTTATATTGAAATCAGACCAAAACTGTAGAAGGAGTAGTGTTTTAAAGGAATTTCACAGAAAATTCTATTTTTAGTAACCATGGCAACACCATTCATCGAAATTAAAAACCGATGCACTATTCTATGTATCTTAGTGTAGTCTACTTGTGTGCCAAGTTATATTGAAATCAGACCAAAACTGTAGAAGGAGTAGCGTTTTAAAGGAATTTCAAAGAAAATTCTATTTTTAGTAACCATGGCAACACCGTTCATTGAAATCAAAAACCGATGCACTATTCTATGTATCTTAGTGTAGTCTACTTGTGTGCCAAGTTATATTGAAATCAGACCAAAACTGCAGAAGGAGTAGTGTTTTAAAGGAATTTCACAGAGAATTCTATTTTTAGTAACCACGGCAACACCGTTCATCGAAATTAAAAACCGATGCACTATTCTATGTATCTTAGTGTAGTCTACTTGTGTGCCAAGTAATATTGAAATCAGACTAAAATTGTAGGAGGAGTAGCGTTTTGAAAAATTGTTTACAGACAGACAGACAGACGGACGGACGCCGGACGCATTACTATCGCATAAGCTCTTCTGGTCTCTGACCAGTAGAGCTAATAATAAAAAAAACAACTTTGTTTTAGGACATAACTGTGACATCTTTTTGGCATTTCTGCACTGCATGTAATATATTTTTAGTTTTGTTAAATAAATGGCTGACTAGATATATTTGTTCATAAAATTAAAGTATTTTAAAAAGATCCTCAATAAAATGCAGACAATTTAAAGTGATATGTTGTTTTTTTTTTAATTTTAACAGTGTATTAGATATACAGTAAAACACACTTATAGTGAACACACTTGTACATGTACATGTAATGATTTGATGCCTATAGCAAAATGATTATCTTTCCCTTGATTTTAAAATATATTGTCTGAACATATGGATTGAAGGAATAACACTCATATATTAAAGCAATTTTTTTTCATTTCCCCAGCATTTCATTATTAGTGTGTTTTATGGTAAGTGTTACAATGTGATTCATGTTAAAACAGAAGTCTCGTCTATGTAGCTCAACTAGCTTTTAAAATAGGTGGACCTGTAGCCTTTCATCTTTTTTACATTTTCTACATGTAAACTTGATTTCATTCTATTAAAATAAGTTCAAACTGTGGGAGAGGACATTTATAGTCTTTAAAAGAGATAAATACATGTACCCCATAACTAGGTTTTACTCACTCAAGAAAATAATAAATTGCTCTATTTTTGAAAACACAGTAACTTTTTTTAAGATCAACAACTTTGCAAAACTGAAATGACAGCAAAGTTATGGACCATTTAACTTTAAATTAAATGGGATTGAATTATTAAGAATGAATTGCCCTACGTGCATATAAAAGTAAACCATATCTAAAAGTAAACAAAATGATAATACATTAAAATAAAATCATCAATTCAAAAGTATATACACATAATCAACTCAAAATGCTGCAACACACAGAGAATTATACACTTCTATGTACATTCTCAATTTAATTGACACTAAATACATACACTAAACAACAAAATAACTTCATCATGAAAGACAAAGGTTTACAGCTAGTACATTTAACAGCAAAGTTTGGTTTACACTTCTGAAATGTGCTCAGTGTAAACTATACAAATTTTGTGATTTTACTCACAGAAAAAGAAAATGATTCATAAAATCTGAAAACAATTGGAGCCTTTAGAAAAAAGTAATATGTATACATGTAAATGTATTTAAAATAATATAAGATATGAAGAAAACTAATAATAAGAGAAAATTCAAAGCTTTACTGAAACCTACAACATAGTACCAATGGATTTTATTGAATACTTTGATCCTGATGACTTGCAGTTGTTGAGCAGAGACAGGCATGGAAAAAACTAGAGGATGGTTATTTCTTCTGTGAAAGACCTAAAAAGTTCCTGAAATAAAGAAAAGGAGTAATTAAAGTCTGTATGCCTGCATTATTCTGCTTCTTGAAATAAAACAACAAATCATCAATTGCTTGTTCCCCTTCACCTACTGTGAAATGTATAATTCTTTTTACATTATGATGTATCTTATAATAAATGTTTTTAACCCTAAGGTTTGGTATTATCTTTGAAAGTTTTTGCATTACAAAATCACAGTCTGGATAAGAATTTTATCATCATGTATAATCCTAACTTGTAACCAAGTAACTTTGACATTGCCTTTGTCAAATGACTTTGTTGCAGGGTTTTTACAAACATCTCGTCACAAGCAGTCTTATTCAAATTACCCTATGTTATAGGGTCAGGACATATTCTTGTGTTACAAGCAATGAAGCAATCTGTGTCTTAAATTTTAGCTTGACATCCCAGTTCTTTAGCAAGGACATCACTTCAATACTTTTATACCATGTGGCCCTCATCTCATCAAAATCATCTTAACACAGACCTGCAGACATTGGAATTCTAGTAACCCATCTTACTAACTTTGTGTGCAGGGGTAAAAATATTTTACAGTCTCCTAAACCGTTGTATGGGAATTCTTTTTTTTTAATACAGAATGATACATGCACTTACCTTATAATTTCTGGTAGTTCTGGGGCTTGAAATATATGCTTATGTCCATACCCAAAAGAGGCTTTTAGAGGAATGAACTGCAAAGGACTACTGTCCTGAGGTCTATTATGCTGGGCTGACTTATATAACTGTAATTGCAAAATATTCTGGTTTTACTCTCATAGACTAAACGAAAATAATTTTACACATCTCTCTTTCACCCTGATGTCTCTGATGAGACTGAAGCTCTACTGGTGTGTCCTTGATGAGTTTTAGTATACTGTGCTCATGTATCAAATCTTATTGATATTGAACCAAAATTGTAGGAGGAGAGCATCTTCACAGAACTTTAACAAGATTTTTACTTTTTAGTGACCATGACAACACTGTTTTTCAAAATCAAAAACAGATAATCAGAATCATATATCAATGTATGTGTGTGTACAATTATGTATCCCATACATGTACAATGTACTTGTGTACCAAGTACTTCATTGTTCTTACCTTGAGCCCAAGATCATAAGGAATGACTAAATCATCTTCAGCATGCATGATTATCACAGGAGACTTCACTGCAGCTATACTGTAATACACAAAATATATTCTATGTACTTACTATACTGTAATACACAAAATCTATTACTAACTACCAGGTTTATTGCAATACACAGATACTAGTAATCTTAACTAGCTAAATTATAATACACATATACCTGTGCCGTCTTAACTAGCTTTACTGAAATACACAGATAATCTATACTAGCTAAAGTGTAATACCGTTAATCTGTTATACACAGTTTACACTTAAACTTGTACACAATCTTTACAACCTATGCTGTACTAGATAAACATGCAGATAACCCCCTCAGACTTCTACAATACATTAATCTATCCATTGTCAATATACATGTATACAACATTTTGTACATTGATTTTCATAAAGATAAACTATGATCAATGCTAACTCAAGCTCTTATGAAACTTAATCAAAGTCAACAACAAATGGTAGATGATGCATCCAACTATATTACACGCAAATGCAATTTCAAGTATACTCACTTTTCATCACTTGTAAAGAACACATTGTTTTGGGCTACAGAGTCCAGAATAAGTTTCTTGTAGAATGCTATATGCTGAAATGGCTAAAAGAAAAAAAAGCATTGTTTTGAAAATTTAGAAAACATGATTTTTTTGTCTATGCATGCAGGCACTAATAGTAGATGTACACACTACATGTAGTAGGCTAAGGTGATCTTTGACAACACCAAGTACATGTAATATTCAGGAATTTTCTTCATTGTACTTCTTTGGCTAGCATATATTTTCATGAAAGCTATAGCATATTGATGAATACTCTATGGCTTTGTAAATTCACTGGTTAAGAGGTACAAATTAAGACATTCGTGATAATAAATGAACCACTTTGTTTGATTGACACTGATCACATTACATGATTAATGAATGATTTTTTTATTACTGAATGTAAAACTCACTGCTGAAAATGGATGGCTGAGGGCAGCATCTCTAATATTGTTAAATGGAGATTCTAAAATAACACCATGTGGGTCATCCCCTGAAAATTATTTGTCATTTACGTTAGTTGTAATTTTTTGACACAGCTAGGATTATGATATGAGTATTTGTTGGTAAAACTTGATATTCCATGATTAACAGTTTTAAAATGCTGAATCTAGAAGTATCTTCTTATGTATGACAATACATTTGTTATATCAGGTATATGTATAATAAGACACTAAAGGAAAACATTTATCAAAATAATTTTCCATACACTGAAAAAAATCCATATATGTATGAAATATACAAAGTTATGTAAAATAATTTTACCTCTCTTTATGAATCGTATATTTCTATTCTAGTAAATATTTTTTCTATTTTTTTTTAGATTTGTTACCAGTTTGTCAAGTACTAGAATGAATATAAATCCATGGGGTTTCATGCAAAATTTAGCTTTCAACAGGATATACAACACCAGTGAATCAAACATTAAATTCTTTTCTGTACCAAGAATTCTTAACCATCATTTTTCCTTGTTCTATAATGTATGCTTCACTAACATTATCAGATTACTCAGTATTGAGCTGATTTTTCCAAAGAAAATCAATGCAACACTAACCTTCCTCACATAACTGTTTGGCCAGCTTTGTTGTAATTCTAAAATGAAAATTGATTACATCATCTATCAAATTAACACACAACACAAAAAATTATCTTCTCCACTGATTTTTTTGGTAAAAAGGAAATCTCATATATTCCTTTTGTGAAATAAACAACTTACGCAGCTCCCAGAGAATGGCCCCACAAAATGACCTGAGACGCCCCACTTCTTTCTTTGATCCACCTATACATAAAATGGCTATCTGCCACTACTCCATCTTCTGAAGGGTGACCGGTGGAATCAGCATAACCTATACATAAAGGAAAAGTCTCTTTATACAGGTATCTTTCTATTCTACCTTATATATAATTTTTATCATTTGTTTTAAGATTTACTCTTTCACTTTATCATTTTCTTGTTCTTTGATTCTTCTAAATGCTAATTTTATTCTAGTTTAGACAAAGTACTTTAAGCTATGCCAATATTTAAGCATACTCATATACCGTATATACTCGCCTATAAGTCGGTTTTTGGGGAGTTAATCTCTGGTCTAAAACTCTTTGTCCGACTTATAGGCGAGCTATTAAAAGTATGGTTTTATATGAGGTCAGTCCATCTGATATGCAAGCTTATTAAATACAACCGACTTATAGGCGGACCGACTTATAGGCGAGTAAATACGGTACTAGAATTTATGACATTAAATAACATGACAGTCTCACAGGTGTAGAAAAGAAATTCATCAAACAATGATAAAAGCCTTATAAGTGATTTACCTCTATAATCTAAGGTTACAACATGATAATCCATTGAGGTCAATAATTTCATCAACTGGACTCTGTGCCACCCTCCTCTACAATCCAGAATGTAAAGATTAGAACAAGGAAACAGATTTAGGAACAGATTAAAATTAGAAAACAGAGATTACATGTAAAAGAAACAGGGCTGAATTCAAGATCATATCAATTTTGCAGCAAGATAGTGCTACAGAGTTTGATTAAAATGTACATACATGTAGGGCTAACAAGCATTACCCGGTACTTACATGTAGTGGTTCATATATTGATTTAATAGATCTAGATAAATAAAGCCTTAGAGCTAGGCTGAAATTTTGAAATCAGCCTTGTTATTATCTGTGACTCAAAAAAAAATGAAAGAAAAAAAATTCTCGGTTAAATTAATGAAAGTGCTGCAAGAGTCAGTTCATTTGCTTTGATTTCATTATGATTACTCAGGAAATTAATTTTTTTATGTGGCTAAGAATAAAGTATGTGTTCTTTACAATGAATACACACTCAATCCTTTACACTCGGTAAGAATCCACCTACCTGGTGCCTGTAGATCCATGCAGGTACAAGAAAATAGGATGACCACTGTTCAACTTAGATTCAAAGTCCATAGTTTCATTTTTAACTAAGGATTTTGGAAGTAGGTGCCTATAAAATAAAAAGAAAGATTTTAATAATGAAAGCTAGCTGTTTGCCTATTGCTTAAAATTCTTTAGACCCATTGTTTTAATAGGGATAGCTCTTAATTTCTTCATCACAGAAACTTGTGAAAAAAAAAAATCCCTGTATTATTAGTATTAATAAGTATAATTACCGGGTGTGTACAAGTATTAAACTGTATTTAGAATTACCATGCCCCTATTTTGATTTCTTCATCTACATCAAGATAAAAATTCCTGACTCCTGTTATTCCCAATTCCTCTGGTTTTGTTACATCCATAAATGGTGGCCAACACACTAAAAATATATTTAACCAATATCAACTCATATGTTGCAACTCTTTTTAAAACACATACATGAACCCCATTCTTTTTTATATGGATGACACATATTGAAGTTGATGAAAACTGGAAGATTAATTGTTTTCTTGAACATTTTACATCGCTATTCATTTAATAAGTGTATCATCATGCATATTTAAATGATGTCATGTACATTTTTGCTTCAGAGAATTCAAATACATGTACTTACCAAAGTTAAGAAAGATGAGTTTTTCTTGAATCCTTGGATATAATGTCATAACTGAAGGAAACACCACGTAAATGACAAACAGTGAAAGAACTAGGTACTTGGCTGTCTTTAAAACAGTATCATACACTGGTCTGCAAAACAAACATATAATTATAAGATCATGAGTAATAAAAATACAATAATGTGAATGGTTTAATTATAAAGTTTTGCATTTTGTTGGTTTTTAGAACAAATACCAGGTAATACATTTTAAAAGCACTTTGTTACTATTTCAAATCATGCATAATTTAACATTTAACGAGGCTGGGGGGTGGCAGCCATTTTCAGACTATTTGTATCTCCTTTAAAAGAAGAGCTCCATATAAAGATATAGAAAATGATCAAATTTTAAAAATAAAATTTTTTAAATATTTCTTTGCCAAATGATAGTTGACAGCTTAAGATATCATATCTAAAAAAATAAGTTAAATCTGGTGGTTAATTTGTGATTAATTTGTTGACCCCCCAGCCTCCTTAAAATTTAATAGCCTAATGCTTTGTAGTGTGATGTGTACACAGTTTAACATTCCCCTGGATCTGCTATTAATCTATTGAGAAGATACAATTTTGGGATATACTGTAAATGTATTCTATTTGGCTGTGTATTCTTTTTAGCGTTTTTTGGCTGAAAGAAACTTCCACTAATACAAGTACAACACCAAATCTCTTGCACATATAAATATAAATAAAATCATTAAGAAATACGCTAAATTAAATTTGCAGTAACGTGTTCAAAAATCAATTTCCGCCAAATATTGTACACATTAAATATAATACATCTACAGTAATTAGATATTACTGTATTTATCAGAAACTGAAGGAAAACTATAGCAGATAGTAAATTTTACCAATACAAAAACTTTAAATATGTTTCTTTCCGCAGTATTCTTTGAAGACCCAAAAGATGTTACACATCCCTCCCTTTCAAATGACACACCCACTGAGCCAATGTTTTCTCAGTTTGAGAATATATATAATATATTACAAAATATTAATTAAAAAACATTGTAGACCGGGAATCAAACCCCGGACCCCTGCATCTCCAGTCAGGTGCTCTACCAACTGAACTATCCTGGCTGATATCCATGGCCCAAACCATTACCGGTACGTATACATTCCTCGAATTCTCCTTAAATTGTCTTTGCCCCCAAGGACACAACAAAGGTCTTCTTATTACCCCTTTGCAGGACTCACCTGCAATTTCAAGGGTGGTCAACAGGACCAAATATAATATGTAACAGGAAAGGAGAAATTTCAGAAAATGTAGGACCCAGGACCAGGAATCGAACCTGGATTAGCTCAATTGGTAGAGCATCTGACTGGAGATGCAGGGGTCCTGGGATCGATTCCCTGTCTAGCCATATATTTCTCACTTCCTGTTACATAACTATTTATAGCTATAATATATAGCTTAATCAAGAGATTGTACTGGACCTGTCCTTAGGATTAATCTCCAGACGACATTTGACATTTACAAACCTGCATTTAGTGAGAATTTGTTTTACTGCAAATTTATATGCTATCTGGGATATTATGGTCGAAATGGGCTATTGATTAAATCCAATTTGGACGATTGGTCCAAACCTGTTGAACTTCAACGTTCAAGTGTCAAAAATGATAAAACTGCTCTTCGATCTTGTAACAATGAATTATGCACCTTTCCGTAGTTTTTCCATTTATTGTCTTCGTCTTTGGTTGGTTATTCTTCTTTGGAGAACAGTGCTTTTCTTGATATTGCCTAGAATCGACATTTTCATTCAACATTTCGCTGTCACAACATACACTGTCTGCTGTCACCTTTGTTTACTTGGACTTTGGACCTTAGCATGAACCGGAAGTGAAAGTTTCATTAATTCGATCCAAGTCTATTCGTTTATTAATGACATTTCAGACATACTATTCCATTGATCATATATATTATATTAAGCAAAAAATTAAGAGTACAAATTGTCTAAGTAGAATTTATTCCCTTAGTAGGTATTTTTAATAGCTAACCTTAGTTGTTCACTGCAATTTAGAGTATGACAATGAGCATCTAATTTTAAAGGGGGGTGGGGGGGTGGGTTTACATTTTTAGCTCACCTGAGCTGAATTCTCAAGTGAGCTTTTCTGATCATATTTTGTCTGTAAAATGGCTATAAACTTTTCACATTTGCCACTCCTTGTCCAGAATTATTGGGTCTATTTCAACCAAGCTTAAATTGCTACAAAGCATCCTTGGGTGAGGGGATTTAAGTTCAAATTAAGGCATGCGCCCTCCTCAAGTTCCTCTTGAGGTGAAGGTTTCAGATTAGACCTAAAAACTGATGCGACATGTCACAGTGCTAACACTATTGTGACAATGTCATGGCAGGGTTAGCTCGATGAAGATCCCTCAATGCGCTCCCATGAGTGCCAAAAAATATGCATGAAAAATTTTCAAATGTAACATAAAACAATATACAATTAATCAATAGATTTGAAAGAATTTCTCTTCAATTAAACCTAATTACAATTTCAAATTTCAGAAAATAATTAAAACTTGATCCTCTTGAAAACTTTTAAAAATTGAGTTAATTCCAATAAACAGAAAAAATGGTCCCCCAGACTAATATTAAAATCTTTCATATAAAGAAACTGTACTCCTCTTACGTAATAAATATAAACCATTCAGCTTTTAATACAAAAAAAAAATAATACATGCATGTATGTAAGCAAGTAAAAAAAATCACAAAACAAAAGGTTTCCTAAAAGTAAATAGGAATATTGTTCAAAGTTTATCCAGGATATTGGAATGTTGTTCAAAGTTTATCCAGGATCCATACTTCTTCATTCAAGATTCCTATCAGATGAGTAGAAAACTGGAAACCCTGTCATCTCTTCAAAGATGCAACAAAGTTTCTAAAAATAAGGAAAAATAATCATTAAACTCCTGTATGCAACAGAATGAACAATTTTTCAAAAAGTTACTGTATACAGGGTTATTTTCGCCCCGTGTTATTTTCGCCCTTCTGCACTTGCGAACTATTTTGCCCCATTTTAAATTCGCCCAGTCATAGTTTTGTTTAAGAAATTATGCTGTGTAATTTCAAAGACGCAACAAAGTTTTATAAAAATCAGAAAAAATAATAAAACGTGGGCGAAAATTTCCCTGTATACAAAGCTATTCAAATAAAGACTATTTTATCAGCATATACCATTGGGTAAAATTATACACATACTTGAATAGCTCTGATTGTTTTGTATCATGAGTAAACATTAGTACAATATACAAGTCTTACATAATATGTTGAGGGAGTTCTGGACTTCTATACAATCCATTATGACCATATTTGTATTTTTTGTCAAAAGACACAAAGTGGATATGGCCGCTGGTCATTTCTCGGACTCTCTTTGCCTCTTCATGGAGCTGTTGAATATTTTAAATAAAGCAAATCAAAACACATGAAACATATCACTCCTAAAGACTTTCACTGTCTGCAAAAAGTCCATCTATAAAGGGGTATTTATATATATAGCATGTAAAAGTAAAACAGTGAATTTTCATATGTTGGCCATGCAACTATATCTACTACTGCTTTAGATGAATGCTTATGCACAAAAAAGTAATGATTAGGATTAAAACTACAAATATAAATAAACCAAAAAATTTTGACCTAAATGACCTCACCAGTTCACCGAGTTCATGAGGAATGGTAAAGTCATCCTCAGCATGAAGAAGCAATATAGGAACTGTAACACTGGCTATACTGTAAAAAAGAATAGACAATCAGGAGTGCTATAAGTAGAATAATAGTATTTGTTTATGAATCAAGTTAATTATGAGTTATAGAACCTAAAGAATCTGAGTCACTCAGTGTTCATGTATATTGGTTTTGCTACAAATGAGTTAACTTACTTTTCATCAGATTTGAAATGAAGGCCAATTCTATCCAACGCACTTAACATGGCCCAGTCAAACCAAGGAAGAAATCTAAACAACTGAAAAATGAAACCATAATGTATTAGCACAATTTTTTATTTTTTTTTTTTAGAATGACATAGACTATAGCTACCATTCTTAAAAGAGTGGGCTATCTGTATTCATTGTTTAGAAAGAAGTTCAAACTCTTGAATTTGGATTCCAATTTCCATGCACTGATTTTCCTACTTACTGCAGAAAAAGGATGGAGTTTTGAGACATGTTTTAAATTTGTGAATGGAGCCTGTAAAATGAGCCCATCTGGTGGTTCACCTGTATAATAAATCAGTCTACTGAATCTCTGTTCATAAATTATGTATTATGAAATTGAAGTAAATATTTCACTTTTAAACTCTTCTTACCTTTATCACATAGTTGTTTTGTCAGTTTTGTCCCTATACTGAAAAAGAAAAAAATGAACTTCCATGAACACATATTCACAAGCTTTTGCACTGTGAAAAAAATACAGGTTCAGAGAGTAAGCAAATAATATTTAAAATATATATATCTGACAAGTTCATTCAGCATTTTCTTTATCAAGATTTGATTATAAGAAAGTGCATTTCTGAAACATAACAACAAGAACATGGAGTAGAGAGAGCTAGATTCCACTGACCCTGTTCCTAGCGAGTGTCCCCAGATAATGACGGGAACTTCAGCTGACCGTTTTCTGATCCAATTATATAAGAAGTAGGCATCAGCAACACAACCATCCTCTGATGGGAAACCGGTGGAATCTCCAAAACCTGAAATCCAATATAATCTTATAGGTCTTCTTGTTTTCGCACTTCAAAATGAAAATGAACAAAAAAGCCTTTTGAAATTTTTTTTTTCATGATTGAAGTTTTTTCTTTTCTTTTCTGCTGTATCCTCCTCATTAACAATAGCAAGAAAGTCATTTGCTGCATACTAAGGTTATTTTACTGGATTTATCAGAATTATCTGCATTAGAGCATTTAAAATAAAACCTCTGTAGTCCAGTGCCAGCACATGGTAGTTTAGTTTAGCGAGTAACTTCATCAACTCCACTCTGTGAGGCTGAGCTCTGAAAAAGAAAATACTGTGAAATCACTAATTATTGTGGGAATTTAATTTTCATGGTTTCTGAGGTATGAAGAGACCCATGAATTTATGTTCACCATGAAAAGTAATTTTTCAAAGATATTACTACTCAACAACTCTTCATCCATGAAATAAAATCCTCATTAACCCATATTTTTTTCCTCCCAAAGCACAAAAATATGTAATTTTACAGAAATAGGGAATTTAAAATGTGGGAATAAGATATATTATTATACCTCAATATAAATATTCTAAACAATGAGTTATCTGATTGGTTCTAAGTTATCAGACGATCGGGCCTTAAAACTTCATATTTCACGGTCGTTGGCAAGCTTTTCATCATATTCCACCTCTGCGGAACACCTAGTGTATTTTCCCGCAATAAAGTTCTCGTTCGTTGAACGAAACCTCCCGAGAGAAGTAGACGTCACAATAGTCTAGCTTATGTCACAAAATTGATGATAATGTGTTGACCAAAGGGTTTTATAGTAATTAACTTTAGTAATAAATGAAAGTGAATTTGAAAGTTTATGTTTATTTCAAAGGTTTTGCTTGTTTTGGTATAATAAACAAATCATTGCATGAATGTTCGGGAAACATGAAGACTTATTAAGCCAAGAAATATCATATTCCCCTCGGGCGAAGCCCTCTGGGAATATGATTTTTCTTGGCTGAAGTAACAATACTTCAGAGCCCCTGGAATGAAGATTTATCTAAATATTCATATGGGGCCAATTCATTTAAATAAATTGAGTATAGGTATTTAACATAACATGAGTAGGAGCACTCTGAGAGAACATATAGAGCAAGAGACATCTTTATCCTTGAAAAAAAACCCAGAAATACCTTGAAGAAGAGTTCCCATGGAGATAGAGAATAATTGGTTGTCCTTCTTGTAACTTTTTCTCCCAGCATTCATCATTATTGTCAATCTGATCACCTGCATCATTGGGTAAAGTGTGCCTGGAAATAAAAAAAATTAAAATCACATATTTGTAAAGCCACTGTTAAAAATTGGTCTGTGATCAGATAAATTTCACTGCTTTCTGGTTTACTGTTCACATAAAACTTTTACCAAACTCCAATGGTACTCTCTTCATCAACATCAAGATAGAAATTTCTGGTTTTCTTTAAACCAAAGCTCTCTGGCTTTTTCAAGTCTTTAAACACTACTTTGGGATGTTCCACTAAAATGTGTAATGAATAGCTTGAAACTATGATAAAAAAAAAATCACCAGCTGTTCAGCAAATTTGTAAATACGGTTTTAAATGATAAATGTTTATCTGAAAGGAAACAGATTGGGGAAGACATAAAAAAGAATTCAAGCACATAAGAAAGAGAGAGAAGGGGGGGGGCTTACCAAAGTGAAGGAACACAATTTTGTGTGCAATCCAAGGATACAGCCTCACTATGAAGGGCAGCAACACGTAAACAACAAAGAGTCCTCCTCCTGTCAATACAAAACTGCCCCAGAGGTCCATCTTCATCTTAATGAAAGACAATTAGGAAACAAGGGGTATAGTACATAAATGCAATTAATACAGAACAGGAAATGTACCGGTAAAACATCTTACACATTCACACAGTCACCCAATCTTAAAGCTTATCATATACCATTTGATAAGGTATATACCTGGTAAGTCATATTATTTCTTCTATAGATCCCTTAAATGTATTACACATGTACAGGTCTACTGTTTTTATCAAAAACAAGATGTATTTGTTAAACACTAATGCCCCCATATAGCAGCGTATGCCCAAGGTTAAAAGTCTCTTAGATGCTAGTTTAACTCGATCTTAGGTCAAGGTGGGATTTAACAATGTTGTTTCTCTGCAGAGAAAGGATTATAGTAGCAGTGAATATACATGTGAAACAAGAAAGCCCAAGAACTAACCACTCAAAAGTTATGGTCATGCAAGTTTAAAGTTATTACAAGAGGCCCATGGGCCACATCGCTCACCCGAGTAACTTGGGTGATGCAGTTCTTATCAGATTTCCCCTCTTGCTATACCTATCATGCCCCACTACCCCCTTCCCTTTTATGATTTTAAGAATTTAATATCTACACTACCCCAGGATGCTTCTACATAAGTTTCAGCTTTCCGTGCCCAGTGGTTCTTGAGAAGAAGATTTTTAAAGATTTGTTCTATATATTTCTATGTAAAACTTGGATTCCCTATTGTGGCCCCGCCCTATCCCCGGGGGGTCATGATTTTAACAATTTAATATCTACACTACCCAAGGATGCTTCCACATAAGTTTCAGCTTTCCTGGCCCAGTGGTTCTTGAGAAGAAGATTTTTAAAGATTTGTTCTATATATTTCTATGTAAAACTTGGATTCCCTATTGTGGCCCCACCCTACCCCCGGGGGTCATGATTTTAACAATTTAATATCTACACTACCCCAGGATGCTTCCACATAAGTTTCAGCTTTCCTGGCCCAGTGGTTCTTGAGAAGAAGATTTTTAAAGATTTGTTCTATATATTTCTACGTAAAACTTGGATTCCCTCTTGTGGCCCCGCCCTACCCCCGGGGGTCATGATTTTAACACTTTAATATCTACACTACCCCAGGATGCTTCCACATAAGTTTCAGCTTTCCTGACCCAGTGGTTCTTGAGAAGAAGATTTTTAAAGATTTGTTCTATATATTTCTATGTAAAATTTGGATTCCCTCTTGTGGCCCCGCCCTACCCCCGGGGGTCATGATTTTAACAATTTAATATCTACACTACCCAAGGATGCTTCCACATAAGTTTCAGCTTTCCTGGCCCAGTGGTTCTTGAGAAGAAGATTTTTAAAGATTTGTTCTATATATTTCTATGTAAAACTTGGATTCCCTATTGTGGCCCCGCCCTTCCCCCTGGGGTCATGATTTTAACAATTTAATATCTACACTACCCCAGGATGCTTCCATATAAGTTTCAGCTTTCCTGGCCCATTGGTTCTTGAGAAGAAGATTTTTTAGTGACCCCACCCTATTTTTGTCTTTTCTTGATTATCTCCCCTTGTAAAGGGACTTGGCCCTTCATTTTAACAATTTAAACTCCCCTTCAACCAAGGATGCTTTGTACCAAGTTTGGTTAAAATTGGCCCATTGGTTCTTGAGAAGAAGTCGAAAATGTGAAAAGTTTACAGACGGACGGACGGACGGACAGACAGACAGACAGACGGACAGACGGACGGACGACGGACAAAATGTGATCAGAAAAGCTCACTTGAGCCTTCGGCTCAGGTGAGCTAAAAAGTGGGTCAAAATCAAAGGTCAAGGTCTAAGGGTAAAAAATCAATGATTCCCAGGGAAAGGGCTTGTCATAAGAAAAATACAAGTGAAATATAAAAGCCTTAGTACAAATTGTTCAAATTGTTCAAAAGTTATATCAAAGGTTGAAGGTAAAAAGTTGAAGTCTTATTAAAAATAGGTCAAACTCCAAGGTCTAGGTTAAAAGGTCTAAATTGTTGGTACATAAAAGGAATGTTTTGTCACAAGAAACACACCTGAGAAGCTCTTTGAATGTCCTAGTACTAATTGCACAACTTTAATAGTTAATGCCAAGATTTAACTTTTTTTTTAAAGAGTGGGTCAATCTCAAATATAATATAAATAGAATATAAAATACTAAACACACAAAGAAACGGATTTTCACAATGAATATACATGTATGAAGTATGAAAGCCCAGTCCAACACCAATTTAACTGTACAAAAGTTATGGCTATGATGGGTTGAAATTTGATAAAAGTTTGCGAAACTGGAAACAAACTTCAAGGTCAAGAGGTCAAATATTAATACTTAAAGAAAGGTTACGATCTATTTTCACAGGGAATTACACATTTGAATTAATTTATATAATTAGCCATATAGATGCAAGATTCCAACCAGTTATAACCCTTACCAAAGTAGAATTATTGCAGCAACACATTTTTGTCACCAGAAACAAGCTTTTTGGGTAAGTGAAATATCACTGCTAGCTGCAACAACTTCTGGTGACATTCTGGCAATACTGCCAGAAAAAAAACTTTCTGGCAACATCTAGGATTACCCATGAACCATTTGTTGAGCATGCTCAGTCTTTTAAATAAAGTGGAGGGAATTCAGAGGCAAGCATGTTTTGCTTCATTACTGACTTGTATCAAGTTAATTATACCCCCGCAAACGAAGTTTAGGGGGGTATATTGGAATCACCATGTCCGTCTGTCTGTCTGTCTGTCTGTCTGTCCGTCTGTCCGTCTGTCTGTAGACAAGATTTTGTCCGGACCGTTTCTCAGAAAGTGTTGGATGGATTTGTCTGAAAATTTATACACTTATTATTCACCATATGAAGGTGTGCACCTGGGATTTTCATCATGATTGGATGATTTTTCTGCATTTTACAGGCGTTTTTTCTTTTTTCTTTTGTGATTTTGTTTGGGTCATAACTAGAAAACTATTAGACTTACAATCATCAAACTTTGAAAATTTATGCATCTTGGGTAGACGGTGTGTCACGACCTATTTTAAGGTCACTGTGACCTTTAATTTAAGTGATTTTTTTAAAAAAACTAAGTCTTTAAAATTTTAAATTTCATAATCCTTAAAAATGTAAAAAATATATTTGTATCCTAGGCTTATTAAAAAATGCTAAATTAAGTAAAAACTTATTTTTTATCATATACTTTACAGCAAATTCTATAACAAATGTTAATGATTTGAGAGGAATTCAGTTTGTCCCATGGGCATATATAATTATCAAGCACTGGTCAAGGAGAATTTTTGATAGCAGAAATGTGCATGTCAAATTAGAGAGAAATTAATGAGTTCATTGTCGGGAGTTAACTTGCAAGAGCATCTCTAGATCTAATCTTAATTTACCTCTTGGGAGTTGGGTAAAAAGAAATGGCCTTATAGTTGCTTGTGTTAATTAAGAGTTCTTGTGGCTGTAGTTCAGATAAAGATCTTTCAATTGGTGTAATGTAATTAAAACAAATTGATGTTTTAGTGTATGATTAAAACTGAATTAGTATTGTATGATATAATTAAAATTAATTATATATATGTGTTCATTGAAAAAAAATTACATTTCAATTTTCATATATTTGCAACAAATTGCAGTCATGTCTCACTTGAATTTTATAGTCTAAAGAATACCGGTAATTAATTTTTGAATTTTTTTTATTAGACTGTAGCATTTCCATTATTTCATAATATTGCAATAAACAATTTAAAGCTGCAGATGGATATTTGTTAAGCTCTAACACAGCCAGTTTAGAATTATATGATGTATTATTTGTTTTAATTAATCCCTACACTGTAAGTCTCTTAGAGATGTATGTACAATATTTTAAACATGATAAGAAATGGAAATTAGATCATTGAAATCTGTGTCAATCTGTTAATTAAGGTTACTTAATTTTCTTGCACCCTAACCAATTTATGATTATCAACAATATCTGATGGGCTTATCATGCTGTGGCAGACACTTTATTAGACAATAGTGAATACCACTTACTAAATCCATAAAATATTTCTGAATTGGCACCTACTCTGAAAAACCCAGCGGGGGTATTTGTCCCTATTGGACAGTTCTAGTTAGAGTTGTTAATTGTGTACAGTGGGATTACACAAGATGAGTAGTAAGACTGCATAATGTGGAATGGCTAGAAAAAAGAATTTCAGTAGAATTATAGGAATGTCTACTGAGTAACTCAATCTGTTTCCATTATGATCAGACTTGGTGAGTCAAAACCAGATTCTTTTTTAGATGAATGATTCTATGGAGATAAAACTGGGGTGTTTCAACTAGTGCTTGTGATACATGCATACTAAGACATGTATGTCTATATATATCCTTGTGTTGCAGGAAAAGATGAATGCATGCTATCATGCAGTTAAATGCATGAGCATATATAATTATAATTGATTGCATAAATTTGAATACCTGAAAGAAAATTGAATTTATATATGTTGGAAATTACAAACAATTACATATTACACTGTTTGGCATTTGGGAATATGTGATCAGCAGCTAATTAAGCTTATTCGAACATTAATGCAGAGTTGCTGGACATTTTCACAATGGCATTTTAATTTTGTTTCTATACACATTTTATATGCGCCCGCATTGATAGATCGGGGGCGCACATTGTTTTTGTCCTGTCTGTTTGTCTGTTAAGTGTTTGTTTGTAAACTTTAACCTTCGCCATATCTTTTGAACCAATAAGAGATAGAGACTTCATATTTGGTATGCATACTCCACTAATTAGGTTCTTTTAAATGACATCATGCAAGGTCAATGACCTTGTGACCTTGACTGTGACCTATATGCTAAAAATAGCTTTTTCAAATATTCACCATAATTTTAATATCATGAAAGATAGAGACTTTATATTTAGTATGCATAATCCACTAATTAAGCTTTTTCAAAAGTCACCAAGGTCAATGACCTTGTGACCTTGGCTATGACCCATATGCTTAAAATAGATTTTTTCAACCTTCGACATAACTTTGGAGCCATAAAAGATAGAGAACTCGTATTTGGTATGCACCCTTCACTAATTAACCTCTTTCAAATAACACCACGGTCAATGACCTTTTGATCTCTACTGTGACCTATATGCTAAAAATAGCTTTTAAATCCTCTGCCATAAATTTTGAACTATAAGAGATAGAGACTTCATATTTATAGTAAGCATACTCCACTAATTCTTTCAAATGACACCAAAATCAATGACCTTGTGACCTCTATTGCTTAAGTAACCCGAGGCACATAGTGTTCCACAAACATATATCATCTTGATTTTTATTATGATGCTCAATATAATTTTTCTATCTGTTTAAAGAATAGCAGAAGTAGCTAATTCTTACTAACCCTGTGGCTTGCTATTGATTGTTATGTTTCTCAGCACTGCACAGTTTGATACTTGTTAGACTGATATATCATTATTTCTATTAATGACCAATTTATGTATAGTACTGTAGTGTTGCCCCAGTATTGTTGCAGAACAACCTGAAATAATACATGTACTGTAACTGCTTTGCAGCAACATTGCCTCAACACTTTTCTGGCAATATTGCAGCAAATCTAATTTACAATTACGAAAAGTGATACTGTATATACAGGGAAATTTTCGCCCCCATTTTATTTTCGCCCCTTTCGCCCTCTGTATTGATTGGGCGAATTTAAAAGGGGGCGAATTTCAATTACACAGCATAAATTCTTAAACAGAACTATGAATGGGCGAATTTAAAACGGGGCAAAATTGCTCGTAATTTAAATTAAGGCCGGCAAAAATAAGACGGGGTGAAAAAACCCTGTATACAGTAATGCCACAATATTGCTGCAATGTATTGCCAGAATGTTGCTACAATATTGCGGCAATAATGCCAGATGATGTTGCCAGAAGGTGATCGAGTATTTAATTGGTAATTAAGGGAAGTTATGGCCAAAATTTTTTTTTGTGTTTTAGCGGACAAACAGATTAATATTAACAGACTGTCAGGACAAAAACATACTATCGAATCTTCGATTGTGGGGGAATAAAAAGTATCTAACAGTATCTAAAGTGTTCATAATCAGTGATGTCTCTGTTTAATCAGTCTCTGTTTAATTCTGAATCCATGCATTCATCAATATTGTTCATACAATACTCTAACTGATATTTAAGACGAACTCGATTCAAAGAAAGGATTTACGCACTAGATACAAATGTATTCATGGTATTATAAGGTTTAACCGCATGAATATCATGAATATAGAGAAAACGGCTGAGTGACATCCGTATTGACGCAAGAGCAGAGGAAATTCGAACCACATATTTTCGCAGTAAGGTGTACCGATAAGCTTTTCATTTTTTCAATCATTGAACGTATACTACATGTAAATAAAACCGCATGTACATTGATATTAAAATCTTGCAAACTACCTGAAGTACTCGACAAAAGCTCAGTCTTCTATTTCAAGTTCATTGCATTGCAGGACTGCCGAAATGACGTTAGTATTTTTTTCAACGTTTGACACTCTCCCTCACCGTACACATTACAAGGTCGATAACTCTAAATGATTCAAAAGTGAAAGTAGGCGAAAATGGCGGGAGTAGAAGAAATGGAATTAGAAACTGCCGATAAAGAGAATACAGACAATCCAGACAAAACAAAGGATAAAGTTTCAAATCAGGATAACGAGAAGTTAATGAAGTTGCCATTGAGTCGAATCAAATCGATCATGAAGAGTGACCCTGACGTAACCTTAGCAAGTCAAGAGGCAGTGATCGCTATTGCCAAAGCTACTGAATTATTTGTGTGGGAACTTTCTAAAGATGCTGTTCACAGTACAATGCAGAGTAAAAGAAAGACTCTACAGAGGAAAGACCTTGATTCCATATTGGACACAAGAGACTGTTATTTATTTCTAGAAGGAACCCTTGACTGAATGTTGTTTAAAATTCATACTCTGATTTCGACTTCACCTGTTTCCGGTCAATGGCATGATGCACCGTTGGATCAGTTTGTCGAACATTTGAGATGTACTGATATAGATAATATTATATTAATGACTACAGAGGGATGTTATTCAAAATTGCTATGGATTTTGAACTTTGTGTCAGGATGTGGAGCAAATTGTAAAGCGTATTAACACAACTGTTTCTAGATATATCATTATTTATATATTTCTAAAATAGAATGTTTTCTTTGTAATTGTACATGTCCAATGTACATATATTTTGCATTATTGCAAAGTCTTTAGGGTAAGTTTATTATAGGTATAATTGGCATTATCTTTAAAAATTCAATCTTCAGTTGTAGCAAACAGAATTTATCAGTAATTTCATGTCTGACTCATTGTTAAATTGTTTACACAGCGTTTATTTAATTGTATATTCAAAGTTTCTTGTAATAAAACTTACACAGCATATGTTGCACTTGCTTCGTCATGGCCTGAAATAAAGTTAAAAAAAAGTTTTTGTGAAACACTATGCACCAGGTGACCTGGCGGGAATAAAGTTTGGAAAAAAGCTATTTTTAGCATGTAGGCCACAGTCAAGGTCACAAGGTCATTGACCTTGGTGTCATTTGAAAGAACTTGATTAGTGGAGTAAGTATATCAAACATGAAGTCTCTATCTTTCATGGTTCAAAAGTTATGATGGAAGTTATGGAGTATGCATACTAAATATGAAGTCCCGATCTACATATGTATTGGTTCAAAAGTATGACGAAGGTTCAGAAAGGCTATTTTTAGCATATAGGTCAAAGTCATTGACCTTTGTGCCATTTGAAAGAGCTTAATTGGTGGAGTTTGCATACCAATTATGCAGTCTCTATCTCCCGTGGTTCAAAAGTTATGGCTGAGGTATGAAATAATTATTTTTAGCATATAGGTCAAGGTCAAAAGGTCATTGACCTTGGTGTCACTTGAAAGAACGTAGTTAGTGGAGTATGCGTACTAAATATTAGCTGCAGAACTGTAGCTCTCTGGAAAAAATATATTGACACTTGACAGACCGGAGAGCTACAGTGCCACCCATTAAAAAAAACCTATTATTTATTGCGCTCAAAAAGTTGCGCTTAATTGGTTCTTGATTAATTCTTCCAAATTCTTAACTCAAATGCGAAAAAGCTAAATTAAAAAAAAATTCCTTACTACTTTATTAAGTATACTCGTGTTTGACTTCTGCAAAAAGCGTGTTGGACCAAATTATCTTGTGCACCAAAATGGAAGAATAAATAGACGAAATTTTCGATGATCTCAATTTCAGGCCCAGAATTATTAGGAATGTCTTGTTGTGGAAACAGTCAGTGAAAGAATATGTTAGGAACACAAGGTTAGCAATATTTTGAGGGACAAGTTTAAAAACATGGAGAAATAAATCGAGAAACAGCACATTTTTTTTGTGCGCAATAAATATACAGTTTTTTCAATGGGTGGCACTGTACCTCTCCGGTCTGTCAATATATATTTTTCGGAGAGCTACAGTTCTGCAGCCTACCAAATATGAAGTCTCTATCTCTCATGGTTCAAAAGTTATGGCAAAGGTTTTTTTTAAAAAAGAAGCTAATTTTAGAATATAGGTCACAGTCGAGGTCACAAGGTCATTGACCTTAGTGTCATTTGAAAGAGCTCAATTAATGAAATATGCATTGGTCAATCAACTGCCTTTCACTCCCGAATTCTAGGCACATTATTTAAATAATCTGTATATTTTATCCATTTCCCAACCCTTTATAGTCTTCTCTACAAGTGATAAACTCGCTTGCTTAAAATTATTTGTTAAATTGCTGAAAATTCAGTTCAAGCGAGTTTATTGCCTGTGGAGACAACTATAAATGGTTGAGAGGTGGATAAAATATACATATTGGCTACAGAATATGTCTAGAATTGGGGACTTAATGGTAGTTGATTGACCAATGCTAGAAAGTGGAGAAATTCTCCCCAAAAGGGCTCAAAAATATTGTGCCGTAAATTTCACCTTTTTTGCATTACGGGATCTGTAGCGTTATGATATAAAACCATAACGCTATAGTTCTGCAGCTAATAAACAGACAGACAGGACAAAAACAATATGTGCTCCCGATCTATCGATCCTGGCGCATAATAAGTAAATTACCCCCATGATTTACAAATTTGTTTGTGCCATGCAAGGATGTCATGGAAAGTACCAATATCTGCTCTCAAATTACGAGAATAATTGAAGCGTATTAGAGCAGTGGTATTAATTATTTGTTATCTGTTGTAAAGGTTAATTTGTTATTTAAGAAATGAAGCTTCTTTCAACTTATGTTATGCGATATAATGTCATAACTTGGGACAGTTTATGCTTTATAAGTAGCGAGGCTGCATTCTTTATGATTTAATTTCAGTGTAGACAATGAGAGAATTTTTCATCCAGAAAAAGGCTTCAAATTCAGCATACCAGTATTTTAAAAGCACAGACACCTGACGTTACGTTACTTATTTTTCTTTTATAAAAAAAAACCCTCTACCTAATAATAAACGTTTATTATTAGGTAGGGGTATATATTTTAATTAAGTAGGCATGGATTAAATCTTTTACCCAATTTGTTAAGTAAAATCAATAATTTTTATGCCCCCGTAATCGAAAATTCCGGGGTATTTAGTTTTTGTCGTGTCCGTTCGTCTTTCTAGCTGTCTGTCCGCAAAAACTTTAACCATGCCCATAACTTTTGATTCAGGGAACAATGACTTTCATATGTCACATGTATTCCTTGTGACAAGACCTTTCTTTGGGTACCACCAAATTCGATCTTGACCTTGGAGTTTGACCCCACAAAAATTCCAAACGTTTTCTTTGGCCATATCTTTTGAACAGTAGATACCAGAATATTTATACTTCACATATGTATTAAAAGACCTGTCATTGGATACCAACAACCTTAACCTTTTGACCTTGGAGATTTCCATACTTGTAAAAAAAACTTTAACCTTGGTCATAACTTTTGATTACTTTTTCAAATATATAATCCTTGGAAATGACCCTTAGTGCTTTAATACTTTTTAAAAAGCAAACCTATTACTTTTAATCCTTTTACATATTTAATCCTTGTGACAAGATTTTCATTTGATAGCAAGACCTTTGACCCTTTGACCTTGACCTTAGAGTTTGACCTACTTTTAATTTTTTTAATCCTTGACCATAAATTTTGAACGGTTAAGGCTAGAGCTTCCATACTTCACATATGTCTTCTTTGTGGAAAAACCTATCATTGGATACCAATAACCTTGACCTTGGAGATTTCCAGACTTAAATATTAACCTTGGCAATAACTTTTCAAGAACAAGGGCTAGGGCTTTCATACTTCACATATGTAATTCTTGTGACAAGACCTTTCATTCAATACCAATAACCTTGACCTTCTGACCTTGATCATGGGAGTTTAATTTACTTTTAAAATCTTTTAAACTTGGCCATAACTTTTGAAAGGCTAGGGTTAGGGCTTCCATACTTCACATATGTGTTCTTTGTGGAAATACCTTTCATTGGATACCAATAATATTGACCTTCTGACCTTGATGATTTCTGTACTTGTGAAAAAAAAACTTTAGCCTGGCCATACTAGTAATTGGGAACAGATGGTGATGGGGCTTTCATGTTTCATAATTGTATTTCCAGTTAGGAGACCCTAGTTTAGGTACCAATATATTAAATCTGCATTTAAGAAAAGTTTAATCTTCACCATGTTGCCATATGGGGGGGCATCAGTGTTTCACAAACACATCTTGTAATTAAATATCATTATCTTTCATTGTCGAGTCCTTAATTTCTGCTCCTAAAAATTCCTGATTTTTCCTAAGTTCAAGAAGAATAACTGTCAAAAATCATCAGACCATGACTAATTTCGAATTTGACCTGCATTTTCTGGTAAAATACAGTACCTGCATATGCAATTTCAACATTATACATACATTCCTTTTTTTTTCAAAGTTCAAATTTTTTTTTTTCAAAGTTCAAAAGTGATATGTGTCGATAATCATCAGAACATGACCAAATTCAAACTTGATCTGCTCACACCTATTAAATATTCAAATGAATGTGTGCAACTGCTGCTGAAACAATGAACAGAAAAATCAATAATGACACAGCAATATAATTACGGAACAGTTGAACCAAAAGGAGTTTCAAAACGAGTTACATACCGTATTTGGCCGAGTATAATACGCATTGATGTAAAATACGCACCCCCCTTTTTGAGTCTGAAACTGGGGAAAAAAATGAGAGAGAACAGAAAAAATTACCAAGCGATTTTTAACTTTAAAATCACGCTAATTTGTTACGAAAATCGGCGCGAGGATTAGGTGTCAAAAATTTATTGAACACACTTTTTTTAAAATACACACTTTATAACTTTCTCTTAATCCTGACGTTCCGTATCGCGGCAATCTGCAGAAAATTATTTATTCATTTATTTCAACAAAGCACAAGATAATGTTGCGTAAAAGTATTAACAGATTTTTTTAAAGAATAGTTACGGTGATTTTGAAATTATGCGTCGCCATATTCTTAGATGAAATAATTTTATTTCAACAAAGCAAGAGATATTGTCGAAAGTTTTATCAGTTGTAATAATTTAATTTTGGTGGATAATCATGCTTAAAATTATCTTACAATATCTTAACAGGAAACGGGATTGAAACATCAAAGTATTTATTTCTTTAAGAAGACTACGATTTTCCTCTCCTGAATCTTCGCGGATATCTTATTTTCTAAATGATTTTTCTAAATGATACCACTTTTATTAAAAGTTTTAGCATAATCTATATTTCATTTCTCAACTCTCAATTATTTAAACAAGAGGCCGATAAGTATAAGATAAGGTAAAATTACATTTAACAAGTGTTTAATTGTTTAAGTGCCGTAATCAACACATGCTCACCATGCTCACACATCATATTCATAAACCTTCCCCCAATTTTTAACAAAGAAAATAATCACAGCAATTAACATGGCAGTAAATAATCAGTGCTCTAACTGTAAAAACATTGCTTTGGATCGGTAGAAATTAATTGCCCCGAGGGGTGTTGATAGGTAATTATCATTTAGCCAGCGCACGTGTGTCATTTGGCTTCCTTTCATTGGGACGTATGGAGGGGTGTTAATATTGTTGCAGATTATCACTGAGTTATTTTAAACCTAAAATTGATATTTATTTTATTGGATTTCATTAAAAAATGATTTATTATTACTTTGTCTGGCAGATAAGGTGCATGTGCACTATCATTCCGGAAGCACGTGACATAGCTATGAGTGAACGTCTAAAAATATTTCAGTAATGGCGGCCTCCTCGCTGACAATCAACATGCAGCTCAAATTACTTTTAACTTACTTTTTCATGTTATTTGGGCATAAAAAGATTATGAAAGTGACATTTTTAAGAAGCACACCTTCCAACAATAACT